AGAGAAATGGTATTCTCAACGAACGTTGACGTGTCAACTTTGCCCTTCAATACCGGGTGCTGCAACACCTCGGAGAGCCACTCACTGAGCTTGGAAAATCCGCCAAACTTATCCTTTCCGAGTGCAAATCCATACAGAGTTGCGCATATAGTGGCAGTGAACAAATCGGCAATTGTGATGTGGTCATTCACGAGAAACTCGTGTTCGGTCAAGCGGTTCTCCAAGTACCCAAAGCATGCAATACACTGGGAGAGCTTCTCATCATACTGCTCTTGCGCCGCATTGGATCTAGCTGCTGTAACCACTGCAATTGTGCTTTGGGTAATTTCATGATTTGTAAAAGACAAAAATCTGAGCACTTGAGAACGTTCCTCGAGCGTGGATCCGTAAAGTGTCTTTTCTAATTCTGCATCACCCTTTAAGTTGACCAGGTAGTACAGAACTGCGAGAGCCTCAGTCAACTGAAAGCCATCGCGGCCCTGATAAGCGGGGTTCTTTCCCAAGGGGAACAAACTTCTAAACTCCTCAGCTTTGTCACTAGGGTTGACGAGTTCGATGTCCAGCTCGAGCCACTCAACTAGAGCCCGGGGCAGCATTCCCCTTGCATTCTTAATAGCGTATAGTGTTCCAGCGGTCATTTTCGTGATGAGATTTGTGGAAAGGGAAGAAGGTTCAGGTTGAAAAGTCCAAGGTGGCGCATTTTATACTGGAAGTGTCGGTTGATTATGGCATTGGCTTGGGTTAGGTTCATCACTAAGGAGGTGGATGATCGTACGTGCTCCATTTGTTTTGCCTGTGTACATCGTGGCCTTAGTAATCATAGTTATGTGATTTATCTCGAGCACTGCAAGCGAGAAGGAACGAATGTAAACATTGGATAGTATTTGTTGTTACGAGTGGCAACTAGCAACTTTCAAAGCGTACGGCAAACCTTGGCATGGGATTGTAGAAATATGGATTGATATCAATTATGCTTATTAATATTTTTACGGTGCTGATAGAAGCATGATCATCAGCGCGGCTCCTTAAAGCTCGAGCAATGAAGATTTCGAGTGCTGAAATATGTGAGAGGATTGAAAGGAAGCGCATACATAGTCCTGTCAGTGTTTTCATTGATTGCCATGGCATCCAAAGGCCCCTATGGAGTACTTACTAAACGAAAATTTCATGGCTGGAGATAAAAACTCAGCACAGGCTCCATGAGTTTGGTGATTTTGGTATCCCATCTAAGCCGTAGGTTTCTTTGGCGTCTTGACATGTGTTTTCTAGATCACCGGAGGATTTCCCGCTCTATTCCAGAATAGGGCTCTCTATCAACATGTACTTCTAGTTTTGAATGGAACCCTCTAGCTTATGTCATTATAATTCCTTGACGAATGCAAATCCTTCTCTTAGATCGTCCTCGGCAAATGCGCAGTTGCCCATATCTTTCTTCACCACCTCTCCTTCGGGAGAGATGTCAAAGTCGAAGATATCCATAGGCAGCCTTATAAGGGTACGACACCCACTTCCGCCGTAATCCCCATACTAATTCCACTTTTTTTCCCTTCTGTCCCGAAAAACTTTCCCTCGAGTACCGAAAAAAGGATTTGCACCCAGAGGGTCACGTGATCCGGCATTGAGGTAGCCGCTTCAAGCGGTGTTTCCAGGATTGACGAAATTTTAGCTACATCATGAGGTAATTGGGGTCAGAAGAAGCCTAGATGTCACCAAGTCTGTGGACTAGGATAATAAACACACAGAAGAAAGCTATGGTGGGGTCGGTCAGTGTCTGTTTCCTCGCATCAGCGTGCAACGCTATCGGGTTTTCGGAATAATGCATTTTTAGCGGCTGGAACCGCACGGGGGTGAAGTAATATAGAAGCAAGGGTAAACGCACAGTGGGAAACATATATGCCCGGCTTCCAAGTACGCGGGAAAGCTCGCTGACACTGAGAACATCGCACTTTTCGCAGACGGGCCGATCACGTGCGTCTGTTCCTCGAGTCCTCACTTCTGCGATACGTAGATCATGATTGATGGGAGGTAACAAAAGTCACGTGGTACAGAAGCACGCTCTCGCGGGTGGAGAGGCTGGGTAGAGGAGTACTGCTGAGGCACAGTCGAAGAGGCATTGGGAGACCAGGGAGAGGGGCGGGAGACCAGGAAAGATAGAGGTGGGGTGGCTAAGGTACTCCTGAGGGTGCATAATATGATAGAAGTGGTAAGTTTGGAAAATAGTGGGAGAAGTGCCGAAATCTCGAGGGTCTAAACAGCCGAGGTACGGTGGTGTCTGGGTGGAGGAGGTAGGGATGGAGAGTAGCGATCCCGTGATCAAGATAGTATGATGAGGGCGTAGTGCTCCCGTGACCAGGCACCGTATGGCGAGGGGCTGGCAAGTCTGGGACATGGAGCTCTCCCAAGGGAAGCTGCGGAATGCTATTTTCGGGCGCTGCTGAATCGATTGAGTGCTTAACGTCCAGGAGAGGGCGGAAAAAATGGCGAAATCTGGAGGGTCTAAACAGCCGAGGTTCGTGTCGTATATAATGATGTATAAGATAGCAAGGACGTTATAGTGTGGTGTGCAGACGTACAACATGTCTGGGTGGGAAATTTCGAGGCGGTGTAGCCGAGCGAGCAGGAGTCAGGGAGGAGGGGGAGCGCTGTGGGTAGAATAGCAGTCGTCTCGTTTATGTATTTCATGTCTGTTGGGAATAATATGAATAAACTGATGGTGATGTGCGTCTAATCGCATAATCAGCGTCAGTGAATATGTGACACAGTGGTACAGAATGATAGTACACAATCAAGGCCATACAAATAGAGCTAAAAGCTAAGACAAACCGAAGAGAACAACTATTGTCCAATAGGATTGGCCATTGATAAGTTATCGGTAGTGTACGGCATTGAAGCCGTAATCCTTGGGCAATAGAATGATCTAGAATGGGTGATTAATAAATATGTTGACCAGAGTCACCGAGTGAGAATTGTATAAATACCAGGCTTTTGTTCAGGTAACTGAACCAACTCTAATGCCTAAAATAATCACGGAGAGATAAGTAGAATTCCCTAGATCCAAGTTACTCATCTTACAATGACTATGTCCGACTTACAAGACAAATTTAGTAAGCTTTCTACTGATGAATCAGATTCGCCTCAATAGAGGTACTATGCTATTCGTGAGGCAATTGGATGTAAGTCTACTTGTCCCTTGGCGTAGCGCGAGCTTTGACCTTTTGAAGTGTAATCTTCAGTCTTGCTGCTATGATCTTACAACCATCGGAACAGCCAATCCAATTGCACAGGGGCAAGAAACGATGAGCACCGCAATAGCCTGGCCACTGACTGAACAGCTGCATCAACAGCCACTTAGCAATGAAATGTGATGACGCTCAATATCGCTACAATGTGCACAAAGTGAGATGCTACGGTATTTGCAATCCGCTACATCTTGGAGTCGGACATCTTGGCATCATCGACCATGGCGGTAATTTGTAGTCTGGAAGCGCAGACAAGCATAGTGCCAGATATATTGATGGTCCCTACAGTGATACGCGATCCTCTCTTCTTTATAACAGGAAGCGTTCCTCCCGTGAGCATTGACTCATCAATCTGCGACCAGTCCTTAACAACTGGCCCATCGATCGAGATACTAAAGTCAGGTGTCATCAAAGATATAACACCTTGCTGCAGTAAGCTCACGTCTATCTTCCGGCCCTCAAAATTATCCGGATCGACAGCCAACTTCGTTTCGTGTGTCTGCAGCGACCGAGTTGAGATGGATTATAGAACTTTCTGCCGGGTCAACGCCGTAACAAAAGGCTCGACCATTATGAAAGTGACCAGCAATGAGCTTGACTCGAAGAACGGACCCGTCGAAAGAGGATGGCCAGCAACTAGAAATTAAAATAAAATGACGGAAACTATATACGTCACGCTGGTGCTCTACACAACGAGAAGATCCATCTCGACAGCACGCAGAAAAAAAGGAAGGCTCTCAATGCTCCGGGGTGAAAAGGTCTAGCGATAACAGCTTGATTGCAAGAACCAGTAAAGTCGCACCCCGTACGCAATTTCACAGGGTGGAAGCGGGGCCCAAGCTAAGACGCAACACCTGAATTGTGAAATCCATAGCAATTGCCGTCGAAATCCAATTAGCAGTATGTGTTCTTTGCTCATCGCCAACGCTAGGTCCACACAGACCGATGCAAGCGCTACCGAATGAGCTTCACGAAGGTCACAGGCCCTTGAATCAATGGAGTCATATGTAACTCGGATACTGGCCTTGGGCCTATACCTCTACTACAGCGCAAGAGAAGGGCTACCCAAACTTTGCACTTTTCATAGAAACTTAAACAGCTGCCGCAAACTTAGCAGCGCTTTTCATAAAACAATACCACATCCTTGTCAGCGAAACTATGTTATATATCACTTCATAGGCTGATCACTCTCCAATTGCCCTACTTCATAGACCCATATTGCCTACTTCGCAGCCCGTCGTGTAGCACTGGAAACTAAAAGGACACCAGGGATCCTAATTGGCTTTTGGTAGTTAGTATTAACCTCTTTGACAATCAAGTCAATCACCTCGTTCTTCTGTTCTGTCGTGAGCGACCCAAAGATACCAGAAACCTGTGGGATGCCGCTGTTCACCAGGAAATCCGCTAACTCGCGGGGCTCGTCTACCTCTAGAAACACGTCAGTAGGCTCCACAGTGACATCGACAAATCCTGCCTTGGAGCACTGTTCTCTTATCCATTCAGCTGAGGCCCATCGAGGTGGCAGTTGTGGAGGGGCCAGTTCTGGCCTAATTTTCTGGACAACGTTGCGAAGGTCCATCCATTGTATTCTCTGAAACGATGTCATCCCGATTGCACCACCCGGCTTTAGAGTCCTATACGCTTCATTAAATGCAGCGTCGGGGTCATTTGAAAAGAACATTACCAACGAAGCAATGATATGGCTGAGACTGGCATCATCAAAACAGCTCATGTCATTTACATCACACACTTTGAGCTCCAGTTTGCTCCACAGATTACTTTCTGGATGGCTCTCTTTTATTTTTTCTACGGCTGACACCATTTTAGGGCTAAGGTCGGCAGCAACCAACCTTGAAGAATCAGGTAAGCGGTGTGAGTAGCTCCTGATTAACGTGCTAATGCCTATCCCGGTGCCACATCCATTGTCTAAAATGGCAGAAGCCTTTTCTAATGGCAAAAGTGTATCAATGGCTTTGAGAATCGCTTCGGCAGAAACTTTGGGGGGACCCTGCTGGAACTTTTCAGCGTACGCCTTGCTTTGACGACCCCATGCGTCAGACATGATTTTGTGGACAATGGTGATACAAGGCGGCCTATTGACGAAAGATTGATGCCAAGCGCGCTTTATATATACATCGTTACCTCGCTTTCATCTGACGGTACACTTAGGGGTGTACATTCTTAACCAAATTCCTATCTCCGCCGTAAAATCGAACATAAAATAACTGTGGGGCAATTTTTCTTGGCAGCCTTGGCAATTTCGAAAGTCATGCTTATAAGATCAGAGCCATGTGTGATGTTTGACCCCTCCACCCAACCAAGTGGATAGCGGCAATAATACTTATGCTCCTGGTCATGTAGCATCGACCGTATTCTCAAAGCTCACCTTATCCAGATCACAGTTTCGCACTCCGTGCTCGTATGTAATCTTTCTCAAGCTTATCTGCCCATCCAACCCCTTATCTCTAATCGTAGCGATGATTACTCGGATGATTCGGATCGACAATCCGATGTATACCATGAGAGGGTCCCTCATTGTGCTCACCGCAGAATGGGGCAACAACGCCGTTTCTGATGCATCGGTGAAACCGCGCTAAGGCATAAAAGGCAGACACTATAGCCGACTTTGCGGATACGATCTGGTTAGAATTGCCTACCACCCAACGATGAATAATAGTCAGGAGGCCAAGAGGAAACTCTCAGCTTGCAAGGAGACTCTCGAGCCCGCAAACTCCAACGATTACGCTTTAGGACAAGTCGAATTCCTTTCAGATGCGTCAGAAGTGTTGAGTTCACGGAACTTGACAACACTCAGGTGGAAAATTGACCTACGCATTATGCCGCTATGCATGGCCATATACTTCCTCCAGTATCTCGACAAAACCTTGTTGAACTATGCAGCAGTGATGGGAATCAAGAAGAACTTACATGGTGACCAGTTTAGTGATCTGGGCACAATATTTTACGTTGGCTACTTGGTAGCAGAGCCACTCTCCGGCTTCCTCATACAAAAGCTTCCGGTGGGAAAATTTCTCGGCCTCAATGTCACACTTTGGGGCATGGTTGTATGCTTCCACGCCGCTACAAAAAGCTACTATGGGTTGATGATTGTGAGAGTGCTCCTTGGCGTATTCGAGGCCTCTGTAGCAGGATGTCTAATAATTATCACAGGAATGTGGTGGACAAAGCCGGAGCAATCTAGAAGGACGGGCCTGTGGTACATGCAGATTGGCACCGGCCAGGTCGTGGGTGCGCTTCTCTCGTTTGGGTTTCAGCACGTCTCGGACACGAAACTGGCCAGCTGGCAGATCCTGTTCATATTCATGGGGTGTCTGACCGTCGTAGTCGGCATTTTGACCGTTTGCTTCATGCCCGATAACATACAAAAGAGCACTTTTCTCTCTGAAATTGAAAAGGCAGAGGCCGCCGAACACGTCAAGGTCAACCAAATCAGCGCTGAAAACAAAACAGTCAAGATAGCGCAGCTCAAGGAGCTACTTGTCCATGATAAACAAACCTGGGTCCTCTTCCTCATTACTATACTAACGATGATCACCAACGGAACGGTTTCAAATTTCACCGGTGTCATTATATCGTCGTTCGGGTACAGTAATGAGAAAGCCACCATTTTCCAAATACCCTCTGGAGCCGTCTCCATCATTGCCACATTAGCCTGCTGCTACCTTGCCGGCCATGTTGGACAGAGATGCTACATCATGGGGGCAGTGTGTGTACCTTCTATTGTTGGGGCCATTCTCCTGTTAGCGTTGGACCAGAACCATAGGGTCGGTAAGTTATTCGGCGTTTACCTTCTGAACTCTGCACCTGCCATTCTTCCCATGATATACAACTGGAACTCGGTAAATACGTCGGGACACACTAAAAGAGTTTCCAGAAACGCGCTCACTTTAATGGCATTCTGTGTAGGGAACCTCATCGGACCGCAAATGTTCAAAAATAACGATGCTCCAAACTATACACCGGCCAAGATCGCTCTTATAGCTCAGCTTGCCATTGCCATCGTTCTCTGTTTGTGTCTTCGTGCGATCGTAGTTGCGGAGAACAAACGGCGCGACGAAGAGTGCACCGGACTGGATCCTGAGGTGCTACGCCGAGATACTACCACGCTCGACTTGACTGATCTCGAGGATATAACATTCAGATATGTGTATTAGATGTAGTAGTTGTGGTGTTAAGTTCTTTAATATGGTTCTGGATATATCTTGGCAAACGTCTATTCATTAACTAAGTGAAAACCGTTTTGGGCTACATTATATACACTTGTGCTTGCCATACCTAACCTTATTATTGTGAAGAAGCGCTAGAATTCTCAATTCGATAATGGGACAACAAGATTCTCGATATTCCTGCAGCCTCTGTTTTTGGATTTCATGTAAGTCGTGCTGATTCTGACATTTGAAAGCTCTCACCATTGCGTAAAGTTGAACACTCTTAGAGTCAAACCCACTGTCAGCAGTCAATGGTAATTTTATGTGGTTTTGAACCAGAATTTTGCACGCCAAGGGCTTCGAAAATAAAAAGGGAAACTAAAGTTGGAATAAGGGCTGATAGCAGCATTTGATGTGCTTTAGGCACTTTTACTGGTAAAATTGAAAGCAAATATTACATTTTATTTACCATGCTAAATTTTAATCCATCAAAAGCATCTCAGAAATGAATACATTATTTTCTTCTGACTATCCGAGCATTGGTTTATCGTATTAAATTTCCATTGGAAGAAACATCCGTTTGAAGTAATTCAGCCACGTATTTTGAAGCAGCAGTTCATATGTTTCCTTCGAGCTATCCTCGAGAAGTTCGTTGTTAATCCTGGCGTTGAGGACCCGTCTAACCTTCCATTCGCGATAAGGTAACAGAGATAATAGTCCGCCAAAATACATGCAGATGACAAAAATTTGGCATCGCAGATATGGTTTCTGAGATTCAAGGTTTCTAAGGCGCAATGCCACAACTTCAGCAAACAAAGTTACCCCACCATTTCCAAAAAAGACATAACCCATTCCTGCTGCGAACCTCTGTATGCCAACAACGTCTGCGACCAGTGGCACGACGTTAACCGCACCCACACCAGCACCGAAGCCAAGCAAGATACAAAATGGCACCAGCTCTTGGAATTTGGTTATGTTCAACCAGAAAGGGAGCAAGAGGATCAAAGTATATCCAGTCAGCAAAATGCTTGCATTACATCTGCCAGCTACTTCTGATAGCCATCCCATAAAAGGCCTCCCAAGCGCTTGTGAGCCATTGAAGATCGCCAGTGCCACAGTAGCTTCTTTTACAGGCAAACCTATGGATGTAGCATAGTTCGAAATGGAAAACATCAAAATAACGTAGCCTACTGTGCAAAAGGAGGACCAGAGAGCTGAATAATGTAACGGGGTTATTTTAAGTACCGAGTGGTCAAAAGATTTCTTGAGTACTTCAAATGAGTTTTCTTTTTCGTTCGAGCTCTTAAGCTGGCGTACCTTAACAAAGCAAAGTGATAAAATATTGATTGAAAAAGTGGTAGCCGCCAACATGCGCATTGCCCATCGATGATCACCGGTACGATCAATCATTGCATGGACCGCAAAAGAAAAAACCAGCCCACCAAGCCCAACTCCAACATGGCCCATACCATTAGCAAGTGCCCTTTTTTTTAAAAACCAACTTGGAATTACAATTGTGTTGGAACCAAATATTATTCCAAAAGAAATACCCAGTAATACACCGTAAGTGACATAGAGGACACCAACGGTTTTGGCAAAAGAGCTTGATATAAATGCAACAGCTTCTAGTACAATAGCAAAGGCCAAAGTCCGCTTGTAACCAAATATGCTCATGCAAGCGGCAACAAATGGTAAGAGTATTAAGGTTAGCCCAATGACAATTCCACCAATAACGGCGAAGTCTGTAGGCGTAGCTTCAGGGAAATAGTTCGAGGACAGGAAGTATGACAGGAAGATCCCATAACACGTATTGGGCCCCCAAGTAGCGAAGTTCATCAACGCAACACACCCACAGCATACCCACCCGTAGCCGCCATCTGGTGGCGGGTCTAGATACTCATCCCTAGCGTATAACCCGTCATCTTTTTCGGACACAACTGTTTGTTCTGCCGCTCCAGACTTTTCGTCCTCGTCAGAACAGTCAGCATTATTGAGGGCTTCGCTACGTGAACTTGACCTGACTTTTTTGTCTACGGTATTGGGGACTTCATTGATGTACCTCGCCAATGTCGAGCTGGACATGGAACTATTTCGAAATGGCCAATCTGTACCTTGCTAGAGCTATAATCGTAGAACCAGTTGAACATGTAGTTCTACTGTCTCGATGGCATTTTGAAAGCTCATCGCTGGGCAAGTTGTGTCATAGTCATCCGTGAACCATTATAAAATGAGACTGAAAACTTTTATAGTGAAAAATTAACTGATAACAAGCCCGAGCAGCGCCGCGTGAAAGTAACGTCGGCCAATTACCCATATAGGCAGGACAAGAGGAACCATATCTAAGGGAGTACGGAAGGATCTTTCCAACTACCGCAGGGATCACCGAGTTTTCTACATTAAAAATTATAGTAGTGACTTCGACTCGATCGGATGAAAAAGAGTACGCATCATATAGTGCTCGAGCGATAGGCTTTACAGCGCTTCAAAAGCGACCGAACCCAAAGTGACGAATCTTATTGCACTCAGGATGTACGTAAGACATGAATATAAGAACGGCCTACTCTTTAAACGATTGGGGATCTCCCCGTGTCTTCAACTTCATCTAAGGTACAGAAATGGACTGGAGTGCTGACATTGAGACTTCGCACTCGTCAAACTCAGGTTGTGAAGTGACGTGTGTTATAGTCTATTCACTTATTTAGGCTAATCTGGTTCATTAGTAGAATGCTTACTAAATTTGTTTTGTAAGTCGTTGATAGACATTGTAAGACGAGTAACTTGGATCTAGAGAGCTCTCTTTATCTCTCCGTGATGATTTTAGAGTGCTAGAGTTGATTCAGTTACCTGAAGGACAGTCTGGTTTTTATACAACTCTTGCTCGGTGACTCTGAATAAAACTGTTATTAATTATCCGTTTTAGAATATTCTATTATCAATGGATTGCGGGTTGATTGCGGCTCAATTTCTTAACTTATCCATCGCCAATCCCATTGGACAACAGTTGTTCTCTTCGCTTTGTCTTTTTTTTGCTTGTAAGTCGATTTGTATGGCCCCCGCTGTGAAGTATCATTCTGTACTACTGTGTTACATATTTACTGACGCTGATTATGCGATTAGACGCACATCACCATCAGTTCCCTAGTAACTCACATTATTCCCAACACTACTTGTATGGCCTTCGCATTAATACATCAATTGATTGAGAGATTGACAGTCCATGGAACCTACTGGCGAGCTTTACCTATTCCGTCGGTCTGCGATTGTCAATATCCAAGAACTGCTTATCCAATTCCCGTACAGCTCGAGAAAGACCTCGAGGCTTGCCGATCGGGGTGCCGGAGAAGAAAAAAATTGAGAAAAAGTTCTTGGCGGAAACTGGCAGCGAGATAAAGTGAGAAAAGAATAGGGTTTTTGATATCTTACCTATTCATGTCGGCTGGCGTAAGTGCGATACAAGAACTCAAAATGACAAGATCCCTATGCGCGGATGAGTATCTCTTCTCAGCTTATCATCTACATATTGCATTGCTACATTCCACAGGGAGAGGACCTACGCCTTTTTGACCTTTTGCAAAGCCTCGGACAGAGAAACAGGATTCCGATTATTGCACCCCACTCTGATTTAAGTCTATTTTTATATGTTAACAAAGTTTTGCAATTAAAAGACCTGAAGCGCCACAGCAGAAGTTCAAAAAGGTGTGAAGGTTGCGTGAAGCAGCTCACTGCTTCACACCCCTGTCAGCTTTGATTGGAAGTCCGATTCGGTCCTTTCCAGTCGATGTGCTCTCAATTGTCGCTACGGGCTACTAATGTGCGATGGACACACTTTTTTTTATTAAAAAAACTTGGATTCTGAGGTGATAGGGTACTAATTAGGTTAATCGCTATCATTGCGCGTTTTTGCCGTAGACAAGAAGCGAAATTCACATCTAATCTGGCGCAAGAAGCTATCGATAAGTTGCCGACATGCTCAGTTTTGATTGATTTTGTTGGCAGCTATCTGCGATAAGCGCTTTCCGAGACAGTTATAAGTATCCCTCTAGTTCATCCTTCTTTATGCTCGTTGGAAAGTCAAGAATGCGGACAAGTGAACTTTCATAGTAGATCTGCTTAGAGAATTCAGCTCAACAAACTCTCTAATGCAAACTGCTCCCAATATCCCAAAGGACGGTATTCCTGAAAACGTAATTGGGGTTACTTCAGTGTTGAGCAACACAGATTTGGAAATTGTTTGGGGAAACCATGAGTTAGAAAAGGACATTGAACCAACTTCGCGTTGGAAGCGAATTTTAAAGACTTTAGAGGTATCACATGGTACCAAGCCGATCTCTGTTCTTAGAAATCCGGACCTGGAACCGGTGTCAACGAAGGAGCGCACTTGGGGCTTTTTTTCCTTCTTCGCCTACTGGGGTCTCCCAAACTTTGCTGTGGCAACATACTCTACTGGCTCTGCTTTGTTGGCCTTAAACTTGAATATTCAACAGTCAATAGGAGCTTTGGTCATTGCCAATGTCTTAATAGCTACCGTCACTGTGTTGAACTCTAATCCAGGAATCAGATTTCACATTGGTTACACTCTAACCCAGCGTATGATATTTGGCATTTATGGCTCATTCGTTGGTATTATGTTTCGTGTTGGTCTTTCTGTGGTTATATATGGCTACCAGTCGTGGCTTGGTGGTCTATGTGTCAATATGATTTTTGATTCATTTTCTGGGAATTACCTGAATATGACAAACACTTTCCCAGAATCTGTACCAATGGCTAAAAAAGATCTTATCGGGTTTCTGTGTTTCCAATTGATTCAGATGCCATTTGCATTTGTGAGGCCCAGTCGCGTAAACACGCCCTCTATCGCAGCCTGCTTTATGACGATGTTCTCCATTATTGGGATGCTCGCCTACCTAGTCCAAGCTAATGGAGGCCCCGGTCCTTTATACTATCAAAAGGTTGATTTATCGTCAGATCAAAGATCATGGATGTGGTTATTTGCCATCACGATCTGGTATAGTGGTGTGGCGCCGGCCGTTGCTAACCAATCAGATTACTCGCGTTTTGCCTCTGGAGAGACGTCGTGTTACTTGGGTTTGTTTCTTGGAACAGTTTTACCAGGAACATTTGTGTCTCTTGCTGGAATGCTGTGTGCATCAGCATGCAAAGAGTTGTATGGCACCGCCTTTTGGACCCCCACCGAAATAGTGGAGCAGTGGCTGACGACAGACTACTCCTCAAAAGCACGAGCTGCGGCCTTCTTTATTGGTATTAGTTTTACAGCTTCTCAAATGTTCCTAAACTTGACTCAGAACGGATATGCTTGCGGAATGGACTTGGCTGGTATATTCCCTCGTTTCGTTGATATTACTCGGGGCACTCTATTTGTGCAACTAATTTCGTGGGTGGTTCAGCCATGGAAATTCTTCAATACATCTTCCTCATTTTTAACTGCAATGGGATCTTTTGGAATGTTTGTAACACCTATTGTGACTTTGAATATCATTGAGTTCTATTGGATTCGTAGGGGCAAAATTACACTTATAGACTTCTTTACGTTATCCAAAAAAGGTGCCTATTGGTATACTTTGGGAATTAATTGGAGATCAATGGTTTGTCTCGTCATCGGAGTAGCTTTGGGAATTCCTGGTCTCATTTATCAATGTTATCCGGAACTCGAAGCCAATGCGGCTATGGTAAATTATTACTTTGGATACATGTTTTTCATTCCAATCGTGACGGGTGTTCCTTACCTTGTTCTTACCTACCTCTTCCCTGTGCACCATGAGAAATTACAAATGGTTGATCCGGTCGACTTTTACAATTGTTTTTCTGATAAAGAACTAGCAAACTTAGGAATGCAACCTGGAAACAACAGTAGTGAAGATCTCTACGAATACTTGGATGCAAAGCTACCTGATTCTCTCGCTGATGTGCCAGAGATTGTACAGGAGAAGAAAGCTGTCTCAGGGGCCTAATATTTTGAGGAAACAGTGCCGCCTCTGTATCAGTTTGAAATGAGTCCGTTAATAATCTAAGCATTTACCAACCATTGATTCCAAACTCCAAGATTGTGTTAATCTTTTGTCTCTGCAAACAGCGGTTCCAATTGAGCCTATCAGACTAGTCCAACCCACCATTTTATGAAAATGTCTCACGCAAAGGTGAATTATAGTGGTATTTCCTTTCCCAATTTTATTTTACTGAGATAGTATTCGAAAGTGGCTTAATTGTAGTCAATTGTCAACTGATTGAAGGGTTGTGGAGTTTTACAAACGGACATTTTGCGACACCGTCCTGGTAGTTCCTTTGATCAAGCAAGCATGTGATAATCAGCAGATTGTAGATAACACGCATAGATAACAGAGATAGACAACGAATATACTTACAAATGATACGGCCTGCCTTATCTCGAGTATATATTTGATAGATCCATTTCATGCCAGACCAGTCTGAAAAAGCACACAAACGAGCTGGGTAAGAATACAGTTGATGTACTTGTTAATGTGGAGATGGTCAGCACGTTTAACAATCTACAGCTTCATGTGATCTGGTGCAAAGAGAGGGCGACCATGGAAACAAAGTCCTGGAATTGGAATGTATACCAAAAACCTCGAGTAATATTCTTGCACTTAACAATGGACAAGGATCAGAGTCAAGTTCAATACAGGTTACAAAAGTGGACCTAACAAAATCCGCTTAAACTCACGGTAGCCCTGTGGATGTTTTCGCTATTTATTAACTTATCAGCACGTTAATCACTACCTAAAGGAAGAAGCCTTATCTCTATTGACCTCCCCTGGGCCATTCACTGGATGCTCTTAGCAGCTGAAAGTGCGATAGTCCCGGAAGGTATATAAATCACACGGACTAACGTTGAATCGACTGTGTTCCAAGCTAAGATGCGGATAAGAAAGCATGGAACTTTAACCCAAGTCCCCCGACAGTCATCTTTTCGACAGAAAACATAGCCCCGTTGTATTATCTGCCACTTCCTTAGAGGGCAAATTTATTGAATTGAATCTAAAAGATGTTGATCAAGCGCTCTATTATGCTTTAGATACAAGAGGACTTGAAGTTGAGCCCCATGTGAGCGTAAGCTGGTCCGCAAAATTGACTGGTATATATTACCCATTATTGTAGCGTTGACGTCCTGTCAACTTATGGACAAGACATAATTTCCTGCGCCTCTATAATGGGCTCGACTACTGATTTGCAAATGACGAGTCAAGCTTATTCGTAGGTTGGCAGCTCGTTCTACTTTGGTTACCTGGCTTTTCGGTTTCCAGCAAATCTTCTACTGCAAAGATTTCAATTTCAAAAACGCTTGGATGTGCCGTCATTATGGGGTATTATCCTGATGTGCCCTGCTGCATGCTATTCCTCTCCCCTTTCCTCGCCGGTCGAACGCTATTGGGGGTTTTTGAAAGGTTCATAAACTCTGCTTATATTTTGCTAACAGGTCAATGGTACAAGAAAAGTGAACAGTTTATGCGATCTTTCATTTGGTTTGGTTTCCAAGGTTTAGGCGTTGGCATAGTTTATGATCTTTTTGAAAACGATGCCTACCGTGTGGCTTCTTGAAGGCTCCTCTATATCATGACCGAAACATCACAATAGCTTTGGGCATTATGTCAATCATTCAAATTCCTGACATACCAGTTAAAGCGTGGTTTTTGAGTGAGGACGAAAAGAAGTACTGTGTTGAAAGAATAAGAAACCACCAACAGGGCCGTGTTAATAAACATTTCGAAGTTAGTCAGATGCGTGAAACTTCAGGAACTTGAGGACTTACATTTTTTTTTTCATCTACGGCATGTCATGCTAATCCTAATGACGCTTTACCAACTTTGGTTGAACTCTGTTGCACAAAGACTTTGGATTTTCGACCTAACAGTCTCTCTTGATGAACATGCCCTGCGGTGCGATTGATATTGTATAACCATTTTGGTTGCATTTATAAGCATCAAGCTTTTTAATGGTGTCGACTGATAATCTGCTTCATCGTTAATTCGCTAGTTGTTGTGGCATGTGTTTGTTAAATTTCTCTGGGTACAAATGGTATAAATTAGCCGGCTACTTTACCTTTTGTGCTGCAACGGCTGTTATTTCGGGGGTTGTTTCTTGCATCTCATCCAACACCGCTGGTCACACAAAGAAGGTCACTTGCATACTCTTTTCTTGATTGGATATTGCTTCGGCAACATCATAGGCCCACAAAGTTTCCGGGCTACCCAAGCTCCAAACCGGCACAGTTGCTTTCTTAAAGATTGAAGACGCTTCTGCTTGTGAAAAGTATAATGAGAAAAACTTCCCTACGTGGACTTATGATATGAGAGAGAAAGGCATTGGAGGTCTCTATGGATTTCCCGTAAAAAACGGATAAATGAAAATTGGCTATAGAGTACTAAAATGGATCAACCCAACGGATAAGGTTAATTAAAAGGTGAAGACAGCTTTCTCTGCAGAATCCGAAAAAAATGTGCCACTCTTTGGTTTTTAAATAATCAAGCAATTCATTTCAGAGCATATTCCAGAGGTACACAAGATTGACGGCACTAGTCTTTGTTGGTATTCCGATAGTGAGTATAATGACTTTCTCATCTCTTACTCGCCATCTTATGCTGAAAAGTCTCTCTTCACTATTGCTGGGGATTCGGGACATGAATTTATGATGTTTGGTAGTATAGGTGAGATTGTTGCCGATAATAATAATCTTGAATCAATCACCAGATCCATTTTTGAGAGACCTTTTTCGTGGACAAGGAAAAGAGAGGTCCTGAACCATATTAATAAGGGTCCTGGCGATCCTCCTGCATTATGCAACCAACTTATGGCTACTAGAGGCGACTGGACAATTAGAGGAATATCTAAGTTATGATAACAGCTCTATATATAATAAAGGTATTGTCTTCTCCAGCACTAAGTTGTGCCTCCCAATGAGTGGTGAAACCAGTGAATGAAAAATCCTGTTTTTCCCACCCAACACATTTGTTATATAGTTTTACTTGATTTCATTCGTAAAGTACACTAGAGATAGGACGTTCTTTGGGGACTGTAATAAGTCCTTGACCCTCTTTCAACCGAAACTGGACCACCTTAAGTAAATTGTACACTACATTCAATGTTGGTGTTTTGACGTCAAGTTCCCTAGCAACTTTTAGCAGATTACCCAAAATTACTTCTAATTCAATTGGATTGCCTTTTTTTGACGTCGACGCGCATGGAAGGCTCAAACCAGTCTCCATCGTCGGAGTGAACAACCAAGTTTATAACGTCTGTAGGTAAATCCACACCATCTGCCTTTGCAACTGCTACAACCTCTCTCATTGCCGGGACTGAAACAGACTCTAGACCTCCCGCAAGATCTAGTCTGCCGGTATCGACTCCCGTAAGAGCGCAAACCGTATTCAGCGTAGCGTTGTAAACCAGCTTTCGGTACCTGTACCACTTTGCATCTGCAAAATAAGTGCAGTTATTATTCTCGTTTGAATAAAGAGAGATAAACTCACGAGTTTTAGCCTCCTGAATATTCTTTGATAGGTTGGGATTTTCGAAATAGCTTACCAAAGACTTGTCCTTCTGTGTTTGGTGAATAACTCCCCTGTCGTTATGCGATCCGATATGCGATACCCCTGAAATAATCACATTCCGTGGGTACTTGGCAATGAATGGACGGCCCAAATCAAATCCGTTTTGCATCAGAACAATGGATGTTTTTTCGGGGGTAACCGCAGGGCTCACAAGCTCTTCCAGTTTAACGATGTCCGGGAGATTCTTTGTGGTCAATATGATGAAATCATACTGTATCCCCTGAGCGACGGCTTTTTCTGCAGTAGGGAATATGTTCTGAGGTTTCCAGCCTTTAATGCTTCCATAATCGATAGATTGTATTTGGTAGCCAGCATCTTTCACTTTGTCGTAATCGCGTCTGACAACGATTGACAAATTGGATTTACCAACAAAATCGATACCGTAAGCAACAATAGTTCCCACCCCTCCGGCACCGATAAGAAGGACATTAGCTTTTGCACTGTCAGACATTTGGCTTGCAACTGCTGGAGAATGAAACGTAACCTTGATATAATTACGTAGTTTTTCCCAAAAGACTCAACGGTGATGAGCTAGCAATTAAATAGGTATTCTTTCTATCTTGGTTGACTTTCCCAATGAATCGTTTTGCACCTTAAGTTCGGGAGATAAGAACTATCAACTATCAAGCTTATCGAGTGCTACTGATAACGCCTGAGAAAGTCGGAAAAATACGCCAGCCATCTTGAGGCGGAGATTTAAGATTGTCAAGACATCGAAGAACTAGTTTTACCGACCCAAAATAATGACATAATTTGGACTTTCATCAGGCTGTCTCCGCAGATCAAAAAAAAACAAAAGTAATGAGGGGTTATGTGGGTTTTTCGTCTTTATAATAATGCCGGTTGTTAATATCGTTTAAAGTCTCTAACTGGGTCAACCTTGCGATGAGCGAGGTTGAAAATGATCCAAAGGACATAAGCAAGACCTGATAACAACTATATCTGGATCGGGCGTCAGTGAAGGAAGACAGTTTTCGGAACGACAAAATAAGAGAGTTGTTTGTCGGTGCTCAGCATCATGCTTCCTTGCGTTAACGGCTGGATTGGCTTTTTTTCCAGCAGCAGGTAAAATTGTAGAGCAATTTGCTTCAACTTGCTCCACTATCAATGTCTCCAGCGCGGTTTACAATGTTTTCATGGCTCTTTCTTGCTTTGGGGCTCCTTTTAGCGACGCCTGCGGGCGCAAATCTGCCTTCTTGGTGTGCATATATTCTTACGTCTATTCAACAGTTTTGGTAGGCCGTTCGCAGAACTTGGCCATGTTTGTTTACTTTTAAAAGCAACAACCGCTTTCTTTGGTAGCGCTTTTTTTACTATAGATGCTCAAATTCTTAGTGATATTTATCCTTCCGAGCGTAAAGTGAGTGCCATGAGATGGAACATGGAGACCAGATTAGGTCTTTTTCAAAACCTACTTTTGGAGCAAGTGTTGGCTCTTGATAAACACAATAACTCGGAGCCTGATTTGAAGGGCCGCCGAAAGAAAAAGAAATTGTCTTCGTACCGATAAACGTTGCACATTCTATCCTTATAAAATCCTTCTCTGATGCTTGCTGATATTGCCCTATGAGTCTGATGTACAATATGTATTCATTACTGACACCGATCAGGCACGTCGTTGACCGCAGGTTTGATAAAACCTGGTGATTATATAGCGGACTCTTCTATCTGGCCCAGGAGCAAACTACTTTGCAGGTCCCTTTATTGGGGGGGTGGATTGTCCGATTACCAGGTGAAGCTCGTCTACGAATGACACTAGTTTTTTTGGCTTCGTGAAGCGTCAACCATTACATATGGGTGGTCCATTCAACCAAAAAAAGGTGGGTATGCCCTTTCAACTACCACCACATTTATCAACGGACTCTGCCAAGGAACGACTTTTTTCAGCTTATAATAGCTGTTCTATTGACTCAATGGCCAGCAACATTGGTGGAGGTGCACTCCGCGGCAATTACATGATACGATTTTTTTCTTCTGCAGTAGGTTCGGGAACATGTGTTCGGACGGTTAATGCAAGTGGAATAGGATGGGCGTCAACTATATCGGCTGTTGTTTGGTTGATTGGTTTGAGCGCAATGGTAATGCTCATCATGCATGGGGAACAGTTGAGATCAATGAACTCAAAGGGACCCTAGGGTCGCTATACTTGATAATTCGCCTATAGGAAAATAATCTCGAATGCGAAAAGTAAGGGATCGAAAGTTTCAAAGTCCGAGTGCTTAAAGCCACCGCCCAACTGTTTCTCTCGTTTTAAAGTGGTGTGTGTTAATGTTATAATCTGTTCACATTACATAAATTATTTGCTTAATAGGACATCCTCGATTTTTTTTGTTGTTGACATGGGCTCAATCCGTGGGCCTTCCTGTAAAGCAATTTATTGAATTCCGTCAACTTCTCCTTATAATCAAAATGTTTTTGTCTAGTGTCAATTTTGCAAAGGGAGTCCGACATGGCTTTTCAAAAATGAGCGAGTAATCCTGATGTGGGCCAATTCCAATGGTATTTTCAAACTTTACTGAAGAGGGCTATGTTCTGCCTCAATTTCAGTACTCCCCTCGGTAGAGGACGTCTTTGATCCGACTAGTTCAAAAGTATTGAAGCGAATCTGATACATTAGTAGAAAGCGTACTAAATTTGTCTTGTAAGTCAGTCATAGTCATTGTACGATAAGTACATTGGATCTAGAGATTTTTATTTTTCTCTCGGTGATTATTTTAGGCATTAGAGCTGGCTCAGTTACCTGAACAAACGCCTGGTATTTATACACTTCTCGCTCGGTGACTCTGGTCAACACATTTATTACTCACCCGTTCTACATCTGGGATTGCGGTTCAATGGCTTTTCAATTGCCAACCTCATTCGACACCAGTTGTTTTCTTGGACTTGTCGTAGATGTCAAGTCGATTTCTATGGCTCTCTTATGTACTATCATTCTGTACCACTGTGTCACATATTTCCTGACGCTGATTATGGGATTAGGCGCACATCACCATCAGTTTCTTAGTAACTCCCATTATTCCCAACATATACAAATGCAACGAGCGCTAAGCAATAGTCTAGTACATATTCTTAAGCCATTATAACACCATCTGTCCATGGACACCTCTAAAAAACTCACCACCTGGTTTCCTCTATTCAAGAACTTGACCGGGGGCCTTGCTCGCCACGTGCTACAGTCACCATTACTGAACCAGAAAGGTCACTTTCTCGAGTCACGTGATCTTCAAGCCAGCTCCCTCGGCATCTCTACCCAACTACTCTCGTTGAGCCTATGGTTTTGAATAGGGAAGGACTTCGTGAGCGTAAACTGTATTTCAGACGAGCTGATCAGGACTGGACTGTGTCACGGATGTGATCATGGCGAACCGTTCACACCTGTGATGTGCCTACTTCCGGTCGTCCGACTTCTACACCCAAAACGAACACTCTACTCCGGAAAAACCAGCCTCCGAATGGGTCATTCCACCACCTCTTTCTTGCTGTTTTTCCGATAAGCGTGGCTAGGCTTCAACAAACTGCAGCTGGAAAAACAATGTGAATGATCCTGCATCGGCGCGGGGCTGTCGCCGTGGCGACTGGGGCCCTTTCTGAAAAAATTCCACTTCCCAGTCTGTTCACCCAGTGATGACGAGAACCGAATCTGGGGTAGAGGACCCTTTCACATAGGATCATCATATCAGTACAAGCTGTGCATACCCCAATAGCTTGTAAAAAAGCGGAGGCACACACGCCGGGCACTCTAGTGATTATGCCTACAGTGTTGCCCGTCTAGTAAACAGTGGGTACAGATATAGGAAACAAGGTCCAAGTTTCCGGGTTTCCAACGTCCGAACCTACTATTGCGGGGTAAACCCCATCACTGTGTGTGGTTATGTAGCCGTTATTTTTACACGGAGGTGCTTGTTGGAATACGGCGTGAAGAAAACACTCGACTACCATTTTTCGATGAATGCAGTTCTCAAAAAAAGAATAGGTATTTAAAGAAGGTGGATTGTGAGCTGAGGTCTGCCGTTCGACTGTACGTTATACTATTTTCTATAGCACTTAACTGTCTCAACTGTTAACTACAGACAGTATTTGAACAATAGGAAGGTTACCTACCGTTCGCTAGCGTTCTGCAAGATTACGTAACAGTCTGCATTACCTTCAAGTTGCGTTTGACAACCATTGAACTCACCTACACAGAGTTGAATAGAACGACAGCGTCGCCACTCTTTCCAGTTTAAGCTAATGGGTCTACTACAGACCGTTTTTCGTGCCGATGATGAGATCGTCGGCTCAAAGTTCCGGGCTATTTTTGTGGGGCTCTTTGTGGCGTTCGGGGGTGTCCTCTTTGGTTACGACACTGGAACAATTTCGGGTGTTTTGGCTATGGACTACGTGAAAAGTACTTTTACTTCGACCGGAAGATTTACCGCGAGCGAAACCTCATTGATCACCGCTATCCTTTCAGCAGGTACTTTCACAGGTGCTGTTCTTGCTCCCTTGGTATCCGATACATTAGGGCGTCGGCTCGGTTTGCTTATATCCACTGTCATTTTTACGATAGGTGTCATTCTGCAAACAGCAGCCTCAGAGATGAACCTTTTGATTGTAGGCAGAGTGATTGCCGGTGCGGGTGTTGGTGTCCTCTCTGCCATTGTGCCCCTGTACCAATCCGAAGCTGCTCCAAAATGGATTCGGGGTGCGGTTGTATCTTGTTACCAGTGGGCCATCACTATTGGCCTTCTACTGGCCGCGTGCGTCAATCAAGGTACTCATAACCGCAATGATAGTGGCTCCTACCGCATTCCTATTGCCATCCAATTTTTGTGGGCTCTTATCATGTTCATTGGTATGGCTTTATTACCCGAGTCACCTCGTTTCTACGTCAAGAATGGAAAAATTCCCCAGGCACTCAAGGCATTATCTAAGTTGAGAGGTTTGCCCAAGGATGACAAATACGTCGAAGCAGAGCTTGAAGAAATTATTGCCAACTACGATTACGAAAGATCGTTCGGGTCTACTACCATCTGGGACTGCTTCAGGCCCGCCAACCATCAACTAAAACGTATCCTGACTGGTATCGGAATCCAAGCACTACAGCAACTAACTGGTATCAATTTCATTTTTTACTATGGAACTCAGTTCTTCGCGAATTCCGGTATCGATAATCCATTCATTACTCAATTGATAATGAATATAGTCAACGTTGTGATGACTATCCCAGGCATTATGTTGATTGAGATTGCAGGAAGAAGAAATCTATTGCTTTACGGTGCTGTTGGTATGTCCGTCAGCGAGTTCATTGTCGCTGCCGTCGGCACAGCCTTGCCAAACAGTAACTCGGCAAACAAAACTTTGATAGCCTTTTCGTGCACTTTTATTGCTTCATTTGCCGCTACGTGGGGACCATTGGCTTGGGTTGTCGTCGGTGAGATATACCCATTGAGAGTCCGTGGTAAGTCGGTTGCCTTCTGTGCTGCATCTAACTGGCTTTTCAACTTTGCAATTGCTTATGCTACTCCCTACCTTGTAGATCACGACAAGGCCAATTTGCAATCGAAGGTGTTTTTCATTTGGGGAGGCTGCACCTTCCTATGTTTCCTATTCGTGTATTTTTACGTTTACGAGACCAAAGGTCTTACTTTGGAACAGATCGACGAACTTTACGATACTTGCCCAAATGCAATGTTCTCGAAGAATTTTGTGCCTTCTCACTCTTTTGCACAAGACTCCCCAGGAGCAGAAAAGGCTGTTGTCGAAGCTGTGGAGAAGGTATAGTACCTGTACGTTCTCCAGGTTCAAAAAAAGTGTGCTATCATTGCGTACTCTTCCTTGTTGATCAAGTTTTGAGAGCAATAAAAATAGTGCGCTAATAATGTAGTCCAATTACTAGTAGGTTTTATTATGTGTTACGATTAATAAATCATTTTTTTGTTTAGTTTAGTCAGTTTCACGCTTGACTTTTTGGACCCTCGTTTTAAGTTTGTAGTTTTCACTGGTAACGTTTTCCACCAGATCGTGGCTCGCCCAGCCTGTGTTTCGATCACGTGATTACAATGACGATTGTTGGTGACGGTTTTGTTTCCTGAGTTTAAATAGCTAATGATTCAACTCCCTTCAAAAAATGTACCGATCAAACATCGTGTTTGAATGGGGGGTGCAGTTTGAAGAGGCTGGATTGAATAAAGGACAAGAGTTTCGTTTAGTAACCTATCCTTTTTGGCTCCTCAGTAAGCTAGGGCCGTGCCTGTCCTGTATACCACAGGTCTCACAATGCCGTCGTGGTTTACGCAAAATTTGCAAAGGCGGCTGCTCTTATACTTTCTTCAGAAGGTTTCACTTTTTTCGCAAGTTGATATATCGGCTTTAGATGTCTCTCTGGGGTCAAGTTCCAATTTCACGTTCCATGATCTGGACTTAGATGTCGAAAACATTGAAATTCCAGACATATCGGTCAGAAGTGGGTTTTTAAAACAACTAGAACTGCGACTGACCGTAAGCGGAGGCCTGAATGTAGAAGGCTCAGGAGTATCTTTTGTAGTCAAGCCAAACCTCTCAAAAGCTGCTGATGCTCATGCTGCCAGTTTCTCTCTCTCGAAAACTGTTTACGACCTAACAAGCTCCGTAATGCAGCTTGACGGGGGTAAGGACAATGTATTCGAAGAGGAATCTGCGGCAGATGAGACTAACAGCGAATTGGACAGTCAGAGCCAAGATTCAGGCGGTACTGGCTCACCGTCTGTACTGCAGGCCATGCGCAACAAAGCGATAGGGGTTATATTATCCAAGCTTTCCATTATACTTAGAGATGTCAGCTTTAAGTTTGTATTTGCGCAAAATACAATCCTAGAGCTTAAGCTGGAAGAAGTTATTTGCATATCTAGTAGCGATACTCGCGAAGTCAAGATTTCTGGAATCCGCCTATGCACTACCCAAAATGCCGAAAAGTCTGACGAGGAAGGTATCAATCCCAATCCAGACTCTCCTTTATCAGATTCGCTGCTCTATTCTAAAGGGGAAGCAACTTCCCTATATATGAGCGCAATTCAAAGCATGCAGGAGACAGATGACAAAAGTGGCATAGATTTCCAAGGCAAGGACATACTTGACATTAACTTTGTTCATGTCTCATTCGAAGGCTTCACCTCTATCGAAGACATTACTCTGAAGAATGCAGTGGTTGAATTTGATATGTGTAAGTTGGACATTGCGGCATTGTTGACTCTCAGTGATCCTATACTTTTGCCTATCATTCATTTTATCATTGATAGAACGAAGGAATCTAACCATAATAGAGCGACACAAACTCCTCAGCATCTTCAGAATTATAAACGGTTCCGCGAGGAGCAGGATCTTCACGATGAACTCCAATTTTCTCGACTCATTGGCTCTCAACTAATACTAATCTTGTCAGATGTATTAGAACTCACCATTGAAGAAATCTGCATATCAGCAAATGGTAGTGAACTGTTAGGGATTACAGTCAGCGATATTGGGATAACTCATAACGGATCTAACATCTTTACAGCTGTTGAACAGCGGGATGTACCCCTCATCGAATCTTCTTTTGATTTAAGCGAAAATCACATTACCACAAAGATCAATAAGCCCCTTCTCTTACGACTAAACTCTGATACTCTTTTTGATATTATCAACAGCTCTTACAATGTGAGCAAATGTTTAGAATCTTGGAACCAAAGTATTTCCAAGAAAGGTAAGAAAGGAAAAGCTGCGACAACTTCTCTAAAAATTGCACTTACCAGTAGTCCTTTAGAAGTTGAAATGGAGGTGAGCGACCAAGTGCTTCGGATGGTCCTCTGTGAGTATTCATTCTCGTTGCCCTCCCAAGTCTTCAAGACCCAAATGATCAGCTTTGAAATTGAGAGTAAAGGTGAGTACACACAGCTGATGAAAGTTTCGAATATTGACGTGAAGCGACTTTCGTATCCTGCTCAGCATGAAGCATTCAATCATTGCTTTGACGAGGTAATGGTGTGCTCCAAGCTAGACGCGTCCATTGAATGTCTTGAGTTTTCGGTTCCAGTAGAGGTGGTTGAAAATGTTGTTTCTCAAATGATGCCTATTTTCGAACAAATATCCATTCTTGCCGCCGTTCACGGTTCAACAAAGGGAACGCGTCAGAAATCACAAAGGCATATGCGGAGAAGCGTTCGAATTATGGGAACTTCGTCAATCATCAGTAAACATAGTTCAGCAGTATATTGCTTCCTTCATATCGGAAATGTTGAAGGATACATCACCAAATTTTTAGAGAGCGCATTTGGAAATATTTGGTGTAATCTGGGACCTTGCTCTTTGTACATCAACGAAGACAAAACATTTACTATCTACGCAAAGGATTTTGGCTTAACAAGGCAGCAAGGCAATCAAAGCGAGATTCTGGTTGAGGCACTGCAGCCAAGCCAGCCATCTAAGCCGGTGCTTACAGTTCACAAAAAGCTCACTGGAAAGGTATGCTGTGCTTTCAGGTCAATTGCATTCCATTATAATGCCAGGTGGCTAGATCTCTTTCAGCATGAAGGGAATGAGTCGTCATTGAAGGAAAGTAAAATAATCGACAAGGAAGTGGAAAACAAATTTTTGGAATTTAAATTCACAGAATGCGCAATTCGTCTTAGTCCATACCGCCTAAAGACGCAATTACTTTTTATATTAGGCAAATGTGCGCTAGAGATTGGAATACCCCAACTGAATGCCAAGGGTACGCTAAGATCAATATCGATTCTACTTATTGATGATACTGCCAACTTTAGAAATGTTCCGATCCCAGGTGCTCTTGATCTCCACTCTTTTTACACTGAAAGTGGTTTTGCAAATATTGGCAAACTAGACAAATCCCAGTTTGATGTTTCCAAACGATCAAGCGGGTTGCACGTAGGTTTCCAAATGGGAACTGTCTCTTTATCGTTGTGTGCTGACTCCATACAGGCATTGACTCAAACTTTCCTTGATTTAGGAATACCTCTGACCTTCGCTGATGACAAAAAATATATGACAAAGATACCGCAGGTTGAGGTTTTTCAAGAGGTGGATAATGAGTTCTTTACGAAACATAAGTTCCAGTCAAAGCCTTCTAATGGTGGCAACGAAGTGATATTAACACTGGATGATTTCATTGATAGAGCACCCGCTGAAACGAAATATATGGAACGTGCCACAACAGTCAGGAGCCAAAATTCTGAACATGGTGGTCAAATTACTCTCGCAGCGCAGGACAATTATTTCACAGATAAGAAAGACAGTCCAGGGCCCCAGACTAGGGCCAATGACTCAATAATTAGCATTGAGATAGAACTGACCCTTGAACTGGCCACTTTGAAATTGTATGATGGATATGACTGGATGTATACAAGAAAGTCAATTTCAGATCTCCTAAATCAGATTGAAACCGTTTTGATCAAGCAAAAACCTGCTCAAACACAACCTCTCAAGGCCTCTGTATTTGATTCGATTTATTTGTTTGCTGGGGTAGACACAGACGCAGATACATTACGACAGCAAATTAATCAGGACCTGCAGAGCGAACCAAATATTTCGTTCAAGAGCTCGTCAAAGAAACCAAAACTTCGCCCTTCTAAGACTTTCAAGGCAACTATCGAGCTATCTAACCTTAAGTCAACTGTGCTGCGTTATAATGTCGATGATCCAACAGAATCCACGTCTGACATGTCAACGGATATCTTGAACGAGGTTGAACTCTCTGTAGAAAACTTCGAAGTAATTGACAATGTTCCGACGTCCACATGGAACAAACTCGCTACTTTCTGGAGAGAAGAACCACGGGCAAGAGGATCAGATATGCTTTCAGTAAGCATAAAGACTGTGAAACCCATTGACTTCTTGGCTGCTACGGAGCTTATTATGGACGTTAAGGTTTTACCTCTGCGTCTGCATATTGATCAAGACACTCTGGACTTTCTGACGCGTTTTTTTGAGTTCAAGGATTCGAGATTTGAACTGATAGATGAATATCCTGATTTTGTCTACATTCAAAAGCTTGAGGTAGGAGCTGTTAACATAAAGATGGACTACAAACCAAAGACTGTCGATTATTCTGGTTTGAAGTCTGGACATACAAGTGAGTTCATGAATTTTTTTATTTTAGAAGGGTCTAAACTTAAACTGCGTCACGTTGTGGTTTATGGCGTGAATGGGTTTCCCGAGCTCAACAAGATATTGAATGGCATCTGGATGCCTGATATTACGGGCCACCAATTGAAAGGTATACTTAGCGGAGTGGCTCCGATGAAAACGGCTGTTACATTGGGTTCTGGTGTTAAAGCTCTGATTACAACTCCATTGAAGGAATATAAACGCGATCAAAACCTTGGTAGAGGTGTACAAAAAGGTACGCAAGTGTTCATAAAAATCACAAGTGGGGAGTTTATCCGGTTGGGTGTCAAGCTGGCTTCTGGCACGCAGGCTGTGCTGGAAAATGCGGAGGAGCTTATGGGAGGAATAGGGTCACAGGGACGAGGTTTCAACCACAAAGACTTTGAGGTTGATGTTGTCTCTGAACAGACTTTTAAACAATACGAAAAGCTGGTCGGTGGACGAAATCCTATCAAAAGTGAAGAAGAACTAGAAGCTTTAATTGTAGAGCCAGGTGCGACCGAAAAAGATGCACCTAGAATATTCAGTCTTTACGCCGACCAGCCCACATCCTTGAAGCAAGGCCTGAAGGAAGCTCGGGGATCATTCGGAAACAATGTTCAGTTGGCTTATGACGCTGTGCGGAAAGCACAGAGAGAAATCAGAGAGACGAATAATGTGCATGGAACGGCTTCTTCCCTAGCTCGGGTGGTTCCTGTAGCACTTCTGCGCCCTATTATAGGTGCTACAGAAGCGCTTTCCAAAGCGTTGCAAGGAATCTCTAATGGCATTGACGATGAGCAGCTAGCGATGCTACAAGATAAATATAAGTCTCGCAGTTAGGATTAAAAAATTAGTGTCTTTCTACGTATGGATAGGTGCATCGCACTATATCAAACATTCAAGTAGTACCGAGCATCTTGCGAGCTGTCACTAAGAACTCGACTACGTAACTTATCTACATCGTTAATTACGTATATGTCGCAAACCAAAACACCAAAATTAATCGCCAAAAATGTTGTAACGGTTCCTATTCAGTTGAATAAACGACGGTAGACAAGTGACCGAAGCGCGTTGAGTCCAATTGAAGTCATCCAAACTTATCTTCGGAACTTGGGCTACTCATTGATTGCTGTCTTGGGGCTAAAAGTCCAAGAGCTTGACGAAATTTTGCCCTTTCTAAAGTGTGACCTAATAACTTGACATGGATATTTTAGCAGAGCCTAATCGAACGCGGAAGTCACATCCTATGAATAACCGTATGGTACTGAAAGAAGAGATTTCGACTAGGCCGTCACTCGGCTCAGCACATAAAAGTTTCCGTCATGTAAAAGTGTGCGCCCATTGCGATGAGGTGATTGTACGGGGTTCTTTAAAAGCCCTCGGTCGTTACTATCATGAAAGCTGCTTTGTATGTTATGACTGTGGAAAGATTTGCAAGCCTAAATACTTTCCTTTCGAGGAGCCCAACACTAAGCAACTTATACCACTTTGCCAGCAGGATTACTTCAAGCGCAATAACCTGTTATGCTTTGTGTGCGGTCAGGCCCTCAGAGGCGTTTATTATAACGCTTTCGGAAGGCTTTATGATGAAGAACACTTTTGCTGTAAGATATGCAACGAGAAGTGCGGGGTCAACACATGTTTCAACTATCAAGATGACCTCTACTGCAAATACCACTTTCTAAAATATTTCTCAAATCGTTGTAAAGGTTGCGACTATCCAATTTCAGATCAATACATTGAGTTCCCGAAGGGCGAAGAAGTCCACCGCTGGCATCCAGAATGTTATGGGGTGCACAAATATTGGCATGTGGCCTTCCTTCCTGAGGCTGTGGGACAACCTCAAATAAAGCCCGGCAATCCCCGTCAAATTTCCAAAGGTGGCAAACCTGACATCAATCGTGCAGATTTGGAAAGGTACGTCATGTCATTTAGTAAGCTTGTTTCCACAACATGGTCCGTTCTTTATCGATTTGAGGAGGAAACGGCTGTTTGCATATCAGACATGTTTCAATATTTGACGAGCTTCGATCAGCTGAAAGGTTTAAATTCAACTGCTTTGTTTGTTTTGAAAATTGAGTGTCTCTTTAAGGCCCTAGATTCGCTGGATTCTCTCTGCGCCTTTGATTCATATAAGGGTGAAATTCCCAATGGGGCCTCAAACGAAGATGTTGATATTACCGATAACAAACAATCAGAGGGTAAGATTGAATCGGATACCGCGTTCACAAAATATTCTAAATTTCCTAGAAACTTGTCCACAAAAGTGATGATTTATCTCCAGCTTCTCCGTAAGCTAAGCTCAGCAACCCAAGAAAAAGATGTCAGTGTTTCTTCCCTAATGTCGGTTATTACTGGAGTTGCTCATTTTCTCAAACTACTCGTACGCTACGGGTTACAGACTGCCCTGGATCGTAACAGGACTGCACGCTCGGCCAATGCATTAGTCAAATTTCTTCGAGAAATAGAGAAAAACGAAGGCATAAGTTCAGCTCCGTTCACGCTGATTGACGTGGGTATAAATGCAACTGATTGCTGTGCCTCCTGTGGCAAATACATACAAGAAGACTGTATTCAACTTAAGGATCGCAGATGGCACAAGACATGTTTTACGTGTGCTGTCTGTGATAAGCATATCGACTCATATGGTATTGCTGATGCAGCGTTCAACAACACGAAAAAGCACGTTCTGTGTGCTCAATGCGCAGTGGGAGATCCTGACTCATTTCCTGGCTTCAAATCCGTGACAAAGTTGGCACAGCTGATCTTTTTATTAAAGATTGCGCTGGTAAGATCGAAGGCCGTGATGGAGATACAGTTGAAAAATAGGGAAGCACTAAATCGTTCTAATAGTGTCAAGGAATCCATCTCGATGCAACAAACCTACATTAGAACGTTGAATGACATTAAGAGGCTCAAATCGAGGCGACAGAGTGTCCCACTCACTACCACCAATAAGCACGAAGCACGCAGGTCGCGCATTCTCGAGACTTCAGAGGTGGATATAGGAACGAATTCCTCACCAGAGGAAAAATGTCTGGTGATACAAACTGACAAGAGCATGGAGAAACAGCCAGAAAATCAAAATATGTTCAATAGCACAAAAACGTTGACTCTTGATGACATTTCACGAATTGTTGCTGCAGAGCAAGCTAGGGAATTACGTCCCAATGCTTTTACTCACTTCAAGAAACTTAAAGATAACGATGAAGACGGTCTTAACTTGATCAATAAGAAAAGCGGAGTATATTATTCCGAACTCAAAGTTGAGGACCTATACCTGATAAAATTAATTTCTCTGGCATTGCTCTCCACAGGATCGCATTGTTTGATCAAAAATAAAGCTACAACTGAAAGACTGATTCCACCCCAACCACTGCGACAGCAGAAAAATTCTAACTTTTGGTCGAAAATGAAGTTCATGATGAGCAAGGATGGTAAAAAGACATCCAACAGAAAAGTATTTGGGTCATCTTTGGATGCATTAGCAGGGCAATGGGGAATAGAGTCTGACCTGGGAATCGGTCCTTCGAAGATTAAGGTTCCGATTATAATTGACGAGCTCATATCATCTTTACGACAATTAGATATGTCGGTAGAAGGTGTTTTTAGGAAAAACGGTAATATTAGGAAACTTCGAGAGTTGACAGCTGCAATAGATGAAAACCCATTTGAAGTACCTGATTTATCCAAAGAGAATGCTGTTCAGCTGTCAGCTCTACTCAAAAAATTTCTCAGAGAGCTCCCGGATCCTCTTTTAACAGCTCAACTCTATGACTTATGGATTCAAGTTGCTAAGTTAGAACCCGATATGGAGCGACACAAATATTTTGGGCTTCTTTATGCATTACTACCGTCTTTCAATAGAAGTGTTGCGGAGGTACTTTTTTCTTTTCTACACTGGGCCTCGTCTTTCTCTCACATTGATTCTCAGATGGGTTCTAAGATGGATATCCATAACCTGTCCACCGTTATTGCACCTAACATCCTCTATCAACAGGGACCGAGCACCGACCAACCATCTGTACAATTGGGGGCAATCCACAATACCTACAATGACGCATTTGCTCAGAACGAGGGAGAGAATTATTTCCTTGCGATTGAAGTAATTGATTACCTTATTAACCATAATGAGGACTTAGCCGTGCTGCCCAGATACATGACAGTTCTGCTCAACGAAGCAAAACAAAAGCAACTTGGGGATTTTGAAAGTGTCAGAGCATTTGTTGATGCACAAATTAAGGCAAACCGTATGAACTTCTCAGAATACGATACAATCGAGTCTGTGAAGATGAAGAAATCATCTTCCGTGGCTAAGCTAGAGGTCAAGGGTAATGAAGCTGCGTAATATAAAACAATATAACATTGTTGGGGCGAAAGAAACCGCTATTGTATTCTATATAATTTAAATGGTAAGTCATGAAAATGAAAGGATTACGGTTTGTAAAGAATGGAAGAGATGAAAACACATGCATGGAAAATTTTATCAAAAACTTCCTTCGATTACTTTAAACACAACTTCACATCTTAGAAGCATTAGAAGGCATGTCTGGAGTAGCTACAGGCCATTGGTAAACACCGCCGTTCTCAAAGGCGTATTTGTGGCTCTCCAAGTACTGTGTCAAGTTCTTTGGTCCTCTGGAACCATATGCGTAGCCCTCGGGCGTAGGTGCGTCTGGACCTTCCAAATATTTCAGTAAAGGGGTAAAAAGTTTCCAACTAACGTCCAGTTCATCATCTCTTACAAAGTTAGAATGATCGCCCGTCATAACGTCCTTGATCAAAGATTCATATGCCTCGGGAATCCAGAAATTCTTGTAGCGTCTGGCGTAGGTCAAATCAAGCTCGGTAACCCGGCTCGCGGTTGACAGCCCCGGGGTCTTGGAGTTGCACTTGAGGTAGATAGCTTCGTCGGGTTGTATTCTCATGACCAATTCATTACGAGAGATGTCACTGAAAATTCCAGATGGAACCCCCTTGAATTGCACTCTGATTTCTACCTTTCCTTCGTTTAAGGCTTTACCAGCTCTCATAACGATAGGCACGCCATCCCAACGCTCATTTTGAATCTTGAAGCCCAGAGCTGCAAAGGTTACACACTTGGAGTTGGGGTCGACTGTGTCGTCATCCAAGTAACCAGGTTTAGACCCATCTTCAGACTTACCGTATTGGCCGACCAAGATATCATTGTGGTCGATTGGGGCAAAAGCCTTCAAAACCCGAACTTTCTCGTCACGAATGGACTCGGCGTCGTAAGAGACAGGGCGTTCCATAGTAAGCAAAGTTAAAACTTGCAGGAGGTGATTCTGCATAACATCCCTAATGATACCGATTTCGTCGAAATAACCGCCGCGGCCTTCCGTACCAAAAGGCTCCTTAAACGAGATTTGAATGTTCTCGATGTTTTCCTTGTTCCACGCAGCATTCAAAAAAGTGTTGGCGAACCTCATTAGTACCAAGTTCTTCACCATCTCCTTGCCCAAATAATGGTCAATTCTAAAAAGCTCGTCTTCGCGGAATAAAGGAGCAAGATCCTTTTGCATGTCGCGAAATGACTGCAGGTCGTGTCCAAAAGGTTTTTCCACCACGACCCTGGTTTCGCCGTGCTCGGCGTAAACCAGCTTCTTGATTTGCGTGCATACGGAGACGAAGGCACTGGGTGGCAAAGCCAGGTAGAAAAGTCTGTGGGGCCGTTCGATGGAGTTGGCGCTTTCGTACTCCTCCAGCACCTTCAATAGAGCGTGGTACCCTTCGTCCTGGTCGTAGGGCCCCGATATATAGCTCACAAGTTGCAGAAACTGCTCCACTTTCTCGTCGTCCTTGTCACCGTTGGGCTTCTTCAAGTGCGGTTTGATCTTCTCCTTGAGATCCTCGTCCGACAGCTTGGACCGCGCATATCCAATGATCTTGCACGATGGGTCCAGAAACCCTTCCCGGAACAGCCCGAAAAGCGCCGGAAACGTTTTTTTCTTTGACAAGTCGCCGGACGCCCCGAAAACCACGATCGACGTGTTTTCCTTGAACTCCACGGGCTTGTGATCCGCAATTGACTCACTGCTGCCGCTCATATTTCGTGCTGACGATAAACTCCTGTGTTGGTTGGTCCAAAAAGCGCTACTATGTCCTGCTGTACTGCAATTCAAGCTGTCCCACTGCTTCCACAGTAATAATTGTAGCTAATTTCCCCAGCCTTTCCTTTGTAAGATCTCAGCAAAGTCTCGCTCTGCTGTTGTGCTGGCTGATGCTTTTATATAAACCACTCTGTTCTATAGCAATGTCGAGCGCAACGTCAATCTCTGCAAAATAGGGTTTTCTTGCGCTTTATATAGTCACACTTGCCCAGTTGCATATGACAAATTGTGTAAAGAATATCTGGTCACGTGAAGAGGTTGGAAGGCACTGTGGGATACCTGGTCACGTGCCATTTGTCATGTGATGGCTATCGTGCTGCACGGATTAGTAACCTGCGTGTGCCATTGTGAAAGTAGAGGCGACCTACCGAGCGGCAGAAAGTGTTGCTTGCGAGGCTGATGGCCTTGGGGACGTGTTGAGAGTATATGGAGTCTACTCCCATCAGGAGAGAGCCGCGCTTCTCTCTTCTTATGCCCAACATAGGCCACCAGGAGAAATAGGTGTGTATCGTTTTGTACGTATGGTTTGGCCAGAGGTCGAGCCCGGTGTGGGCGACGAACCCGGTGCGCACACTCGCGAAGGAGCATGGTAGTCGCTGACTACGTGGGCCAAACTGCACAAGCGGGTCTACAGGCGCAGTTCGCCAATCCCGGTCCGCACACTCGCATCGGTGCTGGCCACGTGAAACAAACTATACGACAGGCGCAGATGTCACGTGACTTGGCGACTTTCCCGCCGCTATATCTGGTTCTCACCATTGTGGGAACAATGCCGTCACCGATCAATGGGCGGTGCCCCAATCTAACCTCGGGTGTTGCCGCATTGGTTGAAACGGGGTGCTGCTGGGTGCAAACGCTTGCGCGTACGTACTCTTTCTGGAATTTAACATATTGGACTCTGCTGGGGACATTCAGTTCTAAACGAATGTACGTAGTGGAATAATAAAAGCTTATAGCTGAAAAAGTCGCATTCTATTAAAACTCATTACTCGCTTAGACTTAATTATAAATACCTCGTTTGAGCACAGAAACCGCTTCTGTTGAGATTACCATGTGTTGCCGACAGTTACGACGTCTGACGACTTTTCGACCGCGGTGAAAGTGTACTTGTAGACCCTTGGATCGTGTCCTGTACTTTCCTCAAGCGGAACCGGCGGGATGCTTCGCTCGTACTCCGCTTCCAAGCTCTTGGCTAGCGCCCGTCTCTTAGTGCTGTTCTGTTCCCCATTCAATAGACCTCCGCCATTGATACAGCCGCCAGGACATGCCATTACCTCAATAAAATCCGTCTTAGTGGGGTCCGCGACCAGCGAAGCGGTGCCAGTACGTTGTGCGCCGCCGGATGCTCTTTTGCGTAGCACTTTGACATTTCTTGCAGAGGCGCCAGAACTTGTCAACTTTCGTACCATGTTTTGAATGTTGCGGAACCCGTACAACTGGCTCGAAGACGCCACGGTCTTAGTTCCGTCGACCAATCTGTATTCTCTGATGTCGCTGTTCTTGCCCTCTATCGTTAAGATCTCCGCATCAGGATACAGCTTGCTCTGATGAAGAATGTACTGGTAGGCGAACCCTCCAGAGCTACTGCCCTCATTCGAGGCCCAGTGCACCCGGTAATCCCATCCTGGCGGAGAGCACGTTTCTATGAGAGAGTTGTCTTCAACATCGCTGACGAATGACCTCAGATCCAGTTGCAATTCTTGTAACATGCTTACAAGTTCACGAGGCGTTATGACACAGTCCACTTCACCCTCACCATCCTTTCTACTAGCCTCCAACTTTTTATCAAAGCATGGCATGACTGTAAGATGGTAGATATGCGGTGCCGCCTCTTTCAACAAGGAGCCGGTGATCTGCTGCGGGGACTTGACATCCAACAAGTAAGGCACCAGTTCAGGCTTAGTTTTCTCTGCGTAAAGTACGAAGCCCGGACACACGGCGCACAACGCCGGGCTATTTGTTTTCTGTGACTGTTTTCTCTCTACCAGCTCTGAATTGGTCTGCCTTATAGTGATGTTACGACCAACTTGCGTTCCTACAACATATCGCGCGCCAAAATGATTACGCATCAGACTTACAAAGCTGTTGTCGAAAGCTCCAAGCGTCATGCCGTAGTACTGAGCCAAGGAGAGCCGGCATTGTGGGGGAATGCTCACTGCCAACAGGGTGTCCTCCGGAAGGTTTTTCCAGGCCTCCATGAACACCGTATGGCTCTGCCGACTCAACAAGATCTCCTCACTTGACGTGATGCACCCGGAGCATGCCAAACAGTCTTGCAAAGAGATCGAAACCTTTTCTAGGTCGTTGGATTCTTTTCCCACTTCCAGCTCATTTCCTGCTTTGGGTTCCTCCTTTGTAGTCTCTGTAGGTTTGATGCAAGCAAGCCCAGGACTTATGAAGTCATTGAGATCGCTTTCGGACAGAAGTGAACTCATTAAAGTAGTCGTGCTTTCCGTGTTCGCAGTATCCATTAAGCAGTTGTGCCAAGTTAGTTAGTTACTAATATAAAGAGCTTCTGATCATGTGACATTATTATGGGCGGCTAAAACAAGTACCAAAGTTTGATCGAGGTCAACAACTTAACGTCCTACATCATACTGACGAGCTGAATAAGTTTACCAACTTTAAACATGATGCGATTACATTCATTAGGAGATCTTACTAGTTCCTGGGGATCTCTTGCTGTATGAAACCGGCAAGATGAACGGACATAAACTATAGGTTGGACGGTAATTCATTGTGGAGAAAAGCACAAGGCTTTGGCTGTACTAGTTTCACCAACTTCTCGAGCTCCGAGCATACTTCTGAAGTCTTCAGACGTGGTTCCGCACGTGGTTTAAGATCAGTTGCAATTGGTGCTGCTCCTTGACATTCTAATAAGAGTGCATGCTGCTGCCACTGAAAACTGAAAGTGGAAACTCCAGCACTTAACGTGAATGTTTCACAATAAGTATCATTGATTTCAACGAATATCCGTAAGCGCCCACGCACCTTCAGACTTTTTTTTCCGGGACCCACCACACTATCGATACGTTTGGTGGTTTACTGTAGAAAGGCAGACAAACTAGCACACATTTAAAAATTGACTTCCCTTTTACATGACAAGCTACTGGCATGCGGCTGGTGCTTTTCTCCCAAAGGGTAGAATTTTACTGCCAGCGTTTTCCGGAGACAGTTCATTGATATTACAAGCACAACAAAAACAGGTGATGCATTACCAGAAGCACAATTGGCATTCATTCCCTATCAAAAAACCATTTGAAGCACACGAATTAGGAGGTCGTTGTTTTGGCAACACTTAACGCATGTACGAACTTATTGACGATTTCAAGGTATCACAAATGATTTTAGAAAATTCAAAGAAACATCTGCTAGACAAGCATCATGGGCGTACTCGCGACAAAGGTGCTCTGCTGCAGATCGCTGTCGGATGAATTAAGAGATCGCTCTAAAACCACATCGTACTAAATGACAGTATGTTGAGGGAGCCAACTTGACACCATGGTAAGCATTGCATTTTATAATAACAGCGTTAAACATGAAACGGCGGCACCGAAGCCATGATTATGAAGCTTGCCGACCATATTGTACGGCTGCTGTTCATCAGTAGCATTTCTCTCTCTCGTGAGATACCCAAAAAGGATCACTCGTCCAAAAGGTATTTCGCGATTGAAAGTAATTGGTCACCCTCCAAACTTTTGGAACTGCACCCTGAGTGGGCTTTCGAGCACGAAGTGCGCGGCTTGCCTGATCACTATGTTTTTTCGGAAAGACTTGAGCAAATTTTGAAGCGGAGCAACTTACCAAGCGAGACTGAAGGCGTTATTTCATACCATGCTCTGCCGCCTAAAAGGTTACATAAGAGGATACCCGTACCGGCACCCCCTATTGACTCTAGCTTGATTCCACTTCAGAACTTGAAGGATCGTTTACACATAGAAGATCCTCTTTTTGATAAACAATGGCATTTAATTAATACCAACTTTCCCGGAAATGATGTTAACGTCAGTGGCCTGTGGTTTGAAAATATTACGGGCCACAATGTGGTTGCAGCAATCGTGGATGATGGACTTGACTACGAGAGTGAAGATTTGAAGGACAATTTTAGTGCAGAGGGATCGTGGGATTTTAACGACAATAGTCCACTTCCAAAGCCGCGTTTAAGTGATGATTACCATGGGACTAGATGCGCGGGGGAGATTGCCGCGGTTAAAAACGAGGAGTGCGGTGTCGGTGTAGCATACGACGCAAATGTCGCAGGAATCCGAATTCTGTCTGGTGAAATTACTTCAGAAGACGAGGCTGCTTCATTAATATATGCTTTGGACGTCAACGACATTTATTCGTGTTCTTGGGGCCCATCTGACGATGGCCGTTCTTTACAGGGTCCAGATGAACTTGTTAAGAAGGCCCTAGTTACTGGAATTTTGCAAGGCCGACAAGAAAAAGGAGCGCTCTACATTTTTGCCAGTGGGAACGGCGGAATGTTTGATGACAATTGTAACTTCGATGGGTATACCAATTCGATATACTCTATCACTGTTGGGGCCATTGATCACAAGGGTCTACATCCCCCGTATTCCGAATCCTGCTCTGCGGTCATGGTTGTCACTTACTCGTCAGGTTCGGGGGAACACATACATTCAACAGATATAAACGGCCGTTGTAGTGATACACATGGTGGGACATCGGCTGCGGCTCCGTTGGCCGCCGGCATCTACGCTCTGGTTCTCGATGCAAATCCGACCCTGACTTGGAGAGATGTCCAGTACTTATCGATATTGTCTTCGATAGAAATAAATGACAACGACGGTGATTGGCAAGAAGGTGCTCTAGAAAAAAGATATTCACACAAGTACGGTTTTGGTAAACTCGATGCTTATCGGATCGCTGATATGGCACGATCGTGGGTAAATGTTAACCCTCAAGCTTGGTTTTACCTGCCAACCCAAAGAGTTGACAAGGTTACCTCCAACCACAATGCAGTAGAGTCGTTTGTCAAGATCACGGCAGATGAACTAAAAGATTCCAATTTCAAACGAGTGGAGCATATTACCGTCACAGTTGATATCGAAACTTCATTCAGGGGTCACACGGTGGTAGATCTAATTTCTCCTAGTGGAATGGTATCTTACCTAGGTGTTGCAAGAAGAAATGATGATTCAAAGGATGGCTTTGTTAATTGGACGTTCATGTCAGTCGCACATTGGGGTGAAAGTGGCGAAGGAGAGTGGAGGATCAGAACTCGCTCTACGGACAAAGAAGAGAAAAATATCATAAATTTCAAGAGCTGGCGGTTGAAGCTTTTCGGAGAGTCTCTAGATGCTTCTAAAGCTGAAAGGTTTGCATATGGCAATGATAAAGAAGGCAACGAGGTGGCAGGTACTGGATCAAAAATTCCTACCTCAGAAACACTTTCCTCTTCACCTTCAGTCAGCACCTATTCTTCGAGTACCATATCCCCTATGATTACAACCCTCGTGGCAACGCCCGTTTCTTCATCAGATGTCGCGGGAGATGTGAATAAACCAAATCGTTTACCGCCTCCATTTGAAGGAATGCGCTATTTCATCGCCATCTTTATAATAGGCGCTGGTGCTCTTCTATTTTATTTCTTCTTCTTCGTGAGATCGAGAAGAATTATAAGAAGGACTCGTGCTGAGACTTACGAATTTGACATCATTGACACCGATTCAGACAACAGTTCCTCACTCAATAACACTTCTCACTTTGGCCCATCAGATGCCGCCGATATCGATAATTTCGATTTTGACTTATCCGATGAAGATCTTCTCAGGAGTGCTTCCGGGTCACCCAGTCCAGTGCCCAAAGGAGAATCTACTCCAAAGACAAGAACTATGGATGAAATTTTGCAAAATACATCTGAGGAAGAGGATCCGAGCTCACGCAAGTTTGATAATGCTGCATCTCGCGAGGATCCTCCCAAATAGATTATGAAATTCTATGGCAACAATTCGCCGGTCTAACTTCTGTAACGTGGAAATGAACTATAATATATGTAAACTAGATAAAAACTTATACGCATTCTCACTGACTCCTACATTAAATAAGACGATCCTTGTCTTTTTATCCTGGGCCAGTGTTATTTGCGACGCCAAAAAGAGAATCGTGATATGAAATCAAAAAGACTACTACAAAATATTACGGGTGCTGCTTCATACAATACAGGAGCATACGCAATCCATCAGTTCTTCCATGATAAACCCATCATTTCGATCATGTGCGGTGCGCTGGGCTATTATGGCCGTCATTTTTGCTTCGACACCAGCAGGTTGTATGGAGATGGATAATACTGATGAGTATACTCGACCTGAAATTGTTGATGCTGGGCCTAAAACATTTCATTGGCTGTGCACTTTGACCCTCCTTTTTGTGGCTCCTTCACTAGCAGCTGTATTCTCATTTGGCGGTAAGTTGTACCTTTCACTGTCCCTGCAGCTAGTATCTACGATCTACGCAGCTATTGAAGCTCTGATTCTCCGATTCCCGGATGGAGACGGAGTTGAAAATCGTACGTCCAGGGGGACTGCTTGGTTCATCGCAGCATTTTTAGGGCTTACGTTGTTTGCCGGAAGCATAGCCAGCGGAACAGGTGCAATAGTGCATAGCAAGCGATTGCAATCCATAGTCACAAAAGCGGGGGAGCACAAGCTTCACGTATTCCACAGGGCACTGTCTCTAGCAGTAGTACTTACTGGCTGGGTGAAAACTTGTCTTGGTCCGGTGGCCATGTTTGGGTTTTGCCGGGATGCGCACACGGGCCAGTGCATCGCGCATGGAGTTATGGGCACGGCATTCGTCGCATATGGATTTGTGTATTCAATGGTGCTGGTTGTGCCTTGGATTCGAAACAATCAGGAAAAATACTCGCAAGACCGGATTGATAGTTGGGTAATGTGTGCCTGGGGCATTGTGAACACATTCACGGAACACCGGTGGGGAAGAGAAGGCTGGAATCATGGTGACTACCAGCACACTGCCATGGGAATCATTTGGTGGGCAGGTGGGCTGTTAGGGATTTTCCTGTCCCGAGGAGGTCGTAGGACCTTTGTTCCTAGTCTTCTGATTATATTTACCGGATGGGCCATGTCGGAGCATAGTCAGCATTTGTTTATTAGTACCAAAATTCACGCATTGTTTGGACTTGTGCTTATGTCTGGTGGCGCGCTTAGGATAGTCGAGATATCTTTCCTTTTGAAAGACAAGCGGGCTTCTGAAAGCGGCGTTCTTTCATTCCAATATCTTGCACCTTTTTGCTTGGTTTGCTCCGGAATATTGTTTATGGGCGCCAATGAAGAGCAACTCATTTTGGTTTTGAGACTTGGAGCGGACCACAGCTCCTACAGCTTAGTTGTCGTGTCTGCAGCTTTCATTACCTATCTGTGGATCCTTATGTGTCTCGAATTGTACGTCAAGCTTGTCGCAAGCTCAAGCAAAAGTCCGTTGAACGGCTACAGGTCCAGCAATACTACCGAATTTGAACTAGACGATTTCCGCGATGGTTCAGATGAAACTGCCTCGAACAACTAATGACTACCCTAGATGATTATCAAAAGGTCTATGTCGAAGTACGAAGAACAATTCTCTACGGCATTGGCGTATCCAAAATGAAAATGATAAACTGATAACTCCTTACAGATACAGTATTAGCTTACTTCCAACAACATTGTGGCTTTAGATCGTGCTTCGAGTGGCTCAACATTTTACTCTAACAAGAAACTACTCTTTAGACACAGATCATAAATGTGCCCAGTAGTGACCTTTCACGTATAATGTATATATATATATCAGGACTTAAACGTGCAATTACATCCATCAGACTTCGATTAGTTAACGTATTGGATGTGTCAGATTGTGGTATGGGTGATTGTTTTTCAAAGCATTATTTACATAATTTCAAAACTCAAGTGATCACATTGCCATTTATAAAGCTAAGAGAACCTTAGCCTACTCAAACGTTGAACGCCGAATGTCGATTCCAGAGATAGTTAACAATGATTTAGTTTCTTGGTCTAAATCTGGTTTAATTGGTTATGTAGATACGGAATCTACTGATGCCAACTTATGCATAACGCTATTGGAAACGGTTAACGGAACAAATTGGCGGTTGCGGCCCTCAAAAAGATACGCCATCCACCCTCACATCGCCGAATCAGGCAGTGCTGGAAGCTCCTCAAGCTTGTCCAATGGGAACATCGGAAGCGGTACTTCAAAGACGTTCAACAATATAAGCTCCATTTACTGGAACAACAGCGCGGGTAACAATGGAGAGCTGCTTGCAATTTGCGACGAGGCTGGAAATCTGTCCGTGGTGGCAGCAGGACAGACTGCTGCTGGTGCGGGTACTCTTGATAATTTGGCTGTACTATTCCAAGATAATGGCTACAAGATCCACAATCAATTGGCGCCCTTGCTGCCCGTTAATGATGGGTCAAAAATCAGCCGAAAACTGTCCAAAAAGGAAACACATACGGCAATAATAAAGTTCATGTGGCTAGGGTCATCGTCACCATCGTTCTCACTTCTTAACGCACGCCGAGACATGTCAAAGTCAATTATAAAAAGTCAAGTCCAGCAATTCAAACCCCTTGGCATTTTTTACCCAACTTCTGTCAAGTCTGCGTGCTTAGGGCTGCGGAGAGGTGGCCAATTAGACTTCTGGTATCAATTTTCCAATTCCAAAGACTACAAAAAGATCTCACTACAACTTAACAATACGCAGGAACACAGAACAAAGCAGTTTGATTGGATTCAGACTGCACAATTTGCTCATACAGATGAGGATCAAGCACTAATTGTGGGGGCATACTCAAAAATTTCCAAAAAAGTGTCATTTTTCAAACTTTCGGTCAACTGGAACATTACTACGCAGAATATTACCGCCGACCCCGAGCTTCGATTAGAGCAGATATTGGAGATAAGCCCAAAAGACATGACAACGAAGGGGGAAGTTTTGGAGCTTCAGAGCTTTGAAATGTTATCCGCCTTTGAAAGGTCCCCCGATGTTGAAGTTGTTTTATGCTACGACGTTATTGGAATGTCTCGTTCTATCCTTAAACGCTACAGGATTATCAAGTCTGCACCATCATTAGAATTATGCTCTATCTTGGGCTCGCCGAATCTAAATTCGCAATCTCTACCATTGTGCGAATATGTATTTACTGAAGTGGATACACTGAGAATGGATGCTAACGTTTATTCTCTTGAACTTCATGGACACGAAACTACAATTTTGACCAGATTGACAAATGGCCATACAAAGATTTATGATCGAAGAACGTGGAAGGTGGAGAACTCCTTAGCAATTGAAAATAGTAGTGAAATTTTAACATCCCCATTTTGCACTGGGGTTGTCTTTCCAAAGACTCTACCTTCTAGCGCACTTCGTTGGTCCTGTGTCTCTCCGTCACTTGGTGGTATTCTTTCGAAAGTTAGAAACAAGGAGAATATTCGATTTGATCCCATCGAAGCACCTATCAAAGAACTGGCCGAGGCAGACGTACCAATTGCATTAGCCTTTGCATACGCATTTGTTTGTTCAAATCATTTACAGACTTCCAGTGAAGACCTTACTATTGCAATCAAAACGCACCTACTGAAAATCTCTGAGATAAGTGAAGCTCGGAGCGAGAAGTTTCTAAAGATCCTGATCAGTGCTATCTATCAGCTGTTCGGGGTCACGCCAGAAGCTTCAAAAGAACTGAAGGATAAATTAGTTATGAGCCGTTCCATTCAGAGAGCTATGCTCTTGCAGACAGAACTCAGCTGCAGTTTCACCAACAATAACATATACAACATGGCACGAACGGCGCTTTCTTTGAGAAACATTCTTTTTGCCTTTAACGGTGTTTCCAGAAACATACAAGTCTTGATTCACCACAGCGCAACTATGAATTTCCAACAACCAAACGGAAAGCTGTTTCAATTTGCATTTTCCAAGCAAGACTTGATATATTCATTGATCCCATGCGCTAAATGGTTTGTACGACTACTAACGTTTCTCACCCAGCAGATGATTGTCCTGGTGAACTCGCCCAATGATAAAGAGAATACTCTGGTGCTTGGTATTTGCAGTTCTAAGATTACTAGACAACTTCTGTTATCGATATTGACCGAGATAAAAAAAGTAATTCATCTCGTTACCAAATTTCCAGAGACTTCTTTCCCGATACTCAATGAATCATCGATCTATCTACGCAAGGTGCTAGGCGATTCTCCAGTCAATTTTGAGAAGTTCGAAACGTTTTTGGCCGACGTAAATAACAAATTTTCATCTTTGGGAGAATCGCCTTCTCTTGGGAATAACGCAAAGGACTCATATTTGATGTTAGAAGGCGATGTGTCACCAGAAGTGTCTCAACTTAAGGAATTTCTGCTGTCCTATTCTAATACAGCTGTTTTATCACACATAAAGCCGGCCGATGTCTACTTTTCAGACACTCGCGGGCTGCGCATTTTCTCGTCAGATATTTTCCCAGAGTCTCTATGCAAGCTTCTTCAACCGTTGAAGAATGGCCTCGTTCTAGGCCCCGACGTTCTTTCTGAAGACACTACCTCTCTTTCTCTCTGCGTCATTGAGAGTGACGATATTTCAAAAGAACCAATTATTTCCGGAAAACACAAACTAAAAAGATGCTGTAGATGTGGCGCTGTCACGCGCGCTGGCTACCCAGTAACGAAAGATAGTACTATTGTTCCTACGAGTGTCACTACGAAGCGCTGGACTAGTTTGTACCTGAAAATTTGTTTTTGCTCCGGGCTACTATACGAGTTCGATCCATGAATAATAGCCCATTGATACAAAGAGGAAGAGGCGATTTGATGCGGCATGAAACGCTAGGACCGCTATCCCTCTTCGATATCCAAGAGAGATCATATAAGTGACGTCCTAAATCCGAGTATATCATAATATACGGGTCTCGAAAAATTAAGGTGGCAAAACCAAGTTAAGCTCTATTAATTAAACCTTATGCCTAACAAGGTGATCAGTTCAATTGGAATTGCTCAAAATATCCCGGCTTTGCAAGTCCGTTGTACCATCATTGCTTCTCCGAGCACACCTCTGAAAGTGTCTAGAATAACATTATCACAGGTTTCAAAGGAGGCTTTAAATCATATTAATTAAAAGAGACGCCAGCATTTCTGCGTCATTAGCGCTAATCTCTGCATTTGAGTTGGACAATTCAAGGTTTTCCGTGCTTGATAAGATAGACAGGTCTAAACTGAAGCAGAGAAATCATGTTTTTGACTAGAAGCGAATACGATCGGGGTGTAAGTACATTTTCTCCGGAGGGGAGACTTTTCCAGGTTGAGTATTCTCTGGAGGCCATCAAGTTAGGGTCCACAGCCATTGGCGTAGCCACATCCGAGGGTGTCGTCCTCGGGGTTGAGAAGAGAGTTACGTCACCGCTACTGGAAGGGGATTCTATTGAGAAAATCGTGGAGATTGAACGCCATGTTGGATGTGCTATGAGTGGCTTAACGGCAGACGCTCGCTCCATGATTGAACATGCCCGTGTTTCCGCTGTTACGCATGACCTCTATTACGATGAGAATATTAGTATCGAATCTTTGACACAATCCATCTGTGACTTGGCGCTTAGGTTTGGTGAAGGGGCTTCGGGCGAAGAAAGGTTGATGTCCAGACCATTCGGTGTAGCTCTTCTAATTGCAGGCTACGATTCTGAGCAAGGCTACCAGCTATTCCATGCAGAACCCTCCGGAACATTTTATCGTTACAATGCCAAAGCTATAGGATCAGGGTCAGAAGGTGCTCAATCAGAGCTTCAAAACGAGTGGCACTCTTCTTTAACGTTGAAGGAAGCGGAACTGTTAGTTCTCAAAATTTTAAAGCAGGTCATGGAGGAAAAATTGGACAAGGATAATGCGCAATTAAGTTGTGTGACCAAAGAAAACGGATTCCAAGTCTACAGTAACGAAAAAATGGCTACAATAATCCAGGAGTTGAAAGAGAAAGAAGCACAAGAAAATTCTGAAAGTCAAGATGTAGAGATGTCTACGTAGGTTAAGAGTACTTCATAAACTTCTGTATATTTAGCTGGACCAAGGAAAATTTAATCACTTTGCTTGTATTTATTTTCGATCACACTCACCCTTTAGTTCGTCATTAATGAATTAAGGCGATTTTAGTTGTCAATTTACGTATATATCGTGAAAACAATGCTAGTCTACTAGATGTGAATATTCGGGTATTTCTTTTACCTTGGTATTGAAGAACTTTTCAAGTCTGTTGGCGTACTTGAAATAAGATGTGTTCTCACCATTGTATGCTCGACAGTTGTTGAAAATGAGGCGGGCATCGTAAACAAAGTTTTCCATTTTCTCATACCTATTGTTATCTAGCTTCATTTCCATCGTGCTTAAGTCCATAGGCTCCTTGATAAATTCATAATAATCTGCAACTTCGTCTCTGTTAACTGGTTGCAAAAAGGGCCATGCCGCTGCGTGATTTTGCACCTCAGTTAATATGTTTTGCATTGAAGCATGGTGAGGGCCCCTCTTCGGTCTCTGAGCCAGTTCATCCATTTCAGGTGTCCAACCGGCCTCTTTGAGGCCGGGAATATCCATTGGCTCAATCGGCTTGATATTGGTTAAATCTTTGAAGTGAGAAAGGCCTGCATGAACCACAGTGCTCTTCGAGACTAGTCGTACTTTTCGTTGTATAGCTGCCTCTTGAAGAAGTAGGATCTTTGCAGCGTCTAGGTATCTGATTCGCGGTAGCATTGAGCACTGCATTAACGTACCACCCTCGTAATCCTTTATGTACCCCATCCATATGCTTTTCTCGAGAGTGACCTCCTTAGTAAAGCCTTGTTTTTTGAAGTAGCCGATGGCGTAGTTGTCAGCATAAGTCAAGAAGTATTTGATTCTAGACGTGGCCCGCACGTAATCTTTCAAATGGTTCATCATATGTGCACCATAACCTCGTACTTGTTCAGTTGAACTAATAGCACAAAAGACAATTTCTGCAAACTCACGATTGTCGAATGGCCTGTACGTAATACCCCCTACCACCGTCAACGGCTTGCGAACTACCGCCATTGACAAGTGACTTCTGTCATATACAAGTCTGGCAATGTACTCCTTCGGCATTTTAGGCAATTGTTTTTGGAAAATGTTTTTCAGTCCAGTCAGAACCATCATGTTCTCTTTGGTATTATCATTGTTGACTACCCTAAACTCTATTTTTCCTTCGTTCTCCTCAATGACACTTGCACGCTCTTTAAATTGATACTGCTGACCGTCAAACACAAACCTCGTTATTCCCGCTTCAGAGCTATCAGGCCGATTGGCTTCAGGAGTTGGTTCCTCGAGAGTGTTTATCTCTTTGTCAATACTCAGAAGTTCATCGCCTGCATCACGTTCCACCACCTCAGGTACCGTAACTTCAGACGCGGGCTCCTCAGACTCCACAGATTTTGCCCTCTTGACCAAGTCCACATCGGATACATTATTCCGCCTCTTTGCAACCATCCTTGGGCTCTCCAAGGAGTCTTTTATAGCCATTTCAGACGCCCTGTCTTCCATTCACATAAATGAAGTGGTAAAAAATCACCAATGCGATCATTAGTACAAAGTGATTCCATGTTAAATTATTAGAACTCTACAAGAGAACCTCTTCATCAACTCCTTCGTCATCCCACTCATCTAAGACATGACTTAACGCTTCTTCGGCTTGAGTTTGAACTTCTGTCAATCCACACAGATCTTCAATATACTTGTAATTGTTCAAAGCATCCTTAACGAGACTCCAGCCTCTCTTCTTGTACTGTTCTATCACGGAAGGGCTACAAGCCGAGCAGTGTTTGAAAGCAGGGCTTTGGAGCTGCAAAGTCTTAAATTCATTCAAGAAGCCACGAATTTGATGCGGAAAATCGCCCAAGACAGTCTTGACATCAGTTGAATTGGTATTGAACGTTGGGTTTTGGAGGATGGAAATCAATAGCTCGACGCTCTGCGAGGCTGCCATCAATGCAACTCCTGGTCGCGTGACGGTGCACATTTGGTCCAAAGTGCGATCCGTCAAACTATCACTGGGAGCAACGACATCTTGGCAGAAATAACATCCCAGACGAGCTTCTTCCTCGTCGGCCATGTAAGAACCATGTCGCATGACGAGATAACTATCAAACCCTAAAGCTGCATTGATTACTATTTTGTTTTCAGCACAGCCTAATACCGACGGTAGCCATCTGGTTTCCCTAGAATCCATTAGTAGAAAAATTACGTCATGAGCTTGTACAAGTTCTACAAGTTTATCGAAATCTTGTTTCTCCTTTGCTTCATTTGTAACAGGATGGCCAATCATAGGGACCTGTAGCTCAATTCCGGTGCTTTTAACTAAAGGGAAAATTTGGCTCAGGGCCTCTGCGGCAGCAGCAGCCTTAGGCTTCCCGCAGCTATCAAAATTGAAGAGAGGCTGTCGCACGGGGTTTGAATATGAAACAGTTCCATTGTCCACAAAGGTTATTTGGCGAACGCCCCAGGCCAGCAATACACGCGAAACGTAGCATCCTAGCGTACCCGCACCTAGAATCAAAACCTTTGTGTTTTTAATGACTTCAAGTTCAATTTGTGGCGCTATACGCCATTTCATTAGTTTTAGGTTAAGATCTAAGGATTGATCTGCCAGTTGTAGGGGATCAATGAGGGAGCTCAAATCCGTTGCTCTTGGGGTGAGTTTATTTTGCGAGTTTCGTTCCCACCCAGTAACCTTGAGGGCAGCTGATTTTGTACTGCTATCGGATCGGAGAGCAACGTCAATCCAGAAACTTGATTGTGCATCTGATCTGACTAAAACCAATCTTAACTTGTTCAAGTCGGAATTGAAATATTTCAGCAAAGAGATAAAGTTCTTGACTATTGCCGAAGGCACCATGTCAATCTTGCATGTATCCCGGATTGCTAAAAGCGTACAAGTGGCTGCGCGATCTTTCGAAAATTGGAACAAGCCGCTACTGGCATCACCTACACAGGTCCAGCTGTCGGGATGTGACTTGAACCAGCTATTATAGATTTTCCAATCCGAGAGCTGCCCGGTCTTCAAGGATTCTATATGCAACCAAGCCGGCTGGAAACAAGGAACGCACACCCAGTAGAAAAACTTGTAAGACTTTAAATCGGCAAAACTGATCACTGACAACACTACACAGTTGTCGGGATTTTCCAAACCCGCATTCCATGCTTCTTCAGCACGATCGTAAAGAAATTGGGTTTTTTCGACTTTCTTAAACTCCTCAATTGTGTTGTAATTGTACAGGGAACCATTGATAGAAATTCCCTCTTCCTTCGCAGGAAACCCCGAAAAACTTTGGTCATTTAAAAATAGATGCGCACAGGGCGATCCTTTTGGAATATGATTCATATCGACGTAACTACCCAGGCTCTTCGTTGATGCATCGAGCTTCAGGACATCTAATTTGAGCCTTGCGAGCTCCTGAAAGAAAGAAGTGTCGAGAAACGACTGGAATGGCGTCCCAAATTTCATAGTAGCTTCCGACATGCCGAGCTTATATCCGGTCTACACAGCAACGCTTATCTCAAATGAAAGTTTGTGATCCAACCTTTCGCAACAAGTAGCACTACAATGCGATGGAGACATATCTGGAGTTTCCCCATGATCGTCCATTACGATGAACAATATATCTATGATCACCTATAAATACTTTACAACAAACCAATGCCCTCGAATTTATCACCTAAACGGCTTATTGAGCGTTAGGGTCATCTAGCGTCATCTCGTCCAGTTCGTCCAAGAGTTCATCGATGTCGATATGTGGACCATTTTCATTTTCGTCATCGTCCATTTCTCCATCTGCATCTGGAGCAGGAGCAGCACTACTCTTGTAAAGATTGACTGTTTGACGCATTTCAGAGTCCTCTTCCAATTCTTGCAAGAATGCTTCATAATCTCTTTCGGCTCTTTCTTGCTCCTGCTTTTGTTGTCTCGATGTGTAATCTTGCGAAGCCTCGATTTCCTTGTGTTCACGAGCCATTCTCTTCAACTTCCAGTTTCTGTTCTTGCGGGTCTTTCTGATGTACTGCTTCTTAACCAGCACCACGTCTGGTATATGCTCCATATTCAGCGAGTCAAACAAGTCGGAGTTGTAGTTAGAATTGGCGATGTAATAACCCATGACACTGTCTCCTGGATGACACAGAGCTCCGAGGTGCGATCTAACATAAAATACCTGATCGTTCACCCCTAAATCTGCGGCTCTGGCAACAGTGATGTCTGCCAAGACATATTTACCCTTTCGTTGGCCGGTTGGATCTACGTCCAACACAATGAACTCAACCAGCTGAGATACGTCGGCAAGAGAGTCAAATGCATTTCTCCAGTATACAGATGCCGAGAGGTCCGCTGTTTGAAGGGTGATAGGGTCCATAAATTGTAAAGTGTTAGAAACCTTCGAACACAATACAAACTGTGTGATGTTACCCAGAGATTTGGCCAGCTTTTTGGGTAGAACGACAAGATCGTCTCTACAGATCGGCACAATTTCAACAGAGAAAGAGAATTTGTAAGTCGAGGCACCGGTATGGGTATCTTGAGAAATCAGTTCTTCAGACTTTTTAGATCTTATAGGCACCACAGAGTTCAAGAAATCTAGCATTTTGGCAGCGTGATTTTTTTGCCCATAAAAGAAATCAAGTCCATCCTTGGCTTCCTGGATGTTGATGGTATCGACGTGGGCATTATGCTTTAGAATAAGCTGTTCCAGATATAAAAAGGTACGCTTGTGAGGAACTTTCTGCCTGATCTGTACTGTAGCTCTCCAAGTGTTGGTCGTGTAAGACCTTGCACAATCAGCACACTGCATTGCCACCACCACGTATTCAACTTCAAACGTTTGTTGCACGATCGTATTGGCCATGGCTTCCCCTTGGACGGCAAGCTTGACACGAATACGTCTGGAGTGCGGCTCTGTCCAGATAAAGGAAGCATCGACCAGCCGAACCTTGTTCAAACCTTTCAAACGACGGAGACACAGCGCCAAAAGTTCTCTTGATTCAAGTTCTGCACGTATCCATTGACCTGGAGGCTGGAGAAACCGCTCACAATTTCTGCAAAATGAGAGATTCGATTCTCTGGGAATTCCTTCCGTGATATCCACCGTCAATTTGATACAGTCATAGCACATAACCAAACCGCTCGACCCATCCATGGGCACACCACAGTTACAGCATAGAACAGTGGCAGCTTGCTGGTTTTGATAGACGCTTGGATCCAATGGCGTATAGTTCATCTTTGGCTAAGTGACACAGTACACCTTCAGTCTATTTTTCTTCCCTTAGCTGAGTAAACTAGAAAGAGATGAGATGAGATGTGGCGAGCATTCATTATGCGATGAGCATCTGAAAATTTTTTGGCAAGAGCGGCAGAACATATATTTCAACGTTTATAGTGATAAAATATAGCCATATGCCAGGCGGCGCCGGTGGCATTTCCATCAAAGAAGGTGAATATTCACAAGGCGTAGGCGGAGTACTTTAGCTTTCATTAAGTCGTTCAACTGAGAGCACTTTTTGAATCTATCTTTTGTTTTTCTTTTTGCCTTGAAACAGCAAGCCAAATGTTTTCTTGACCGTTTTTTCCACACGCGGGCCATTGTCGTCGTCACTATCCTCCGAGGATCCATCTTGGTTATTAGTTGGTGCTGGAAGGGGTGAACGGGTTTTACTCGTTTCCAAGCTTGTCCGTAGCTCTGTACGATTGGTGTTACGAATCTTCCTTTTCAGGGCCACCATTGCTCTGGTGTCGTCAGATCTCGTCTTATGGATTCCATTTGATATGCGTGCTTCACGGGGAAGGCTAGAGCCAGCGGTGGCCTTCTGTTTTTTCTTCTTCGCAAGCGAAGATATTTTCTTGTCACTGTTAATGAACTCGCCGATGGTAGATATATCGTCCTTGTTGCCATGGCTATTGTCCGCAATTTCTGAATCATTAAAGCTCAGTCCCGCGCCCATGCTTATGACTGGAAGCTGGTAGAATGCAGTTTTTGAACTGGTTAGGTCTTCACTGCAATCTCGACTGGCCCTGTCTCCCAGCCAATCTAAGGCCTTCACTTTATTATCGTTAAAAGCGGCCTGAAGCGAGGCCTGCAAACTTAGCTTTTCTTGTATCTCTCGCGCTCGCGACATTCCAATATCGGATGATATGTGACTTACTGACAGCCCTCAGTTAAAATCAGGCCTGTATTATGTGTCTTGTAAATTACATGGTGGTGATGAGGAAACATTAGACGAAAAATAAATTAAATAACCACCTACCTAAAATACGTTGAACAAAGCTCGCACAAGCTCCAATAAGCCCTCCTCTTAGTTCGAAACTGTCTTCCATGCCTTAGTTACATTCTATTTACAAATGCTAATTTCGTCTATAAGTCTTTTCCTTGCCGTTTTTCTTATTGTTGACTTTGCGACGCTCCCCAAAATTTTCCTTCTCCATAGCCATCAGACTCTCACGCTTAGCTGCCGTGACCTTATTTAAGGCCTTTCTGATAACAGCCGTATCATGAACGTTTATGAATTCGTCCATTTTCTTATTAATTCTGACTTCTATGGCTTCTATCCTGGAAACATCCCTCTGGGTAACAAAACATATTGATTCACCAGACCGGCCTGCACGAGCAGTACGACCGGCTCTGTGAATAAAAGTATCAGGGTTGGCCGATATATCGTAGTTGACTACAAGTTGAACAGTTGGAATATCCAAACCTCTCGAGGCAACATCAGTAGCTATCAGCACCCGCGCAGCATTTGCTCTAAATCTGTGCAGTGAGTTCGTTCTCTCTTGTTGGGGCATTTGGGAGTGCAGCGAGGCCACACGGACGTCCAGTTGCTTCAAAGTCCTTCGCAAAATCTCGGCAGTAATAGTTCTGTTCACAAAAATGATAGCACTAGACTCGCTATACATAGCACTCGTGAGAATCTGATAAAGGTAAGCCTCTTTCACCTGTTCAGGAACTAGCAGGTAGGTGGTCTTCAAAGTTGCAGGTATTGCTACTTTATCCATACTTTCTACCTCATACGAAAATAACTTGGGCTTGCCTTGAATGGTAGGAGCATTTTGCAATGACTTGACTTGGTCCGTCACAGTGGCAGTGAACAGCAGGTTTTGACGACGTTCTTTTGGGGGCAATATACTGACACAGGTAGCCAATGCTTCCGTGAAAGTTTCGGTAAGTAAAATATCTGCTTCATCAAGCACCAGATATTTTACTCTTTTCAAGCTACCAACTGTATCGTCGCCGCTGTTCGTGATATGGTGCGCCAAACGACCCGGTGTGGCCACTATGAAATGAGGCCTCCGTTGAAGCTCCAGCGCCTGCTCAACGATACTCTCACCGCCCACCACAAGCGCTACTCTAATATTCATGGAGCTTCCAAGAGCAGTAAACTGTTCTGCAATTTGCATCGCAAGTTCTCTGGTTGGTGTTAGCACCACCCCAAACATGCCGCTGGGATCCTCGGACCACTTGGTCAACATGGGTGCAGCAAAAGCTATTGTTTTACCTGAACCAGTTTTAGCTCCTCCAATGCAATCTCTGCCTTCCAAAATCCTGGGTATGCATGCCTTCTGAATGGCTGTAGGTTGGGCTATTTTCATAGACCGTAGTGCCTCGACCAGCCACTTGGATACTCCAAGGCTACTGAAATCTTCTGAAACCTTCGAAGCACCACTCATGATATATCAACTAATGGGCTGATATTTCTTTATCTTCTTAGCTTAGTTTTTGTTTCTGTTGAGGTTAGCGATGACCTGAATTATTTTTTTTTGTTATGAATTTATCACTGGGCCATCCCAGCACACATGGCCATCTTGCGCACTAGAAGATCAATATTCTGATTCTTGAGGGCACTAACAGGAAGCACATCCCACTGATAAGCCCGGCAATAGTCTCTGATCTGATAAAACTTGTTTATGTTGGCTGGGTCGTCGGATTTCACGTCGGCTTTGTTACACACCACCAATACATTTTTCTTAGTAACCTCTTCAATGCCGCCTAGCTCGAAAAGCAAAGTGTTGAGATCTTCGAGAGGGTTATGTCTTTCCAAGCTTACTACTATCACCCAGCCCTTAGAGCGCTGGATGTGTCTGATGAATTCTAGGCCCATGCCCTTATCACGGGAGGCGCCCTTTATGATGCCAGGGATATCAGCAACAGTAAAACTATGAGAATCGATGCCCAGCGTTACAGTACCAACGCTAGGATGTGTGGTGGTGAATTCCCAGTGACCGATACGTGGTTTGGCATTAGAAATACGATTCAAAATAGTGGACTTGCCTGCATTAGGCAATCCTACTAGTCCTAGATCTGCGAGGCTCTTAAGTTCGAACATGAAGTACTGCTCGAGACCGCTTCTACCGATTTTAGCAAAACGCGGGTTTCTGATAATATTGGTCAAGAAATGCATATTACCCAGACCTCCTTTGCCACCTTTCAACAAACAAAGAGGAGTGGGAGTAGGCTTATCCAGATCTAAACCGTAGAGGGGGAAACGGTCGCCTTTAAGCTCAGACTGACTTGTCTCGACGTCGTAGACCTTGACTTTTTCGTTGAGCTCTTGGAACCAGTCTTTATCGTCGTGATAGGCTTCGTCTTTGCCCTTGAAGAGCCACCCTTTACCTGCTTCATACGAGTCTCGGAAAAGTTGGATATGCGTGGGCTTTTGATCCATTTCGAAGCGGCCAGTGCAATGGAGGCCCACCCTATGATTCTCTAATACTCTTCGAAGAGGAAGGTTGTCGGTGTTTTTGTAAGAATTAACGGCATTACGAACCTCTGCAGGATTCATGCACCACTTAACTACCGTTCCCACAGGAACTGAGATCAGAACATCCTTGCCTCTTGCCCCATCCAATTGTTTCGCAGCCCCGCTCTCACCATCAAATGCACTATAGGTTGTCCTGAGCTTCGCCAAGCTGTTAAGTCCTTCGATAGCCTGTATGTAGACACTGCCACCATCTCCTCCGTCGCCGCCATCGGGTGGTCCAATTGATCTTCCTGCATCCCTGAAAAAAGAGACAGCTCCGTTACCTCCGCTACCACTTCGACATTTGAGGATCCTAACATCTACAAATTCCTTGGCATGAGAAGTCCGCTGAGTTTTTGTTTGGAGATGACTTAGGGTTATAAAATTTGACAATGGTGATTTAACGTTAATATAAGGCGTCTTTGGCGGGGTTGAGACCACCTCATATGGGACTGTTAGCAAGTCGCTAGAACGTGATGACACAATTTTACCGCTTCCAATGAGACTTGATCGTGGCAAAGCTTCTTGATGCTCTTGTTTTAGCTTTCGCAACCAAGTCTCATTGTCAGACGCTTTGGGTGCGTTATCTGGCGCGGATGAAGCCTTCCTACTCAATCGAGGGTTGTTTAGCTTTTTGCAAAGTAGGCGGAACATAATATGAAGTCAGCCTCCGCTCTTGTGCTTTTCTCGTTGGGAAGTTGTCATCGATAGATGGCAATGCTTTAAATTCGAGATCGAATGTTTGAAGCGTCGAGTCACGTGATAATAATGATCTAGGAATTATGGTCTCCACTCATTATATAATCCAGGGCTCTGGCTTATGTTCTTTCCATTTCAATGTCCTCATCCTCACTTTTCCTATCTAGTTCCTGTCTTAAATTTGTAATGTCAAGGAGCGTTTTGGCAATGGAATTATGAGCATCACCAAAGAGCATGCTCTCGATGGATTCGTAATTTGTTCTCCACTGGGCAACGTCTGAGGTAAGAGATTTCAACATGTCTCGCAAGATATGCTGGTTTTCAACAAGGTAACGAGCCTTTTCCATTTTGATGGAAGTGATCCAACTGACTAATCGGCTCTTCAAAATCTCTCTTGTCTCTACACTAGCGTCTTCACTCTTGTAACTTTGTAGCCATGATTCGAGGTCGAAGTAGTCCTCTTTTTCAACCTGAGAGAACGCTGAAGCTGCGTCACACAAGTTGGACGAGAGCCTACCGATTAAATTGGTATGCTCCAATTGTAGATTATGGCTATCATTGACTTCGTTCAGATACTCTAGCATTTCTGAAGCTTGGCCATCACTATTTGAAGTAACAGTAAGTCTGCTTTTGGCCACATCTGCCAGAGGAGCCAGCTTGAGTTTTGTGTTGTAGGACTCAACGACGCTTGTATGGTCGTCTCTCAAATCCGCCATGGACATTGTCAGCTGCGCAAAGCTGCCGCTCATTTTCTGTAGTGCGGCAATCTGAGCTGATTTCTCGGTAGAGTTCATTAGGATTGTTTCCAAATAATCGAACAACTGATCGGCATGATTGTAGTTCACTTCTAGGGACATCGATAGTTGATTTAGCATTGACTCCACATTATGGGAGCTCATCATCTAGTGCACTGCCTGGGGTATAGTAAGGTTATGTCTGGAGTTTCTTTGTCCCTGTCTTATTATTCTTTTCAGTTCATTGTGTTTTTGTAAATTGTATCTTTGCACAACGCGGAACAGCTATTACAAGCGCCCTAGTAAAGATCTCACAAAGCAGACCAACACAACGTCAACGCAAAGTCGCAACTATGGACCCCTCGTTTGTTCAACTGCTGCTCGATATAAAATGTGAATTAAGGGACTCTTCATCAAGGCTATCGCGTTTGAAGCTGTATAATTCCTCAAAGTGGTCTGCCGAAGCCCTCTGTGGGATGTGTGAATTCCCTATGCCCTCCGATACGAGCAACTTACTGAAAATTGATGAATCTCCCCTACGTAGTAGGGGCCAAGCCAGCGCTTTCACTGAAGGGCAATCAAAGGAAACAACCGGCGGACAGGAAGACGCGCCGATGGAAAGTAAGGAGTACGATTTGTTCCTCCTTGCATCGACTTTATTTGATTGTAAAGAATTCGATAGATGTGCATACTTTTTAGCCGATGCAAAACACCCTGAACTCAAGTTTCTCAAGCTCTACAGCAAGTATTTATCATGGGATAAAAAGACGCAAGAAAGCATGGAGAGCATGCTAACATCAGGAAGCTCAAACAACAGTAGTAATGGCAGAGCTGGTACAAAGGCTGGTAGTGGCAGCAGGGATACTCTTGACATGCTGCGAAACCAAGACCCTCGAAAGAGTAATCCTTCGAAGAAATTCCAAAAATCGAGTGACCTCGACCATGGCGAGTCCACAAGCATTCCTGCAATATTGAAGGAGCTCAACGAATACTTACCACCGGAGAGCGACCTTGAGGGCAGTGGTATTGGTATGTCTTTGCTGTATTATCTTCGAGGTTTACTTTATAAGCTGCAAGATATACCATCGAATGCTATCAGTTCTTTTCTCAGCGCTATCTCCATATACCCATATAATTGGGCGTGCTGGAATGAACTCTTAAGCTGTTTATCTCGCCCAGATGAATCGCTACTCCTACTAAAGATACTTAATGACAAGTTTACGAGCGAGAAATACCAGATTATGCTAAAGTTCTTCAAACTTTCCTTATTCCAGGAATTCAATGGCAACATTGACGATTTTATCCAAGAACTCGATTTCCTATTATCAATCTTCCCAAACTTTGCGTTTTTAAAGACGCAGCATGCCTTAGTAAATTACCATTACATGGATTATGTGAATGCCGGGTTCATTTTTGACCAAATCATCAAGCTAGATCCGTATCGCCTGGAAGACATGGACACTTATTCTAACATACTTTACGTGATGCAAAAACCTTCCAAGCTGGCGTACCTTGCACAGTTTGCTTCCGGAGTAGATAGATTCCGAGCTGAGACTTGTTGTATTGTTGCCAATTATTATAGTGCTAAGCAGGAACACGAGAAGTCAATAATGTACTTTAGAAGAGCACTGACACTGAACAAGAACTGTACTAGCGCTTGGACGCTAATGGGGCACGAGTTTGTAGAGCTGAAGAATTCACACGCTGCCATCGAGTGTTACAGACGAGCTGTCGACATCAATTCACGAGACTTCAAAGCTTGGTATGGCCTAGGCCAAGCCTACGAGGTACTGGACATGCATTTGTACTCGCTTTACTACTTTCAACGCTCTTGTGCCCTAAAGCCGCTAGACAAGAGAATGTGGCAGGCACTTGCGAGCTGCTACGAAAAGGTTGACAATGTGGACGAATCAATCAAGTGCTACACAAGAGCACTTCAGCTCTCTTTCAACGCTGATTTGGACACTGTAATCTTGTACAGGCTGGCCCTCCTGCATGGAAAGCTGCACGACATCGAAAGTTGTAAATCTTATATGGCCAAGTGCGTCACTACAAATGAGAGCGCCGATGGTTTGATAAGTGACGAAATTACCAAAGCCAGCCTCTGGCTCGCTAAGCATGAAGCTAGGAACAAAAATTTTTCTGAAGCTTACAAGTATGCACTCGGTGTTACACATGGAACCTCTCAGGAAATAGAAGAGGCCCGCGCAATAGCACGCGAGTGCCGGAAACGGATGGATTGAACGATATACGAAAGCATTGTTAGAACACTATTTACTCTAATTTAGAGATCACATGACTTGGATAAGGGCATCGCTGATATTCAAAATTTTTGAATAGTATAGCACCCAAATATTAACGGAGACACGAAGGTCGTGTACACTATTTGGTGTCTAACGGTCCAGCAAAGTTATAACAGGAGTCCTTTGGCTTGTAATATATTAAATCTGTCTTTGGACTTTGTGAAACGACTATGAGCGGTCTTCCACCTCCTCCACCTCCACCAGGGTTTCAGAAGGGGACCTCTTTACCGCCACCACCCCCACCTCCCCCGGGTTATGGAAGAGCTAGGAGCTCACATCATTCAAATGGTGGCGCGAATAATAACAATGTGCTAGTCTCTCCTCCTCCACCCCCCTCAAAACTTACATCAATCGACAACGATGGATATGTTTGCACAACTGGAAGCGCACATAATGGCAAAATATCATCTCCACAACCGCCTCCACCGTCTCCAGCCCAATTTGAACCCATGAAGTCTGGTATGAAAAGAAGAAAGAAGGAAGTCATCGGGATCGGTGCGATGAAGACTACAACTGAAGAACTTGTACGGAGACGTCATGAATGGTTTGAACTTCAGAAGCAAAGATTTAAAAGTGGCAAGCCATCCCTCAGAATGAAACAAAAATCACACAGAGGGGGACTTGTACATTCTCATAAAGTGGAAATGCCTCCTGAACATATAAGGAAAATTATGGCTGATCATCGCGACATGTCATCTAAAAGATTTGACCCCGACAGACGGGCTTTTCTTGGAGCATTAAAATACATGCCTCACGCCATTTTAAAACTTATCGAAAATATGCCTCAACCCTGGGAACAAGTCAAGGAGGTAAAAGTTCTTTATCATAACACTGGCGCTATAACTTTTGTGGATGAAGTACCGCGGGTTATTGAGCCCATTTATGCAGCACAGTGGTCTACCGTTTGGATTGCAATGAGACGAGAGAAGCGAGACCGTCGTCATTTTAAAAGAATGCGCTTTCCTCCATTTGATGACGATGAGCCTCCTCTGTCTTATTCTGAACATATTCAGGATGTTGAACCTCTTGATGCAATTACTCTACAATTGGATGAAATTGACGATTTTGCTATAAGAGATTGGATCTTTGACTCACAGCCCTTAATTGATAACAAGGAGCACGTAAACGGCTCGTCTTACAAAACATGGAAACTCGATCATCATATAATGGCAGCCCTCCATCGAATAAGTGCTCCGCTTTTGGACACAAACAATCACACGAATTCTCGTTACCTCTTTGACAAAAAATCCTTCTTCACAGCAAAAGCTCTAAATAATGCTATCCCCGGGGGCCCAAAGTTTGAGCCTTTATTTCCTAAGGAAGAAGAGGGTGATTTTGATGAGTTCAACTCTCTTGATCGCGTTATATTCCGAGTTCCAATTAGAACAACCTATAAGGTAGCATTTGCTCACTTGTACAACAGCCGACCTCGAGAGATTGCACTTGCGTGGTATTGTGATCCTATTTCTTGTCTCACAAACAGCGGTGATGATGAAATTGAGTCTGCGTTCAGCTTCAATCAATCGTTCAACCTCGTTCAGGCTCAGGCGGATATTTATACGTCAGATAAAGCCAATTGTGACGACTTCGAGCTACCACAAACTTTTAAAGCTGTGTTAGAGGATTTAGATTTTGAACTGCCAGATACAAAAGATGCTTTAGATTTATATCATGCTCCCTTTCCATTCAACAGAAGGTCAGGAAGTACAGTAAGATCACAAGATGTCTCCTTGATAAAGGAATGGTATCTTCAAAGACCAGAGACCGACGTTCCGATCAAAGTCAGAATCTCTTACCAAAAGCTTCTCAAAAACTATGTTTCAAATGAACTTAAATCTACAAAAGTGTCGTCTTCGAACAAAAAGAAACTTCTCAAAAGTTTAAGGAATACTAAGTTCTTCCAGCAGACATCGCTTGATTGGGTTGAAGTAGGATTGCAGGTGTGCAATCAAGGTTTTAATATGTTGAATTTATTAATCCACAGAAAGGGCTTAACATATTTGCATCTAGACTACAACTTCAATTTGAAGCCCACGAAGACCCTCACCACTAAAGAGCGTAAAAAGTCAAGATTCGGACATGCTTTTCACCTGATGCGGGAAATTTTGAAGGCAACTAAACTACTAGTGGATGCCCATGTCCAATACCGATTAGGCAACGTAGATGCTTTTCAACTAGCTGATGGCATTTACTATATCTTGAATCACCTCGGACAATTGACAGGAATCTACCGGTACAAGTATAAGGTCATGCACCAAATAAGGGCTTGTAAGGATCTGAAGCACATTGTTTATAATCGATTCAACAAAGTTATTGGAAAGGGACCTGGATGCGGTTTCTGGCATCCTGCGTGGAGAATTTGGATTTTCTTCATGCGAGGAGTAATACCTCTGCTAGAGCGGTGGCTGGGAAATCTTCTTGCCCGTCAATTTGAAGGCCGTTCTAATGAGGTAGTCAAAACTGCCACTAAACAGCGCCTGGATGCATATTATGACCTTGAGCTGCGAGCAGCAGTGATGAATGATATTCTGGACATGATGCCTGACGGTATCAAACAGACAAAAACTAAGACTATTTTACAGCACTTGAGCGAAGCATGGAGATGTTGGAAAGCAAATATTGCCTGGAATGTCCCGGGCATGCCAGAACCGGTAAAAAATATTATTGAAAGATACATCAAAGCGAAGGCAGATGGCTGGGTATCGGCAGCTCACTACAATCGTGAGCGCATCAAGCGTGGAGCTCACGTTGAGAAGACAGTTGTCAGGAAGAATCTTGGACGATTAACACGACTCTGGATGAAATATGAGCAGGAAAGACAACAAAACATTGAAAAGAATGGCCCAGAAATCACTCCTGCTGCAGCTACTTCAATTTTCAAGACGATGGTAGATTGGTTGGAAACTAACAATTTTTCTCCTGTACCTTTTCCTCCATTAACTTATAAAAATGACACCAAAATTTTGGTTCTTGCCTTAGAAAGTTTGAAAAATGCATATGCGTCTAAAGTTCGTCTCAATGCAGCGGAGCGAGAAGAGTTGGCCTTAATCGAGGAAGCCTACGACAATCCACATAACACATTGAATCGAGTTAAGAAATATCTTTTAACTCAACGAGTCTTCAAACCTATTGATCTGTCAATGAAAGATCAATTCCAGTATGTTTCCCCTGTGTATACTGTGGATCCACTAGAGAAAATTACTGATGCCTACTTAGATCAATACCTATGGTATGAGGCTGACAGAAGGAAATTATTTCCTAACTGGATTAAACCCAGTGATACAGAGATTCCTCCGCTATTAGTTTACAAGTGGGCCCAAGGCATCAATAATTTGCATGAGATTTGGGATGTTTCCAATGGTCAGTCGACTGTTGTGCTTCAAACCAAGTTGGAAGAGGTCGCTGAAAAGATCGACTTTACCCTACTAAACCGACTTTTGCGTTTGATAATGGATCCTAACCTGGCTGATTATATCACCTCAAAGAATAACGTTCTGCTGAATTTCAAAGACATGAGTCACGTTAACAAATACGGTCTAATTAGAGGCCTGCAGTTTTCCTCGTTTATTTTTCAGTTTTATGGCTTAATAATCGACCTTCTCATTCTGGGCCCGGAACGAGCTCTTGAAATGGCGGGACCATCGAGCTCACCTAATGAATTTTTACAATACAAAAGTCTTGACGTTGAAAAGCAAAACCCTATCAAGCTGTACTGCAGATATTTCGACAAAATTCATATAGTCTTTCATTTTGAAGAAGGCGAAGCAGAAGATCTTGTACAAGACTACTTGTCTGAGAATCCTGATCCCAATTTTGAGAATGCTGTGGGTTACCGTAATAAACGGTGCTGGCCAAGGGATGCCCGCATGAGGCTGGTTCGCCATGATGTCAACTTGGGTAGAGCAGTTTTTTGGGAAGTGAATAGTCGAGTTCCTTCTTCCTTAGCTAATATTTTGTGGGATAACTCTTTGTCATCCGTGTACAGTAAGACCAACCCTAATTTGCTTTTCACGATGTGCGGTTTCGAAGTTAGGATTCTTCCAAATATCCGAGCTGAAGAGATGATGTCATCAGATGAAGGCGTTTGGGATTTGATAGAGGAGGCAACCAAAAGAAGGACTGCAAAGGCATTCTTAAAAGTATCTGACGAAGAAGTAGAGAGATTTAATGACACCATCAGAGGTATTTTGATGGCCTCAGGCTCGACAACTTTCACAAAAATTACAGCGCGGTGGAACACTGCCTTGATCTCGCTATTCACGTACTATAGGGAAGCCGTGATTGCCACAGAAGGACTTCTTGATGTGCTGGTAAAATGTGAAACCAAGATACAAAATCGCGTCAAGCTGGGGCTTAACTCTAAGATGCCCACAAGATTTCCTCCAGCTGTATTTTATACACCCAAAGAGCTGGGAGGTTTAGGAATGTTAAGCGCTTCTCATATTCTAATTCCAGCTTCTGACCTTACTTGGTCCAAGCAGACTGATACAGGGATCACACACTTTAGATCAGGGATGACACATGAGGACGAAAAGTTGATTCCGACCCTATTTCGCTACATCACTACATGGGAAAATGAGTTTTTGGACTCTCAGCGTGTGTGGGCTGACTATGTTTTTAAGCGCCAAGAAGCACTACAGCAAAACCGTCGGTTAGCTTTCGAAGAGCTTGAAAGCTCTTGGGATCGTGGTGTTCCACGTATTAGTACGCTATTCCAAAAAGATCGTCATACTTTGGCTTACGATAAGGGTCATCGCGCTCGATTAGAGTTTAAGACGTATTCCTTGGACCGTAATAATCCCTTTTGGTGGACGGATACAAGGCATGATGGTAAGCTCTGGAATCTCAACAGTTACAGAACGGACGTCATTCAAGCTCTTGGTGGAATCGAAACCATATTGGAGCATACTTTGTTCAAAGGAACAGGATTTAACTCGTGGGAAGGCCTCTTTTGGGAGAAGGCTTCTGGTTTCGAAGATTCTATGCAATTCAAAAAATTGACACACGCTCAAAGAACAGGTTTAAGTCAAATTCCGAATCGTCGCTTCACTTTATGGTGGTCACCAACCATCAATAGGGCCAACGTTTATGTTGGGTTTTTAGTACAGCTTGACCTCACAGGTATCTTTTTACATGGCAAAATCCCCACCCTAAAAATTTCACTCATTCAAATCTTTAGGGCCCATTTGTGGCAAAAGATTCACGAAAGCGTTGTTTTCGACATTTGTCAAATTTTGGATGTTGAAATGGACATGCTTCAAATCGAGTCTGTTGATAAGGAGGCTATTCACCCTCGTAAATCATACAAAATGAACTCGTCAGCAGCAGATGTAACCTTGCGCAGTAACTACTCGTGGCAGGTTTCTCGACCCTCCCTTCTTCATCAAACGAATGACAAGTTTGATGCAACGACTACTAGCAAAATGTGGATTGATGTCCAACTGCGGTACGGGGATTACGATTCCCATGACATTTCTCGTTACGTGAGAGCAAAGTTCTTAGACTACACTACTGATAATGTGAGCATGTATCCTTGCCCGACTGGCGTTATGGTTGGAATTGACCTTGCCTATAACATGTATGATTGTTACGGTAACTGGTTTGACGGATTCAAGCCGTTAATGCAAAATGGTATCAAAACTATTATGAAAGCAAATCCGTCTTTGTATGTTCTGCGAGAAAGAATACGGAAAGGATTACAAATTTACCAATCTCAAACGCAAGAGCCATTCTTAAACTCTTCTAACTACGCCGAACTCTTCAGCGAGGATACCAAGTTGTTTATCGATGACACGAATGTTTACAGAGTTGCTGTACACAAGACGTACGAAGGAAACGTTGCGACCAAACCTATCAACGGGTGCATTTTTACTCTGAACCCAAAAACTGGTGAGCTCTACCTGAAAATTATCCATACTTCAGTCTGGGCGGGTCAAAAGCGCTTGAGCCAACTGGCAAAGTGGAAGACTGCCGAAGAAATCAGTGCTTTAATAAGATCTCTCCCTAAAGAGGAACAGCCCAAACAAATTATAGTGACAAGGAAGGCAATGTTGGATCCGCTTGAAGTTCATATGCTAGATTTCCCTAATATCTCGATTAGACCCACAGAATTGAAGATGCCCTTTGCGGCTTCGTTGGCAATTGAAAAGCTGTCAGACGTCGTAATGAAAGCCACAGAACCACAAATGGTGTTATTTAACATCTATGATGATTGGCTTGAAAGAGTTTCTTCGTACACTGCTTTTTCCAGGCTGATATTGTTGCTACGTGGCTTAAGAACCAATGAGCAAAAGGCCCAAATAATCTTAAAGAGTGACCCCACTATTCCAATTAAAAGCCATCATTTGTGGCCATCATTCAATGATGATCAGTGGATAGAGGTAGAGTCCAAAATGCGCGACCTTATTTTGGAAGAGTATGGCACCAAGTATAATGTCAATATTGCTTCCCTGACTCAGACCGAAATTAAAGACTTGATCTTAGGCCAAAATATCAAGGCTCCGTCGGTCAAACGTCAGCAGATGGCAGAAATAGAAGCAGCGACTGGTGATATACCTAAAGATCAGACGTCAGCGTCTGCTATGAAAATCAAACAGACCAACGCTCAAGGCGAAGAAATAATGGTAGTGACTTCCACCAATTACGAAAACCAGGCGTTCAGTACAAGCAACGAATGGCGTCAACGAGCGATCTCAAACTCACTTCTGTATCTGCGATTGAAGACGATATATTTGTCATCAGAGGAGTTCGTGGAAGAAAAGAATGTTTTTATTCTTCCCAAAAACTTGTTGAAGAAGTTTGTTGAAATTGCAGATTCCAAAGCCCAGATAGGTGCGTTCATGTTTGGTAAACCCGCCACTGGTTATGAAAAGGTCAAGGAAATAAAGATCATTGTCATGGTGCCACAACTAGGGAACAGTCGCGCGGTTCAACTAAGCCGCTTATCAGAGCAGTCTCCGTACTTGCACGAGATGCAACTTTTAGGCTGGATTCATACGCAAAGTGAAGAACTAAAGCACATGTCAGCCCCAGAGATGACAACTCATTCGAATTTGTTTGCGAATCAAAGGGATGCCGTAGATTTATCGGTTTGTTTAAATCCGGGTTCAATTTCGCTATCTGCTTACACCATGTCAGAAGAGGGTTTTGAGTGGGGCCTTTCTAATAAGGATATTTTTGATCCGTCGCCCGAAGGCTTTGAGCCTACCCATAGTGAGCACGCTCAGCTGATGCTGTCTGACAAAATTAACGGCTATTTCTTGGTGCCAGCTGCAGACACATGGAACTATGCTTTTATGGGTGCTGCATTCGATTCCCGCGGTACATGCGACTTAAAGCTGGATGTACCACTTGAGTTCTATAATGAACTGCATCGCCCTGTGCATTTCATGCAATTCAATGAAGTTGTGGAAAACGAAGAATTGGAACCAGAGCAGGAGGACGTATTAGGGTAAATGATAACACAAGCATTCATATGTGGCTTATAAACTGAGTAGATTTGAGGCCAAAACTTAAAAGTGAAAACTTTCGATCGAGAATTGAAACAAATAGTAGCAAATTACGCCATTCAATTGCGTATAACAATCTCACATTTACATCGCGGCGATGGTCAAACCATTAATAATATTTCCTGGTATTGAAGTAGAATCGGACGCCATCCTTGCTCAATAAGTAGTAAGAGCGGCCCCGAATATATAGACTATTTATGATGGGGCGTCGCCGAGTCATTACACTAATTCCATACTTGATCTCTTAAGCCAACCACATTTTCTATACACGTCTGTTGATAATCTACGAGCCTATGAATACTATTGGAAAAAACAATTATCAACTTCAGCAGTCCCAGAGGGTATCGTCAGTGTTGAATGAACATAACTGCTAGAAGAGACACGGGTAATGAGAATCATAATAACACAAACCTGAAAGATGCTCAATCAGTTTTAGAAGCCAAGAAAAGAGCATTGCTACGATCAATTGCAGAGAGGAAACAGAAAGCACAAAATGATAGGCTAAAAACGGAAGCAAAAGACTCAGTGCTTACTGCTGTCGAGGAGTTGGTGAGACTGGGGTTCTCATTTGATTCACTGAGCCGAGAGCCGCTCCTTAGTAAGGAATTTTTGAAAGAGGCCTTTGAAGAATCAGGCCGAACAGTATCGATCATGGAGACAAATAGTTCTAAGGTCAATACTACATTCGACCATGTGAATCCTGTTATCGAGCCTGTACAGGTTGATACCCCTGCCCCACTCGAGGCCCAGCTTTTACCTACAGCAGAGCCTGCTTTCAAAAGAAGATCTGTTAACAAAAGCCCTGTATGGCTGCAAGACCTTGTCATTGATCTCACCAGTAGCGGGGATGATGACGATACAGCTAACTCAGGAGAAATAGATGCTCCTCACCAAAGCCATGGAGGCGTCCTGGGGCCGGCGAATAATGCTACTGCCATCAACATTGGATCCGAGGTCAGCAGGCTAACAATGCGTCTAAAGATTGAAATTTCACGCCTGAGACAGCGCCTCAAAGCCTGTCAATCCGCTTCGATAACCGAAAATACCTTGAAAGTTTTGTTGGACAAAAAGGAAGATATGATCCAGGATATCGAGAGCTTGTTCCTTGAACTCGAAGCACGAAAAGAGCGTCCCCCCGGTTGAAATTAACCAAAAATTCAGGAGTACTTGATTTTAATTGCGTCCTAATGCCTGTCGTAGACATATAAAAGCCGTCAAAATCTTACAATATCCTGAGTTGTATCTTTGCAGATGGGGGGAAAGGTTGGAAAGAGAGCAAATGTTAAATATCGCTATGGAAGACAAATTGAAGGTAGCTTAGCGCTTCTGAATGGTTTAGTATATCAATGATCCAAATGGCAAATCTACGGCGCACTAGTACGGGATGTCAATCATTTGATCGTTCAATAACTATAGATTTATTCTTCCCACCTGAAGTGGGGAATTGAACCGAATGAAGTGTACAAAGTCACCAAACTGGACTATAAACAAACCTGAAGCGGAAGAGTATCAGTTAATGGTTAAGGACTTTGAAAATGATAAAAGTGGGACGCTGACGATCATCTATATCAAAAATATCATTTAGCACGCTATATCTCGTTACTTTCGACATTACCTGCAGCATCTCTACTCTCGATGGATCAAAATCGTAGATCAGCCGAAATCAGTGATACGATCACACCTGCCGTGATTGAAATCAACAGACTTTGGGTCCATGGGCTCGGAAGAATTGAAAAAGAGGAAACAAAGTCCATTTGCATCTCCTGAACGTGGAAATCGCGCGACAGTAGCTGGTAACAAAGGCACAAGCTCGGCGGTAACGTCTTGCTCTAACAGCAGAACGACCAATATTAAGAAGCGGTATAAATTTGCTCCTCTTGATACATTATGCAAGAAATCAAAGAGCCTTCAAGATGAAGGGATTATGCAAAACTCTCTATCTATTTCCCAAGTGCGTCAATCAAGAAAAAGAGATAACACTGCGCCGCCTGTCATTGCGTTTGACTGCAATGGCACTAAGAGAGCAGAAGAACCCCAGAAGCGCGCTGAAGGAGCTTTACACGAACTCGATGCCCCCGAAGAGGTGGTCTGGAAATACTCCCCGAAAAAACCTCAGGCCTTTGACGGCGAGCAAGGTTTTCGCTCGCCCTCAGATGACAGTTTGATCGAGCAAGCTGCCAAAGAATCATCTACACCAATTGTTCCTAATAGATATAGCCGCGTTTTGAATTTCTCTCACATAAACGCCGCGCATAGTCGAAATGATGGCACTTGGCCATTGGAGTCTAGAGAGTCACCTCTAAAACAATATCCCCATCCAAAGAATTTTAATAGACCATCTTCATCTCGACCATCGACAAGAGATATTGAGGAGATCATAAACGACATCGAAGGCGGTTTTGGACTAAAACCCGCATTCCAAAACAAGGATATTCCATCGTCTCCAACACAGATGGTATCCCAAAGGCTGCTTGCCAAGAAAGAGTCTGATGAATTAGGGAGAACAAACATTTCATCATCATCACCAGTTCATTTAGAGACTCGAGATCAAGATATTAAAGGCAATGATAATGAAAAGGATAATGATTACGAAAGTGACGACAATAACAACGACGATCATGACGATGATGATGATGACTCCCTCATCGATGCACTTACACAGAAATATGGAGATGCAGGTGAACTTAACAAAGAAGGCTCAAGTCTAAATTCAGTGATAAAGTCTAGTGTTGAGCCCCACAATAATGCAGCATCTGATGGAACTTGCGATGACTCATTAATAGAATATTTGCAAGAAACAGAAAATACGTTGAGAAATAGAAAGCCATCTGTTCAAGAATCTCAAGTTGAAGCAGAAATTGAAACTGTTGAGAAGACTTTTTCACAAACCTTCACTGTCAACGAAGGTGCTTCGGGTGCCATGGGACAGGATAATGAGATCAGTGAATTTATCGAAAGAGCAAAGTTTGCTGTTTCGAGAAGTGACATGAGAAGATTGGTAATTTTGAAGAGCCAGATCCAAACTTATGACGGCAACGCCCAACAAAAGATTGTCACATGTATTGATGATGTTGGAGCCATTAGCAAACTTATTATTCGACAGCCGTGGTTTGAACTCGACTTCAAGCGTGGCGACGTGCTCCACACTATACCTGGTCAAAATTCTACTAATAAAAGTCTTTTTTCAAGCGATGTTGATCCTCTAACCCTTAAAATGAACGATAATTTGCTTATCCTCAATCCGGACATATTACTACCAGCTACTACTGTAGGGAGGGCTATTGAATGTGAAAGAAGAGCGATTATTTGCAATCAAATTAGTGGACCGGGTGAGCCTAGTCTTCCTGCGCTCGTCGGAAGTATTGTTCATGAACTTTTACAATCCTGCTTGAGATATAAGCTTGACCATCAACGTCTAAGCGATGATTTTGTTACATCTACCCTCACCTCACTTTTAAAATTTTATGCGTCAGATATCATAATGTGCCAAACAACCACCGAAGCCCTATCGAGGCAAATTGTCAACGAACATGTTCCAAACGTCAAGAGCTTCATTGACCAATACGTGAGAAGTAGCCATGCAAAGTCTACGAAAGCTAGAGGTCATTACAAATACACTGAACCTTTAACTATATCAAATATTATTGATATTGAGGAAAATATCTGGTCCCCAATGTACGGACTAAAAGGCTTCATAGATGCGACTGTTGAGGTGCAATTGCCTAATAATACAAGATTCATATCTCCCTTGGAGCTCAAAACAGGCAAGACTAAAGCAATTTCTCATGAAGCTCAAGGAAGTATTTACACGCTCTTGCTTAACGACAGATATGAGCTTCCAGTTCAATTTTTCCTTCTCTTTTACACAAAGTCTAATGACTTTAGGAGGCACAATGCAGTTCTTACTTCATTAAAACACTTACTGGTATTAAGGAATAGAGTAACGAATTATTTGACTCACGAACTTACTGAAATGACAACACTCACATCAGGAAAGTCTGAGTTACCTCCCATTCTCGGCAGCTCCGTTTGTGACAATTGCTATTCAAAAACTGAGTGTATGGTTCTCAATAATCTTTGTGACAATGGAACTGCAGCTGACAGCGGGTTGAAGGAAGGCGAGTATGACATGTTAACCGGCCATTTAGACCAAAATCATCAGCGATACAGGGACTTTTTCACTAAATATGAAGGTCTTATCAAGAAAGAGGAATCGAGTTTGAATGGCATGAATAGGGAAGTTTTTCTGCTCGACAGTACGACAAGAGAGTCGCTCAGTGGTAAATGTCTGAGCAATTTGATAATCAAACAATCTGATGAGCATGAAACAAGCAAAACAATTCAATATACCTTTATCAGGAAGAATGACGCCGCCAATTTGCCGCTAATGACAAATTCACAACTTTCAAAAAATGATATCGTGATTATAAGCGATGAATGTGGTCATTTTGCACTGTGTACAGGCCGTGTAGCGTCAATATCAAGCCAAGAGGTGTCAATCATGACTTCACGCAGACTTGAAAGTAATAATATTCATACACCAGGATTTGAGAAGAATACTAACCAAACTCTCAAAACGGTCCTCATGCCAACAAGTCGCTCCAACTCAGTTCAGCAAAAATCTATAACGTATCGGATCGACCGAAATGAGGTGCAGCAAGGGATGGCTCTTGCTCGTTTCAATCTACTAAACTTATTCCTACCTCCTATTTCTCCTGGTACAACGAAAATGGATGAGATATCGGGGGCAAATCTTGATCTCAAAGCTTCCTGGGGAGGCGATTCGAAGAGAAGGGAACTTATTGTCGACGAGCGGCCACCCCAATATGTTCCTGGGACTCTGCCACCATTAATTAAGTTTGATGAAACGAATACCAAAAATTTCAACGAAGATCAGCGAGCTGCTTTCGAGAAGGTTGTAAGAGCAGATGATTATGTTCTATTATTAGGCATGCCTGGCACAGGGAAAACAACCCTTATAGTGGATATCGTTAAGACTTTGGTAGCAAATGGAAAAACCATATTACTAACCTCATATACACATTCAGCTATCGACAACATTCTTATCAAATTGAAGAATGCAAATGTTAATATCATGAGGTTGGGACACAAGCATCGTGTGCATCCAGAGGCACAACAGTTTGTCACAGATCTCACAGGCGCTGAAACATTTCAGGATCTGGCTGAAATTACTGACAAAGCCCAAGTGGTTGCCACTACGTGTTTGAATATACACGATACACTACTATCAATTAGGCGTAAAGACTTTGATTATGTAATAGTCGATGAGGCCAGTCAGTTGTCATTGCCAATGTGCTTAGGGCCCTTAAAGTTCGCGCCTAGGTTTGTCCTCGTTGGTGACCACTATCAGCTCCCACCTTTGGTCAAAAACGATGCTGCGCGAGTAGGTGGTTTAGATGCTTCTTTATTCAAGATCTTATGCGATAAGCATCCAAACTCTGTTGTCGAACTAACTCACCAATACCGCATGTGTCAAGATATCATGACCCTTTCAAACTATTTGATTTATAATGGAAAGCTAAAGTGTGGAAACGATATGGTTAGAGACCAAACTTTAGATGTCCCACATCCACATGTTCTGGACAAATGGAAACGGTCTGGCACTTCTGAAAGCTGGCTACAAAACGTAGTTGACAGCACCAAAAAAGTTATGTTTTTGGATCATGATAGCAGCGATGTTTTTCAAGAGGTGGCAGAAAAGGACAACATTAAAAATTACGGCGAGGCTGAGATTGTCTGGCAATGTGTTACAGCCATGGTTGAAAGCGGAGTGCAGTACAAAGATATCGGGGTGATGACTTTGTACCGGGCCCAATTGCGGCTCTTGCGAAAATTGCTCAATTCTGAAGAGAATTCTGATCTGGAAATTTTGACTGCTGATCAATTTCAAGGCCGTGATAAGCAGTGTATTATAATATCAATGGTTCGCAGTAACGATCAACTCAATGGTGGCAGCTTGCTTCGAGAGTTACGTCGTGTTAACGTTGCGATGACCCGTGCTAAGTCCAAGCTAGTAATTATCGGATCAAGGAAAACTGTGAGCTCAGTAGAAAGTTTAAGAGGTCTCATGGTGCTGTTGGAGGCGCAAGGCTGGCTTTACTCATTGCCACGCGACTGTTTGGAGTGCTATGATCTACCTCGACCTCAAATGTCCCAAAAATTGCATCCTACAGAGCCAAAGAGAGCCCCGCGCAAAAATGGCAATATCACTGCTAACTCGAAGTTCGTTCAAGACAAGCCTGTTGTCCGCGATATTCTCAATGGTATGTGAAAAACAAAGATACACTCGTTAGACATAATCGCTGGCTTTTTATGTCCAAATCGGGGTGGGGCAGACCAGCTGACATAACAGGACGATCAACTTCTAAAACGTAAACTGTAACCAAGCTTAAGCATTCTATTATTTACACTATATAACATGTGCCATTGGAAGGGTTTTAACAGAAGTGGCTTGAATCTAGAGGGCTAAATAGAGCCTGTTCTGTGAAGGATGAGATAAATAGGGCCTGACTGTGGTTGATATGACATTTGAAATTGCTGCTTTTCTAGTTGGAGGTGTGACACCCTCACCCTGCATGGCCCACTGGTACTTGGGGCATGGCTGAACGTATATATCATGCCAAGGGCTCCGAAAGTTCAACAACAATTTCCTAAGTCGACCCTCGGCGGCTAAATGAGGACGGGCGCATGAATAAAAAAATGCAGTTTCTACCCAGTTTCCATATGGCCAATGAAGTAAACGAGTTCCTATACAATACTACAGGACTTGCACTGCTATTACACCGTCCAGGCGCTTCCTAGGTCCAAATCAAGAAACAATGGGGAGGGTTGGTACCTCATTTACAACACAAGTCTCGCTGTATACTGTTGCAGAGCCGGCACTTTTGATGAAACCTACTATCCGCCCTGTCATATGAGGATCCTGGCTAAGACGTCCGCCCAGCACCTGTTGCTGCTTACCAGTTTGAAATGATGATCATCCCCCAAAATCCAGAGCGACGTCTCAAAGTCACCTAGGCATATTCGAGAAGCTAGAGGATGCTTTTGAAGCTTCAGAATCCCAAAACGACATTAGATATGTCCCACGAACGTTGCTTGTCTGGTAAGCCCATGGTCTCAATGGGAGCCATCCCGATGTCACGGTGACATCACGTGGTCAAAATAGTCTTTTTCTTTCCTGTCGTCTAAAAAACAGGTTTCACGTGGGACGAGCCAACATCATAGAGCACCCACGTAGACCACGTCAAAGGCGTGGTCTACCCATTCGCTCCCACTTTTGTGACAACATCTGCATCCTTGTGGTTGAAAATCGCAAAACTACCCACACGCATTACCGTCGAAAGTATTCTTCCATTTTTTTTTTCCCTCTTCCGTTCCCGGTCGTTGTGGCCTGATTTTCCTATGTCTACGCAACACATTCCGCTCTGACATTTCGTTTCGGACTTATCATCCACATCTCATCACGCATGACAAATTCAAGAAGCACCACGCGGTACCTAACGGGTGTTTAATGGGTTTCGCGAGTAGCAGAATCTTTCTACCAGTATCCTCAAAAATGGCAGCCCTTGTTCCAACCAGCAGGATAAGATCTATGCAAAGATAAGCCCGACCAGCGACACTGCATCGGCGGAACTTACCTACCTCGTTAACAAGGAAGATATCCCATTGGAAAGCATAGGGTGGTGATAATTTGCTGTTAGCGAATCGGCTGCTAATCAAGTCTGAGCCAACCAAAAACGTTCACTATTTGTAAATTTTTTTTCTCAAATGCACCAAGGGCTGCCAATTCCGCTTCGTTTCCTCGTTGATAGCTTTGGTGCTTTCCAGCTTGCGAACGATCTACAGTCGCAGCTGTGTGGCTTGCCTCTGAGGAATCTCACCAGGCATCGCGTAATTTAATTCCGCACGCAACGGCATTGAAAGCGGGGCATGATCGTAAGAAGTATACACCACTAATACAAAGAGCGAAATCCGGAGGGTACCGGTTATACAATGTAAATCGCTTAGCAAGGCCTGACTAAATTGACGTTACACAGTCACATACACAAACGAATGGTGAAATAAATAAAAAAAAAGGAAAGGAGGGGAGAATCCAACTTTCCATCACTTTTGTTGCTTCTCGACCAGGCACGGGTTGCTGGATTTGAGTTATTTTTCCTGGTACTAGGTAGATTCTAGTATAGCGGCGGGGAAGGACGCACAATTTTGGCGGAATTGAAGTAGTGCGGTAGAATTGTAATCCGAGTGAAATTTAAGAGTTACAATAAAAGTAAGGGAATTAGGAGAACAGAAGACAAAGCGATTCATTGAGACACTCTGAAGGTATGATAGTAGCACAGCCTGGAGAGTTGGAACATTTGAGCGATCGTCTGGCCAAAACCTGTGTCGTGGAAGAACCCGCGGCGGAGGAAGGGCAGTCGTCAAGTACTCCGGATTCAACTACCTTGGGTTCCCAAAGCCCATCCCCGAACTCAGGCGGGCTACAGCTGGACCAGCTTGCAAATACAAATTTGCTAACTATCCGAGTTAAGTGGAGCAAACCTCAAGCCACAGATCCCCGGACTTCGGAGCTTGTAGGCAGGCTTTCCGAGGTGGCACATAGTAAGAGGGGCTTTGCACTCAATCCGTCTGTAATCGAAAACTACGAGTATCTCAGCGACAAGACACGGCTGGCAGTTTTGAAGGAGAACCAGGAGACATATGTTCATGAATTTGGGACGGAGGAAGTTGCAACTTCACAACCAACGTTGAAATCTGAAAACGCTGCACCGCTCTCGCCTCCGTCCTCACCCCCACATTCCAACTCTGCTTGGCTGTATGACTTTGTTTTCCAATCCCAGTTCAAACAATGGGCCGACTTGGTCACTGCCCGCGACGATTCCATTGCCGCACTCCGCCAAAACGAAACTGTGACAAGATGGTCAGTAAGTGAAAACGCACATGCTTTGACTCATCCCGGAAACCTGTACGTCAGAGGCATACCCAAAGACCTCACTATTGATGATTTGATGCCGATCTTCGGAAAGTTCGGACCTGTCTTGGCGCTGAAAATCATTTGCGACACAACTACCGGGCAATCTCTTGGATACGGGTTTTTGTCGTACCCACTGGGCTCGCAAGCTTCCAGGTGCATCAAAGAACTAAATGGCAATCTCATGAATGGCTCGCCGTTGTTTATAAACTACCATGTCGAGCGCAAAGAACGAGAACGCATCCATTGGGATCATGTAAAGGAGGACAACGATGATGAGCGTTTTAAGGGAATCTTCATCAGAAACTTGCCTACAGAGAATGAAGATAAAAAGATTGTAGCGCCCGAAGATGTGGTGGCGAAATTCGAATCTGAGCTCGCAGTCAACGACGAACCTGTGCAGATCCTGTCGTATTACTTGCCCAAACGCAATAGTAACAGTGAGGTTGAGTACGATGACAATGACGACAAGATTAACAATGTGGAAATTTGCGCCGCGCGCAACGAAGAGTGTCCTTTGAAAGGATACGGCTTTATCAAGTTTGGCTCGCATGCGCAAGCGCTCCGAGCAATCCAGAAGTTTCACGATATGGAGTGGCTTGGAGTCAAGCTTATTGTCAACAAAGCAGTGCAATCTAAGCCCCATGTGTACCACCATCATCAGCATCACCATCAGCATAACAATAATAGTCACCACACTCAAAATTATAAACATCAAAATGACCATAGAAATCGACGCAACAGCGAACGCTCCAATCCTGCAAGACAGGCAAGTATGTCAAACATATCTTTTTACGCTCCATTCAATGGCTCACCATCTGGCCTAGGGTTTTTGTCAAACACAATGCCTATTTACTCCCATGCTGCGGAGCTGGACCCTCATGATACAGCGGCTGGTTTTTCTCCAGTTCCTTCTCCTTCACCCCACCAGCCATATATCCCGCCAGCTGCAATGCCACATATGCTTTTTGGTGCAGCGCCTTCGCTGAGCACCACTCCAGAAAGCTCTACTGCTCCGTCATCTCGCAACGGGTCAATTTTTCAAAGGCAAAGCCAGAATAGTTTGATTCCTCACTCGCCCTTTATGCTACCTATTCCGACCAAGGATCAACAGGAATCAAACCTGTACGTTAAGCACCTGCCACTAACCTGGAGAGATGAAGACTTTTACCAATTCTACGAAAAGTTTGGTGAGATTATTAGCGCCAAGATCATCACTGTGGGCGGTAGTAAGAACGGAGAAAATACGGAGAAAAGATCACAACAAGTAGATGACTCAGCGCTGGGAACCTCCAGAGGTTACGGTTTTGTCTGCTTCAAAAATCCATTAGATGCTTCCCGGGCCATGATGATCACCGACCGTTACCAAGTCGATGAAGACCACACCTTATACGTGTCATTTGCCCAAAAGCGTGCCAAATCTGTCAGCAATGGTGATTCGGTCAAAGTTCCCGTGAATGAAGATAGGTCACACTCTGCGCGGAGGAGCTTTCATTATGGTCAACACCCTGGAACCGACGTGTTAGGCAACTATAATGCGAAGTTTTTAAGTGCAATGATGCAGCAACAAAATGGAATGGCTCGGGCTCGTGGGAGCTGGCCCGTAGCTTTGGGGCCTCAAATGCCTCCACATTAGGTAGAAAATTGTAACACGTTGAATCAATGGTATGGTGAACCATCATCCAAAATAGGCAGCTGTTTAATGGTATAGAACAAAAAGTTTAGAGAACTAGCTCTAATTATTACATATAGTACATATCCCTGTGTGTTTTTCCTTTCAAAATTATTACTAAACTTATAACCGTTCGTTCGTGATAAAACCATTTACAATATACCGTTACGATGCGTTTATTAGTGTAAGCGGTACCGTTATCAATAACAAAAATTCGAATATCCCAGTGCAAAAGCCATTATTCACCAATGAGGGCCACTATTCATTGGCCACTATTCATTTCTTAGGGTTCCCTGACTCCACGTTTTCTTGACTGCCAAAAGAAGTTGCAGAGCTTCTGGCGTTACTAACGTTACTGAAACGTGGATTGCTGAATATGGAATTCTTTTGGGACGATAGGCTGGGAAATCTCCAGCCTACTGAACCAAAAGGATGTGAAAGCGAGGAGCCGGTACTGCTGACGCTTGACTGATTGGAGAAGACCGGGTTTCTCAATTGGACCCACCGTGCGTCAGTAGAAATGAGTTCGCTGCGCAATGACTGCAACGTGGATACAACGTTTTCATGATCAGCGGGCGATTGAGGTGGGAATTGATGCAAGACGTCCAAAATCGTGAGAATGCTGCGTTGCATCAGCTGAAGATTGTTTTGGAAATGTTGAATGCTGAGTTGGGAAGGAGCTGTCGGGGGCACGGGCGCAGTACCCGGCAATGTAGAGAAATGCATTTGGGGCAAAGACTCCAGCGACACGTAAGAGCTGTTGCGGGACATTTCGTGAGGAGACGGGGGAGAGTTCTGGAGTTCGTCACTCACGGCTGTTGTCAACGGTTTAAGACTGGGTAGAGGGGACTGTTGCTGAGAATCGGGCATAGCTGAAACTACAGAGGCCGGCCTGGTGGATGTCGAAGCGACAGAGGCTCTCGCCGAGAGAGCCGAGGTGGCCGGGAGTTCAGAGGAATGGCGCACGTTCGCGCGGCTGATGACATTGGTGGACCCGCTGTCGATGTAGTTGATGCAGACCGGGGAAAGAACGTTTTTGCGTTTTCCGTTTTTACCGATCCCGCCACTCTTGCGCTGGATGCGACTGAGCTCCTCGAGCGGAGTGTCACGACAAAAAGAGCCCGAGGGATGGACAAAGTTCCACGTCACCGAGAAGCGGTCCTGCAGGCCCGCTTCGCTGCCGGTTGAGCCGCCGGACGTACCAGTGGCACCGTTACTGCTGTTGTTGGTCTGCGCCAGCTTGTGGAAGCCGTACATGTGGAGCTGGCGAACGAAGCTTGAAACGTTACCGTGCTTGAAGTACCGTCGCAGAACGTGGGAGACGAACCCCGGGTCATGGGGCCGCAGAGCGAACACGCCGGGCAGATCGGAGCCCTTGGCGTGAGCGGGCTCGTTGTTCCACCGGATCCAGCGCTCCAGCTCCGGACGCTGGAGGATGGCGTGCAGCTGGTGGATAAACGTCTTGGCCTGCATTGTACGCAACGAGAAGAGCGCCGTCAGACACCGGTTCCCGGCCAGCTGGGGGATGTTGCGCAGTGCTCGCCGCCGAACGGGAACAAAAACGCTCGTGCGTGCGTGCGAGCCTCTAACGAAAAGCGGGAAACGACGGCGGGCCGAGCGGGGCAGGATGCAAGCCGCTTGAATGTCCGCTAGGGGTCGGTTGCCTCGAAACAACTACGAAACGACCTTCGGTAGACGGTTTCTCTCTAACACGCCCGATGCGATGCGCCTTTTGACACTTGACAGATGTGTAAGAGATGCCCACTCTTGGCCGTGCAGCGCGCTGACTTGATTGTGTGTGCACTCGTACGAAAACACACCGAAAAACCCGGAAAAAAGAAAAAACCGGAAAATCACGCACCTCGTGACCTTGTCGCTGTGTACGGTCAAACGTCACGCGATTTGCACGTGATCGGGTGTCGAGGGTCTCGCTTTGTACGGGTAGCGCTGTACGGGCCGGGTTTGCGTTTCTGTTCACGTTATCCGTGTGGTATTGTTTTATATGTCCCTGGAGATCAACGGCGCCCAGTGGACGGGACGAAAAAATGGTGTGATTTTTGAAGTGTCAGCAACAAACGCTGCACAACGATAAGCACCACGCGTGGGTTGGCAGCAGCCTAGCGTATGGAACCACGTAAGGCAGGTGGCGGGAGTCGCAAACGGGCCCGGGTTGGAAACCTCGCAGCAAGCTAGCAACCGAGAGTGTAGCGGCCGACCCTCACGCTTGGCACAGGAACAGACGTTGGCACCGGCACGTGATGGGGGCCGTCGGCATGTGACCGGGGTCCTTGGCATGTGACCGGGGCCGTCGGCATGTGATTCCCTTTAGAGGGCGCAACGCCGAGGGCACCGCTCGGGCAACGCCGAGGCAGATGCAGATCTTTCGAGGTGAGGACAGACGATCGAAGGGCTGGCTGGAGGGGGATCGGTAGATCTGCGTGTCTGCTGGCGACGATGTAGGATGTCTGGCTGCGATGCAGGACGTCTGGCTACGATGCAGGACGTCTGGCTACGATGCAGGACGTCTGGCTACGATGCCGGACATCTCCTGCTGGTGCTCGGCGATCGCTAAGCGGACTTCCACTAGTAGCTGCGATGGGTTGGATGGACGGTGGGGAGTGCCGGGTGCTATTGCAAGGCGACCGTAGAGCACACCAGGCCCCGGAGCGCCAGACGGCGGAAAGGCTCGAATTGGTGTTCGCATTTTCCCTGGTGGAAAAAAGTTTGCATACCTGCTTGAGCGAGGCGCCAATTGGGTACCAGACGTGCTGAGCCTGCTCTTTGGTCTGCATTGGGGAGGGCATGGAGCCTTGGACAGTTCAGCTGGGCTTTGTTGTCCAGAAGACGCATTTCTCGTGGACCCTGTACGCTGACGCCGTATATCATTCTGTACAATAATGTCGCTGTGCACCTGTCGCTGTGCACCTGTCGCTGTACTTCATGGTCGACATAGGCGATCCCGGTCCTTGCTCTGACAAGCTGTACCCAGGACCGTGCGTACATGCAGAACCACACCAGCTAGGCCGTGTTTCGAATGACGCAAAAGAGCCCCAATAGCGCGCATCCCATTTTTGCCATGTCGACTATCTGAGGGAGCAAGCAAAATTCCAACGGGCTACAACGTGAAAATCGTCTTTGGTAGACCCGCTCAAGGTAGTTGACAAGCTCTATATCGAGGTTGCTAGTGCTGCTGCCTGGGCTCTTAGCGCTGCTGCCTCCCCTCTCCAATCTCCTCCCGTAACAAGACCAGCAAGTACAGCACAGTCATAACATGCTTTTGGCTTTTGTTTCAATTACTATTTCAAACATTACGTAGCTCTAATGCGAAGAATATGTCTCTCTCTTGACAGAAACGCCCTTGACAGCAGCCTCATCGACAAACCACGACACGGCAGATTGGTAATTCTCGGTCACTAGTCCCGCAGGCAGCGAGGTGTCATGGCCCTCAATGATACGCTCCAATATCGGTTGCTTGGAGGCACCCTCGGCAACAAAGGCCAGGGCCTGTGCAGACTCTAGCATGGGCAAAGTAAACGTGACGCGGTCGGAAGGAGGCTTGGGCGACGAATGGCACCAGGCTACTCTCTTCTGGGTTTCTTCTAGTAAATACTCGTGCGTCTCTCCAGGGAAGAGGGAGCATGTGTGACCGTCAGGACCGCAGCCCAAGAGGATCAGGTCAAAGTGGTCAGGCAAAAGAGTTTCGTACTCGGCGGCTATGCGGTCGTTTTCTGAGAGCCCTACCAGCGATTCATTGATCGCGTAGCAAGTAGGGCCCAAAGCACCGTCTTCCTCCAAAAGCGGATCCAACACTTGCTTCTTAAAGGCACCATAGTTGCTGTCCTCGTGCTCCAAAGCTACGATTCTCTCATCACAAAAGTAGACGTGCCAGTGCGACCACTCAACTTTGGATTTGAGCTCAGGGTCTTGGATTAATCCAGCATTCAGCGCTTTTAGCAAAGAGCCACCGCTGACCGCGATATTGAATCTTTTGCCATTTTGCAAGGCATTGTCTTGTTGGGCAATGATGTATTTGGCTAAATCGTGTGCCAACGTCTTAGAGCCATCGTAAGTGTATACAGATGCCATATTAGCAGGATGAACGGTGATTGATGTGCTGTTCAGAGTAGAAAGTGTTCACGTCCTGTAGTCCTTTTTAAGGTTATGACCGACAAATGGCAAACTGTGAAAGCAAAGTCATATGATACGACTGTGCGTTTTGAGCATCCTGGTGAATCTCAGTGTTGAACCATCAAGTTTTTATTGAGGCGAATCTGATTCATCAGTAGAAAGCTTACTAAATTTGTCTTGTAAGTCGGACATAGTCATTGTAAGATGAGTAACTTGGATCTAGGGAATTCTACTTATCTCTCCGTGATTATTTTAGGCATTAGAGTTGGTTCAGTTACCTGAACAAAAGCCTGGTATTTATACAATTCTCACTCGGTGACTCTGGTCAACATATTTATTAATCACCAATTCTAGATCATTCTATTACCCAAGGATTTACGGCTTCAATGCCGTACACTACCGATAACTTATCAATGGCCAATCCCATTGGACAATAGTTGTTCTCTTCGGTGTGTCTTAGCTTGTAGCTCTATTTGTATGGCCTCGGTTGTGTACTATCATTCCGTACCACTGTGTCACATATTTACTGACGCTGATTATGCGATTAGACGCACATCACCATCAGTTTATTCACATCATTCCCAACATAATCACCCGTTCTAGATTGTTCTGTTATCCATGGATTGCGGCCCAATGCCGTACGCTGTCGATAACTTATCAATCGCCAATTTCATTGGACTACAGTTGTTCTCTTCGGTTTGTCTTAGCTTGTAACTCTATTTGTATGGCCTCGGTTGTGTACTATCATTCTGTACCACTGTGTCACATATTTACTGACGCCGAGGCCCACATCACCATCGTTTCCTCACATTATTCCCAACAATTGTAAATAAGTCCAAGCCACTAGTGGATCTATTTCTGTCTTCTTTTAATGCGCACAAGCAATGCCACAATGATGTTCAAATTCTGTGCGTTGATAACGAGTAGTAGGACAAGTTCTTTCCTCCGTTTGCAAAATTAACCTCATGAGCAAACTTTCAGACATATACATGTCACCATAGCTTGTCCGTAAAAAGATTGGTCGCTTTATGAGCCTAGTCCGAGCGCTGTGCTTCCAATCTGCCTAACACGGTGTGTACTACATATAAAAGCCTCAACCTATGTACAGCGCGCTATCTCCCTCCGAGTGTGTTCATTCATGTCGAAAACACCTGCAGCACTCACAACTTTATTGAAATTCACGCATTGTGGCTGGAAGCAATCATTTCTCATGCTCGTACACCTCGCAGGAGAACCTGGACCAGCCGTTAATATTTCCTTGACTACAGGTGTCCCGTCTGCAGTCAGTCTGGGTTAGTTAACCGTTGTTACATTCCTTGCATACATAATGATAGCGCTTATTTATCCGTATTCCTAGAGATGGCATTATTCCGTTTGCCTATTGTGTCTATTCCTTCCATTACAAGTGAAGATCTTCAGTTAGCTTGGGATCGATTTTTGTTAAATCCTTCCCAAACATAATGGCATCCACGAGCTCTTCGTGCCCCCTCAAAAGGGCCACCTTAGGGATGTATCCGATTCTATCAAATTGTAGTTTATCCCAAATCCTCCAACTCGCAGGGTTTGTCACAAACACGAGGTTGAAAACAGAATATTTGTATCCTAATAAAGGAGCCCACTTTAGGTAGATTTGGCCCAAGCGCATGCCAATTTTCTGGCCCCTCTGGGCAGGGTTCACCAAAAACCCAGCATTGCAATTGTGGGAGCACCTCCCTGAATAGTTAGGCTTAATGTAGAACGTACCCAATAGTAGTTTCTCCCAGTTCGTCCAAGAGGGGTCAATCTGAAGTTTGTCTGTCTTTAGCACAATAGTGCAGAAAGAGAGAAACCACGAATTGAGAAATTCATCCCTTGTGAGAGGCTTGGCGTAAGGATACGTAAGACCTTCCTCGATCTCACGATTAAATTGCGCGTGCATGAAATCAATAAGAGAGTCTGGGACATCCTTAGCGGAATATATTGGGAAAGCCGTGGCAATTGCCCCAGAGCCTATCAAAGAGAATTGCAATGGCTTGATAACCTCCAAAGGTTCGAAAAAGGTGGGACCGTTTACCAGCGATTGTGACATTTTACAATAATAATTCGCTTAGCTACGAAAGCCAAAGATATCAAAGAGTAGTCATTGAAGGAAAGGCGATTGTTTTATGTGCGGCTAGTGAACACATTCAAGAACCTTATCGCATTTTTCCAAAGGAATTTATGGATCTACAAAAAAATTTGGCCTCGATAACAAGATATACATACTTCTTAAGCCTAAATGTGACACATCAACTGACATCTGACGGAAAATCTGATTCTTAAGCTACACCATAATAGATGTGCGTGAGTAATTCTAGTTCTTGAGCCAACCTGTTAATGTTGAAAAAAATCTTTAACCTGCTCTTACGAAAAATGACCTCCTCAAATGCCACTGAAATGTGTATAACTCATTGACTACAATAGATTTATCAGCAAAAAAGCCATACCGTATGGCAGTGGGATGTCGATGTCAGTTTTGAGTCGTTAGTAGAGCGTTGCGGTGGGTAAAATAAGCGCGCGCTGCCAGCATACGAAAATGTGAAGGCGTAGAGGTGTGAAAGTGTTTTAGTTCTTGTAGGAACTCTCATTTCTACGTAGTTCTTCAATCACACCTAAAAAGAATAGATCATAGCCTTTTGCTTCTGCACGAAACTAAGTGCTGCGACATTATTGTCTAGAGTGATTATATTCAAGTGAGCCAAGACGAGATTGAAGATGGACACAGATCCACCCGAATTCCAAGTACTGATACGTTTGTTGGATTCAAGTAACGTTACAAGTTAACGCCGTCATCTAGTAACCTCAAGCCCTTACGATTTTGATTGCGCCTGAGCTTGGACACTGCCCTCACTTTAGTTATCGTTTCCCGTTCCAATAAATCCGCAAATTGACCTAAACCCATTAGAGAATGGAGTCTTGGAGACTTAAAAATTCCAACACATTAACTACTAACCTTATTTATGTTTATCAAAAAACGATTTTACTGTCATGAAGAAGAGCGCAACTCGAGTGGCAGAGTAGTTGACTCACTCATGCTTAATGTCTTCCACTTGAGAATTTCTGGTTTGGTGATAGTCAGTAAACATACCTGTGCTGAACTCTGGCCTTGTCAGTAAGATCATCGCTTTTCATAATGGTCTGCGTAGTTTGGAATTCCATACTTTCCTTCTTCTTATTTTCATATATGGCTTTGAACCTGTAAAAAACGAGTAGCAGCATGGTTATGATCCACATGATTATTGTCACTATAAGACCACCGCGATAGGTGCCCAGCCACCATTGTGGGTATATTATGGCTGCTAGACAATAACCCACAAAAAAAGCATTTGAGCACAGCGACTTTTTGGTATTTCCTCTGACGTTGCTAGAAATCAAACTCAATAATATAGTCATGATGCAGGTTATGACGGAGGATAACCATGAACCAGCAACAACCCACCATCCACTACTTTGTTTAAGTGCTAAAACCATGATTGTACCCGTAAGTGGAACGCATACCAAAAACATTGAAATAAGTGCACGTTCCTTGGGAATAAGCTTGACAGCTAAAACGCCTATCCATACAAAAAGAAGTTGAATGGCGCCTGCTGGTGAGCCATATTTCATTGATTGATATTTGTCATAGCCAAAACTAGCTAAGAGCAGGGACTGGAAGATAATAGGACCACTGGTCACCGTCACGAGAAATCCAAAGGCAAAAGAGCTGTAAAATAACCAGTCGAAATTTAAACATTCTTTTAGCTGTTCAAACTCGAATTTATTAATTGCACTTCTGTCATTCTCCTCATAGATTCTTTTCAATGCGATCTCTCGCTCTCTTTCTGTTAAAAACCATGCAACCTTTGGAGATATGGGTAAGAAAAAGTAAAACAAAAGACCAGCTACCAACGAGATAGCGCCACATATCAAAAACATAATTCTCCAATCCTCAACCTTCCCAGTGTTCGTCCTCCCGATACCATACATGATGAAACATCCAATAATTTGCGCCAGCGCGTTCATGGAAATATAAACAGCTGTTCTCAAGGGCTGCTCTCTCTTCCTATACCAATACGTGGTTATCAAAATGCAGGCAGGCTGAACGGCAGCTTCAAATATCCCTAGAAATAGTCTTCCGACCCAAAAACCTTCTTTGGTGCTCGGGGCTGCCAAGCACATACAGCACAGTGACCATATCACGACGCAGACACCTGTCAACGGTGCCCTTGGAATAATTGTCATCAAATATGCGAAAACAAAGTTGGCTCCCAATTGCCCTATATAAAAAATGGTTGAACACCAAGAGTAATCGTTCCCAGCCATTTTCAGATCCTCTTTGAGACCAAAAACCGCAGTGTATGTCAAAGATTGCTTGTCGAGATACTGAGCAAAAAAAATGAAGCACATTAGAGGTAAAACATGCCGATCGATCTTTCGAAGTACTGCTTTTTCTTCTTCGACGGTAAACTCAACCTGATCAACGCAGTCTTCATCTAAAGTTTTCTCGTGGATCACACCGACGGCTATCGATCCAGTTTCTGCCACATCTACAATTGCTTCCTTGTCGTCCTTTGTCATTTGGTCGGACATTAGTCTTGAAGATTAATGTGAGTGATCGGGAGGTTCAGAAGCCAAACAGAGTTCCTCACCTATCATCAATTCCACGAACCTAATATATAAGTCTGCGATCATGGGAAACTTCGGCCCTGTAAACTGATAGATCTTGGCTGATCGGATGATTTCCTTTTGCCAGCTGAGATAAATTCTGATACTGTCAAATGGACCTGCTATCGATTACAATTCATTCAGAGGCCGATTTCTGCTATCCATATGATTCTCTGCCTATACCATCTCGGTTAAAGCGACCATTTTTGGTAAACTTCGGGGGTGTATGATAACAGTAGTGGGCGGGAGTGGGCTACTGTTGATGACGAGCCGAGGCTGGCTCGGGTGCTCTCCCGACTACCGGCGCTTTCCATCTTCTTCACACATTTATTTTGATAAGGGAATTCATTCGAACCAACCTATTCACAGTCATATGAAGAGCCTTCGGACTTTTCTAGTCGTTTCTCGCTTTTGTTCGCTTCACACGGATAGTTACGCTTCATTTACAAGGTGGACGTTATTCGTATCGTGATTAGCTGGTTACTGAATCAGGAAGGTGGATCTTCGATAAGATAGGTAGCTGAGATCTTATCCATCACATACTCGAACAACGAACATCTCCTCTCCAAGTAATCTTTCAATTACCGCTTGTCGGTACTATGGCCCAGCTTCAACCTTAACTAGTCTCGCGTTATAAGAGCTCATCGAATACCAGTGCCAGTATTTTCAACACCAAATCCGCCGGCAATGAGAATCAGTCTCAAGATGGTAGAAGACGCTTCTCACCTGGAAATCGATGTTAATGAGAGGAACTCGAAAAGCTTAGAGGAGTTGGTCACTCCGTGGGGTGTGCCAAAAGCAGAAAAGTACTGCTTCTATAACACGAACGTCGTTGACGTGCTAAAAGGCTGCGTTGTGCCGAGTGCAAGCGTCTATACGGAAGGCGGAACAATCTGCAAGATTACATGCTCTGCTGATGAAAACAAGCCGGCCGATGGGTACAAGGTAATTGACGGCAGCGGTAAATATTTGATGCCGGGGCTCTTTGACAACCATGTTCATGTAACCTCGGTTCCCGGGGAGAAAGACCTAGCAAGCACTCTTGACACTGCAAAAACCACGGCCCTGGTGAGGGTCCGGTACAATTTGGAAGGTTCTCTGAAACGAGGATTCACCACCCTCAGAGACTGTGGTGGTGCGGAAAGTTACATAAAGAGGGCCATCGAAGAAGGAAGTATCAAGGGACCACGGCTTATCACCTGTGGGCATGCGATTTCGCAAACCGGCGGCCACGGTGACATGCGCAGAAATGACATACCGGGCGATGCTCTCAACGACTGTGCGTGTCATATTAACAACTTGGGCGTCGTTGCCGATGGTGTTCCAGAATGCTACAAAGCCGCTCGCGAAGAGTTTAGACGAGGTGGGGATTTCATCAAGATTATGGCAGGCGGAGGCGTGGCGTCTCCCACGGACAAGATCTCCAACGTGCAGTTCTGCAAGGATGAGATAAAAGCCATCGTCAACGTTGCCGACACGTACCACAGCTATGTCACTGCCCATGCGTACACCCCGGAGGCGATCAAAAACTGCATTACTTTGGGGGTGAGGGGGATCGAACATGGGAATCTTATAGACGATGAGACTGCCGCGCTCATGGCAGAAAAAGGCTGCTACTTGACGCCTACGCTGGTCACCTATAAAATCCTCGCGTCAGAACAGTTCCGGACTTTCCTAAAGGAGGAGAACGCCCACAAGAACCTGAGTGTGCTGAGAAGCGGGCTACGCGCGCTCCAGATCGCCAAGAGGCACGGCGTGAAAATCTGCTACGGCTCAGACCTGCTGGGGTCTCTGAACGGATACCAAACACAAGAGTTTTTCATCAGAAACAAAGTGTTGTCGGCACACGAGATCATCCTATCTGCCACTGTGACGCCCGCGGAGCTGAACGGGCTGGGCGACACACTGGGCCAGGTGAAGGTCGGATACACAGCGGACCTGCTTCTGATGAACGGCAACCCGCTGGAGGACATCTACGTCCTCGATGAGCCCGAGACCAACCTGGTGTCGGTGATGAAGGACGGGTGTGTGTGCGTGGCACGTGACTGTGGTGGTATCTGCACGTGATGCAGTAGCACGTGACTGTGGTGAGTCAAAAGCCGGTGTTGCTTACTACCGGGTCATGGCCACTGCACGTGACTGGTATCACGCCGCATCACGTGCCCGACTACTGCTTACTCGAGTTGCTCAAGCCTCCTGCACGTGCGTCGCGCATCACGTGCCCGCCGCCCGCGGCGCACTCCGCTCCGCGGCCGGCTCCGCTTTCTGGCCGCACCGCTTGCTATTCTCTTCCGCCCTCGTTCCGTGTGTCTCGACTACGTATCCAACCACAGCCAAAACTTCTCTCACCAAATTTTTTTTCCTCCTTCGCTCGCCCTTCACACGGCGCCGGCCGCCTTAGTCATTGTAGAAGGGGCCCGCCAGGGGAGTGTGACCGAGAGGGGCGGAAAGAGGGGCCCCAGCTACCGCGAAACAAGCCAGAGTGACGAGCGTAGATGAGGCAGGCAGCGCTGTGCGTGTTGTGCGTGTTGTGCGTTGAGGGCTGTCGTAATAAGAGGAGGCAAAAACGGCGGTGTGGGCAACCCACACAGGCTGGGATTATATATAGGAAATAGGCTGTGTAGCGGAAAGGTGTGGTGAGCTACACTCGTTCTGGTGGTAGTACAACAACAAGCTGGGCTGTGTGAAGGACTTCATATCAGCACACAAGTAAGGTTAGCATTGACAAGGTTAGTGGGCACAGCTCTGGTGGCGTCCTTTTCTCTTTGGCTTTCGCACGGTACAGACATCTCGAGCGGCGTTAGACAGCAATGGCTTCAGCAGCAGGCGGGGCATTCAGACGGTTTCTGAACAGCGAGACCGGGCCCAAGACGGTGCATTTCTGGGTATGTGATGTGTGGTAGCTGGCGGAAAGGCAGCAGAAGCGAGGAGGACAGAAGAAGAAGCACGTGACAGGCACGTGCCTGTCACGTGTGTGTGTGCTCTGCTCGCTTCTGCCGCCGGGTCACGTGGCTCGCGTGTTTCTCGTACTAACATTCTCTTTCTCAACAGGCTCCCACCTTCAAATGGGCTCTCGTGTTTGCCGGGATCAGCGACATCAGCCGGCCCGTGGACAAGCTTTCGGGCACGCAGAACCTGTCGCTGCTCGCGACGGGTGTGATCTGGACCCGGTGGTCTTTTGTGATCAGGCCCAAGAACATGTTGTTGGCGTCGGTCAACTTCTTCCTGGGGGGTACTGCCGGCTACCAGCTGACCCGTATCATCAACTACAGGAAAGAACAGGGCGACACGCCGGGCCAGATCATGAGCTACGTGTTGAACGGTCCCAAAGCACCCGAGGATAAGGTCCGCACACTACAGGGCTCCGACGCCGTTGGCAGCGGCAACTCGATAGGCCAGAGCTCCACCGCGTGAGGGTGGCTGCGGTGTCGGTGTGATTTTGAACTATATTCGCCCTATTATTATTACTACTACTATTATTCTTATAATCATTATTGCATATTGTATACTATCATAGTCAATTTGAGATCTGAAGGTGCAGAAAAAAAAAGGTCGTGGCGGCTCGATACGTGGCTCGATACGTGGCCCGGTTCGCCTGCCGGTACGCCGCGCGCCGTCCGTGCACGTCCTCCGCTTCTGCTTCAAGAATATATATTAAACCTCTCGGACTATAAATATCGCCTATGGACATCCATCCGGTGTCACGCATGCACTCTACTGTTGCGTCAATTGCACAACCTTTTCGGCAGCGGGATCCAATTCGTCAAAGGAGTAGATCTTCAAGCCGGATTCCTCAATGATACGACGACCTTCCTCCAAGTTGGTACCTTGCAAACGAGCCACAATTGGAACTCTGACGGCCAAGTTCTTGGTCGCAGCAACCAACCCTTGAGCCACGAAATCACATCTCACAATACCACCGAAAATGTTGACAAAGATGGCATCCACGTTCTCGTTCGACAAGATCAATTTGAACGCAGTCTCGATGGTCTCTGGGGTGGCACCACCACCACAGTCCAAGAAGTTGGCAGGATCACCACCGTACAGCTTGATCACGTCCATGGTGGCCATGGCCAAACCGGCACCATTGACCAAACAGCCAATGTTACCTTGCAACTTGACAAAGTTCAAGTCTGACTTCTTGGCCACCACCTCATCTGGGTCTTCTTGCGACAAGTCTCTCCACGAGTAAATTTCCTCTTGTCTGAAGGAAGCGTTGTCATCGAAACCAAACTTGGCGTCCATGCACATAACTTTGGTGTTCTGGCCAATAACTTCGCTCAAGGGGTTGATTTCGATCTGCGACGCATCCTTCTCTTGGAAGATCTTGAAAAGCTTTGTCACAGCATCCGCAGCATCGGCTTCTGCCTCGGCAGAGAAACCCAAACTCTTAGAGATTTGCTTGGCAACATCTGGGGTCAAACCCTCCGAAGCAGTGACAGTGAACTTCTTGATGGCGTCGGGAGTCTTTTCAGCAACTTCTTCGATGTTCATACCACCTTCGCTCGAGCAAATGATCATGGCCTTCTTGGAACCTCTGTCCAGCAAGATAGACAAGTAAGCTTCGTGTTTGGCGTCCACACGCTCAACGACGTAGACGGCGCTGACTGGCTTGCCCTTGGCACCCGACTGCTTGGTGATCAAACGGTTCTTGAGCATTTGCTGTGCGACGTCTTGGGCCTGTTCTGGAGACTCGACCATGTGGATACCACTCTTCAAACCAGTGTCAAAGTGACCCTTACCACGACCACCCGTGAGGGCTTGAGCCTTTACCACCAAGTTTTTGTTTCCGAGATTCTTGGCGACATCGGAGGCCTCCTTTGGCTCGAAGGCAGCATCACCGGCTGGGGTGCCAATGCCGTACTTTCTAAGTAGTTCTGCAGATCTGAATTCATGGATCGACAAACATCTCTTTTGACCGGCCAATTGTAGACCTTTCTTAAAGGCTAAAGTTCTAGAAAGCATGACTATAAGTATGAAACGAGAATAATCAATTCAATTGGCAACCTAATCGTAAAACTTTCAGGCCGAGAAATCCAAGTTTATTCTTGTGGTTCTGATCATTTGAATAAAAAGGTTTCCACCGAATTATCACTTTTTTTCCGGTACCATAGGAATATATTGTTCTCGATTATTATAGGCTGGATCTAAAAGCCGGGTAAGCCATCAGGAGAAGCAAGCGGAGTTCCTTCTAATGAGCTAACAGACCCAAGAGATTACCGGCAAACCTCCGTATAGCACAGCTGCCAGGCTCAAATCTATTCGAAGATCATGTTTAGCAGCTTAATCTAAGTGAGCTGTGTCTGAATATCAGAATAAGTCGCATCTTCCTCGTTATGTACGAGTATGACATTTTATACTCCCCATCCTTCCCTTCTACGTTCTCCCTCAAATGAGTGTACATACTGAAGCCTTTTTGAGACTTCTTGTTTATTGAACCAGCTTTCTAATTTGAGGTCCCTTGTTTATGCTAGTATTCTCTTCATCTCACTGTGTGTCTGTTTTCCTGGAGAACGTAACAGAGAAGAGCAACAACAGCATGGAAGAAGCCAGGTTAATAACTAATCCGTGTTTAACCATTCGATAGAAAAGTTTGAAATATGGTTGAGGTATTGTTTAGCAAATTAAGCTTCGTCCACGGTCAGGACACATTAGTACAAAGTGACTCAGAGCGCTATCACTATACCCAGCAAATGCCTTCCTTTCCAAATCAGTTCATTGACTTTTAAATATCAAGATATCTTTATTGCGGTGAAATTAGCTGGTTCATCCACCCCTCTTTTTATAGGCCAGTTACGGTTTGATGTGAAACCGAAGAACTCTGCGTTTCTTAGCCGTTGTTGTTTCTAATTTACAAAGCCTGTGATATAGCTATATATATACGTGCTACGCTGTCTATCAGTTTAAATCCCAAAATAGGCGCCTTCCCAAGTAAAGTCACGTCACTTAAACCACAATTTCTTAATGGCCCTTTTTCTTCTGTTTTGTAATGTGCTGACGCAAGACCTTTTGACGATCACGCAGAGACATCTTCTGTTTGCCCTTAACTGATCTCTTGTGAATCATCATAACATAATTTTTCTTCCGCTCTTTCTCACGATTGGTCGTGGATCTCTGCTGATCTCTGTTCTTTTTGCGACTTCCGAATTTTTCTCTGCCTTCTCTCCCTTCCATGATACTAGCTAGTCTCTCTTCCTTGGTGCTCTTGCGGTGTTTCAAGGGTCCGACTAGGCGATCTGAGTCAACAGTCTCTTCGTTTCTCACACCCATGAGACGAGCTACACCTTGTTCAGTTCTCAATTCCTCCAACTTGGCGAAATCTGCGGGCGTCAATACACGCGACGTCGCTAACTCCTTAAACGCCGATTCGGGATCCAGTGCTTTTTCTTTCTGGGCACCGTCTTCCGACTCGTCCTTCTCCTTGTCCTCACCATCGCTCTCACCCATATCAACGTCATACTCTTTGTCGCTCTCCACAGTTACCCATTCACCTTCGTCTTCCTCGTCTTCATCCTCAACGTGGTCCTCGTCAATTTCCCAATTGTCGTCATTGTCTTCGTCCTCAGCTTCGGCATTTTCATTATCTTTTTGCCATTTCGCTAATAACTCAATCCCGGCAATTCCTTGCACGTTGTTTTCCACGCCGAACTTAGGTCTTTTCGACTCTCCACCTTCGCGATTAGATTCTTGGATATCCATAGAGGCAACTTTACCACGATCTTTGCGCTTCAACATTTCAGGAGCAGCCTCACGATATAAAGCAATCAGGGACTTGGCAGCCATACTGACACCCTTTGCTTTAGACCCTTTATACTCGGTCAAATCTTGAAGCAAGGTTTCGTCTATGGCCAATGGAGCACGCGAGCAAATCTCTCTAATCGTATTTAACCCTGCTGCTGCAACTTCAGATGCCACACCGTCACTCACGAACTCGTCGGCAATTTTGCGCACCAACACCATAATGGTTTCAGGAGGAATCAAATCGTGGGATGCTTGGGCCGCTGCTGCCAAAATCTTGGTGACATCTCTTTGCTTAGGTGTGAGGTATTTCAAGAAAAATGAATAAAATCCCAAAACCATAAGTTTATGGGTACCTATTAACCTAGACAGCAATTGCATCAAAGCAATTTTTTGGTCTAAATCAAACCTGTTGTTACTCTTGCTGGATAGCTGCTTAGTGAATAATTTGTCAGCAAATCCTTGAGGATCACGTAGAAGGTGAATTGCACTGAAATTGAGATAGCCTTGAGGTGTTTTGGGACCCGCTTTCTTCTTTTTGACAGCTTTCAAAGCCGAATCAAGTTTTTTACCACGTTTGCTACTCTTCTTGTTAATTTGCATCTTGTGTCTCAAAGCATCCATGTCGATATCTTCGTCGTCGGAATTTTCTTCAAAGTTCTCCTCACGTTCTTTATCGGCCCCTAGGAAAAACAATACTCCCGAGTACGCAATTTTCACATCGTCATGCAACGCAGCCTGTGTCATAATCTCAACGGCCCTCGAGTCGTCCCAGATACCTCTTCTCCATAATTCACGAGTAAGCCTCGCAGCCCACACACCTTGTGAATCTGGTTGATCCAAGAGATTGAAGCAGATGGCTTGTGTGGACCTATTGAGTTTCTGATTCTTGGCACCTGTATTGCAACTTTTGAGAAGCGAAATCAAAGTATTGTATACTAGCTTCCTGACCTCTTTGGCATGCGAATTTGTACCCAGGGCGTTGCTATGGGAAGAATAAGCAACCAGCAAAGGGAACATGGTTTGAATCAAAGTCTCCGCGGAAATGACACCTTTGTTTCTCAACATGGTGAGACTGGAAATAATTTTCTCGCGAACTTCAAATGGCAAGGAACGATGATATTCTAGTACGAGTTGCTTCAATTCATTTGGAAAGTTTGCGGTTTCCTCTGGAAAACATGAGCATACCTGGCTCACAAACCCTACCAGCTCTACAAACTGGGTGGTGTTGGAGTCATCCGCACTTTGATTCTCCATCGCGCTGAGCATGAAGATATCTCTGAGGGATTCATAATGCGAATATTGTTGTAAAAATTCTTCGCGGTATGACTGAGGATCCCTTTTAACTAAATTTTGTAAAAGAATAACATTGGTCGGTAAGATAGCCGCTCTGGATTTTCTTACCATAGTGTATTTGGTACTTGGTCCAAGTTTATCCTTCCCCAGACAATCTTGATGGGATAAGATGAGATGCGATGAGCTTGGAAAATTTTGAACATCACTAGAAAAAGTGAAATTTTCGTGTGTGGCGATGTGATGATTTGTTGGCGACGCTCAATTCAAGAGGATGGGAAGTAAGAGCATGGCATCATGAGCTACCAAAGAGACCATCAATAGCATTATAGTTGATCTTTTTCGAGAAGCTCGATTTCTGTATCATGTTTTTAACGTTATCTGCCGTAGTGATGTCTCCGCCGTCTTCGGCGAGTTTCAACGCGGCCTGCAATCCAGAGTCGTCCTTTAGATCGGCAAGAACGCCCTCTGCATCTGACGCAGGCTTCCGCCTGCGACGTGGCCCGCCACGTTTCTTGGCAGATGCATTTCCTGAAGCAAGGTCGGCCTCTTGCTTGAGCCGGTTCGACTCCTGTTCTAGGAGAAAATCACCGTTGATACCAATCCAGATACGTTCCTTGAGTTTGGAGGCTTCTTCATCTAACAGTTGGGAGTCCAGCTCCTCGTCATCTACATCCAGTAAATCTTCAGGATCATCCGCAATCTTGGCCAAAAGCGAGGACGTGGTGGGCAAAAGGTGTAAATTACGAGGACGATGAGGATCGGTGTCAATCGAATAGCCGTCAATGGCATCCTGAAATCGTGAATAGTCCTCGGGATGAGATTGAGCGCCCTGAGAATTTACTCGCGTCTCGTCGTTGTTTAGGGATCTCTCAGAATCCACCGCCGGCGGTATTGAAGTTGTGTTTGCATTTTCGTCTTCTCTGGCCTCCACAGAGCCCCCCACCGTCTGGGGATCCGTCTCCGCGTTTTGAGGATTCTTCTCTCTTCGCTGCGAAAATTGTTTCAAATAGTATAGCACCTCCCTTGACGACAGTTCCTGAGCTCCCAAAACTTGAGATAGTATCGGATTTCTATTAAGGGCCTCCTCACTAGTTTCGAATTCATTTTCTAAGGTCTTTAGGCGCATTTTTTTTTCTTTGATACGATTTCGCTGAAAAGAAGGTGGCTGTGACTCTGTATCGTTCTTTGAGTCATCGTTATCCCGGAATTCATTGATGGAAAGCTTACCAGATTTAGTGTTTTTAAATTCGTTTAAACGCTGTTGTAATGTTTCCTCAGCCACATGTGAGACAGCAACCACTTCAGAATGGGTTCTGCGCAAGTTATTCATACGACAGGCCAGGAGTAGGCAAGCACCGGCAATACCGGCAGGACGTCGACCTTCGTACATCCAGTCCTTTGCCATTCTTTGCGCCAACTTAACTGCATCTCTTACTACCTTAATCTTCTTGTCCCCGAGGTCCAACTTTTCCGCAAAATGTTGGATAAACAGTGATGGATCTGTTAATGGTAGATTGCTTATGTGCAAGACTTTCACCATCTTCAGAAACGTGGCCCCTATAGAGTAAACGGAGACTTGTAACCGTGACGAGAAATCAATCAACATATGATGGGTTTTTTCCTTTCTGCAAGCGATGTAGAGACACGCGGCTATTACGTTCTGAGACCGCCGACCCTGAACAAAGTTATTCGCCAGTGCTAGCGTATACCACTGCGTTGCTGCCTCACTCACGTACTCTGGAATGTTCAGCGCGTGCGACACAGCTCGAAACTTTCTGCGCGCGTTGTTAATCGTTGCTTCGCGTGATTCTAGAGCAGAAGACCCTCCGCGGGGCCCAAATGCAGCATGAGATTGTCCGGCACCAACGTAGCTCCCATGGACCACAGCTGCACCCGAGCTTGATTCCCCAAAGGTCACCTCGGATACGATGGGATTGTCTTCGGCAACTGTACCACAGTCCTGGCAAACAGTGTCATTATTGGCATTAGCAATATCTTTGATGAAGTTTACGCCACCGCAGACTTTACACTTGGGCATTTTACTTGTCTTGAAAGCGAAGTGGAAGTGGGCCCGATGAAACCGATGATTTAGCTGTATCAAGAGTGATGGGCATTGTTTTCAATTATGAACGGACTGTATGTAATTTCGTGGATCGTGATCACGGATCACATGTATCGAACAGGTTAGTATTGACGATGAACTTTATCTACGAAGCTTGACAAGGACCTCCAAAGGACTCAAAGAGTGCTTTTGAGCTATTGGCAATCACCGACATTGCTTTGAGTTTGGACCGTGCAGTGGAGAAACCAGCGTTTGTCAATTTTTTTTGTATCCATCAGCTAAAGAAAGTTGAGTCATAGTTGAAAGATGGGAATAGCATTGTGGTTTGAACCACATGCCAATTCGACAGAGCACCAAACGCTACAGTCGCTGATATATTCGTTACAGACGCTTTTTCCAGATGCCCCTGCTTTTGAACCACATCTGACCATCACCTCTCAATTAAAGTGCCACTCTGTCAGCGATGTCCAACAAATACTGACATCTTGCGTCGCAGCTGTTGGTGCAATTAGGGCTAAAGTGAAGGAAGACAAGGAGTCCCTGGTATCTTTTGTGGGAGCAGGCATTGGTAAAGGGTATTTCACGAAAGTTCGGCTGCTTTGCTACGAGAACAAGTATTTGATGGGCATTGCGCAGGTGATTCGGGAACTGTTCGTTGCAGAGAGTCCGGAGCTGGCATCCCAATGGCTCCTAGAAGAGTTCAGACCTCACGTTTCGTTGATATACTCCGAGATGTACCATGTAAACCAAGCGTTAGAACGAGTTATTACTCAAAGAATCGAGGACGCCCTGGATCTTTTGCTCCATCCAAACGCTGTCGCTGGAGAACAGAATCAGAAATCGTGGTCTTTCGGTAGCAGTGTATCCGGATGGGGAGTTCCGGGCGTCTTCAAGGTTGTCAGGTGCGAGGGTCCCGTTCAAGAGTGGGAAGTTTTAGGTAGCGTCGAAGTTTAGCACTGGGTCGCGGGTGCAACAGTGTTGGAGCTTTCATGAGTTTTGTTTTCTTTCTAAAACTGTATGGTGGGCTAGTGTCCAGATAAAATGGGCGTGCTCGCCTGCGGGCCGACCGCTGCATGACCCATTCCAGTTGATCACTTTACGGTTTCCAGGAAGTGATTTTGAGCATTGAGATTGTCCCTCCCCTGCATTTTATAAATTGACCCAGAGTATGGTTCTTGTGCTGCCGCCAGTTAGTACCCCGGCCGTACGAAGAAGAGTCAATCGAGCACCCATTCACGTGCGACGCGTCACTGAAATGAATACATGGTTGAAAAGCTCAAGAACACTGACACCTTTGCAGCTGGGATGAACAGCGGGTTTGTACAAAAAATAATTACTGGTGTCTGAATGGCTAACGCTTGACTTAATTAGTAGGATATGGTAGCCAGAGCAACTATCTTGTGATTGTGTGTGTGGATGGATTTTGAGCAAAACCCACGAGGCACTCGAGCCTTGAGGAGAAATGTACAGCTATGTTCGGCATCTTGGTAGGATGTGGGAATTGACGCTGGTTCGGTAGGCGGGGAACGCAATGGCAAGCTTCCTCAACACGCAACCGCGAATGGTGCGCCGGCTCATGCGAAAGGGGAGGCTTGCGGAAAATGGGTAGGAGAGCTTTATATAACTAAAGTTTGAGAGCCTTACATATGTGGGCTAACTAAGGCTTGTAAGACTGGCAGGCCGCAAAGGCCCGAATCACCAACATAAGTCACGACGATGATCTGGCCCCATATGCTTGCCTCCATGGCGTCAGAAAAACGTGACGCGTCGCGCTACACTGTGAATGTCGAGACCCAAGAGAAAATCTATAAATGGGCGAGCGCCGGGGTCTGGTGGGAAGCCAAGGCCAAGGCGAGGGCTCGAGTCGAGTGCCAAAAACGCATCCAATCGCCAGGAGCACGATCACACCCGGAACAAGGTAACACCGGGAACCTGCTTCGTCAGCATCACGTGTGCACTCCCGCGCCGCCACGTGACATGCACGGGGTCCACGCTCCGCGCTGCCCTGGATCGCCATCCCTGGCCGCCAGGCCGTTGATACCGTTGCGATTTGCCCAACGATGGTGGCCAGTGTGGCAAACGCCAGTTGCTACCCGCCAACTACCCAACGAACACCTGCCAATGAACGCATGTGTCCCTGACCCTGTGGGTTCTGACGCTCCGCTCGTCCCCCAGACCGTGCCCCTGCAGCCCAGAGACCCGCGCAGAGGCTCCCCACACGTGAATCACCGCTCTATAGCGCGCGCGCAAATCACATGCCCCGCACAAAAGGGGCAAGGGAAGCAAGAACGTGTCTCGAGCACGAGCAAGCACGAGCTTGGGCTGTGTGCACTTCTGACCACGAGCGAGCACGAGCAGCACGAGCAGCACAAGCAAGCACAAGCAAGCACGGCTCTCGTGGAGCACAAGAATGGCAAGCATAAACACTGTACTGTGCTGGCCTCCTCCGACCAAACCGCTCCCACTATCGCCTCTCGCGCTTTTCCCCGTGCCCAACATCCAACAATTCCTAAACGGGGAAATCCGGGGCAACACCTAGAGCTTTGCGGTCGGTGCGGGCCACGGATCCGTTTCACCGCATACTCGGCTCGGGCCTGCCCGGGCAACAGCTCCTTCCGGACATATATCTCCGCACGGAGTAGCTTTTTCCTGCATGAGGCGCACATGTGATTGCGCGTGTCCGCAACGGCCCACGGCGCCGCCTCCGGGCCGTGGCAGCAAAAACTCAGCTCGGCGGGATTAAAATAAAAGGTGGGGAGACCCCCTCCACATGCCGTGCATGAGGCTCGCAGAGATCGCCGCAGCAGACGTGCATGCTCGGATGTATTATAGTGCTTCGCGGGTCACCAAACGCCAGCGTCGTGGAAGGTGGACCGACCACGACTCTATGGCATTTCATATATAAAAGGGAGCGGGGGCGGGAACGCCAACGCCGACGTTGGGGTAAAAAGGTGGAGAAGGGTGGAAGTACAAGTCCGCCGGGCCGAGATTACAGGACCAAGACCAAGACCCCAAGACCGACCAAGACTAAGACCGACCAAGACCGTCGGATTTTAGCAGTCACACACCAAGAATACAAGGCATACAGGAGGTACCGTGATGCCTGTGAAGTACGAACACGACGGGTGGTGCTTCGAACCCACGTGGGACCCGCTGGGCGGAGTGGACGCTGAGCTACCGTCGGAGCTGGGCTCTGGCGCGTGGGACCAGGGCCAGTACTGGCCCTTGCAACGGCCGCTCCAGCAGCCGCTCCAGCAGCCGCTCCAGCAACAGCTCCAGCAACAGCTCCAGCCAGACTTGGTGGTACGAGACACGTTGAGCCACGCCTGGGCTGGCAGCAGCAGCAGCAGCGGCGGCGGCGGCTGCGGCGGCGCCGTGGATGCAATGGGGATGTCTGGGTTCACGCACGTGACCCCGCACCAGCGCGGCGCGGCGTCGTCCGAGGGCACAGACTTCTCGAGCTTTTTCGACCTCGGCAGCGCGCTCGCCGCGGACGCGGCCACGTGCGGCGCGGCGTCGTCGGGCCTGTCGTCCGCGACGGCGTCGTCGTTCATGACCTCGCCGGAGCCGGACGCGGAGCTCGACGCGTGGCACTCGGCGTCGTCCGTGGAGACGTCGCCCTGGACGGGCCACCACTTCCAGTGGTCCGCCAAGCCCGAGCAGCTCCCTCCGCGGCCCCACGTGACCCCGCTCTTCGCGCCTGCATCCGCACACCATACCACCTCGCACCGTCGCATGTCCGCCAAGGCCCCATCGTGCGCCTCTTCCTCGTCGTCCGCGGTGGGTCGCAACGCGCGCTCCCGCTCCTGGAGTGCCGCGGCCACCGCGGCCACTGCCGTCAGAACCGCCCGTTCCGCCTCCACAACGAACCCGCCTCTGTACAAATACGTGGCTCACGCGCAAATGGCCATGCAGCACGGCCAGCCCAAGAACGCGCTGGAAAACCAGCATTCTTGGGTTCAAATCGCCCGCATCACCCCAGAGCGTCGTGCTCTGGTGTCCCAACGGCTCGCAGACAAAAAGGCCACCCAGCCAGCTGTGCAATCAGTCGGTTCTGCGCACGATGTCGTTGCGGAGGTGCTGGATTTGTTTGGCCAGAGCAGCGTATGTGCCAAGATAGCTATATTGGCCCGCGAACACACCAATTTTGCCCTCCGCCATAACGAGTGCATCGACCAAGCGGAGACTGATGCCTTACAACGTCGTGATCTCGACGCTGTCAACAGCACCTTGTGGCTGAACCAGAGTACGCCCAGAAACCCGGTGCGCCAGTCCAAACAGTTTCCTCGACTCACTGTGTACGACTGTGACGCCGGCGCTCTAATGGCCGCAGACCCCAGTCACGTACCAGGGCTCTTGGCCGTTGAAGTGCGCACCAGCAGTGGGTACAACGATTTCACGTCCTCGTCCACCGAGGGCTCGGCCTTGTCGGAGTTCGACTGCGATCTGTTACAATTGCGCCACATGTCCCTGCTACGTGAGAGCGACGACCGTCGGCGTAAAAACAAGTACTACGAGTTCATTGAGGGAAAGATGAAGCGGCCACTTAATAGCTTTATGCTCTATCGTTCTGCCTTGATGAAGGCCGTGGCCATTCTTAAAGTGTGCAATGTGGTCACTCAAACTTGTGACACTCTTGCCTTGCAATTCCCGCAACTCACGGAAGCGCAGCTGCTGTCCGTGATTCGCAGCGTGGTAGACAACGATGACTCGCTTCCTTCAGACCTCCCCGTCGAGGTCCAACGCAGTGCCGTGCGCCAGGCTATCGATGCCACCATGTACGAGCGCACAGACAGTCGGTCCGCGCCATTAAAACCCGTTGACCCCAAATTCGCCAACCAAACCGAGGTTGCCCAAGTTATCACGCTAATGTGGAATAGCGAGCCTCAAGATTTCAAACAACGGTTTGTGGGATTTTCACACGTCGAAAAACAACACCACCATCAAGTTTATCCAAAGTACAAATACTGTCCTGTGAAAAAGGAACGTCCCACTTAATGATTTAGGGTATGACAATTATACACTTCTCTGCTAATGTAACGAAACCTAATTCTAACGCAATTTTAATACTATAAAGAGGCTGGCCGCAAGCCCTGTTGTGCATATATAGACATTTAAAGTATCTTTTACCTAGTTATAGCCATAGGGTGTGCAAAGCCCACAATGGTCTACTTGGGCCCCATCAGGGCCTTTGTTGAGGTGGTCCGGAATCGCTGTCTGCCGGTACAGGCACAACGGCTGACCTCGTGTATATGTGACGTGCCCCATCTAGAGTAAATCCTTCCACACACCCGGCTTTTATTGTCACCGTGGGTTTGGGTTTGCCATCTGGTAGGATAGATCTGTGTAGGATTCGCACGCCGCAAGTTTTACAGAAATAACACTCCAGTGTGTTTCCAGAATCCGTCTTCCGTTTCCATATACCCAATTGCTGCCGTATATCATCTGGCAAGGGCCATAAACCTTCAGAAGGGAATATGTAAGACGAACCAAATGCTGAAGCTGATTGTTTCTGACATTCGGTACAGTGACAGATAAACACCGCTAGAGGCTTAGGTCTCGACGCCCTAAAACTGATGGTCCCACATTGACACAAAACTTTAGCGTTTCCCTGACTCACTGAGGTCGCAGAAGGCGAATGACCTCGAACTTGGCTATACATAGATGTTATACTAATGTGTTTCAGATAAGCACTGATTAGACCTCCACAGGGAAACTCAAGAATTCGCAGATTAGTGTCCTTTCTGAAAGTTTTCGATGATCGTACTTTAAATATCATATAAATGCGGTGGATAGCAATTGCATACTTTCGAAGTTCAAGACGATTGCGATTATTGGAAATGCGAGCACGTTATATCAGGTTATCCCTTGCCTATCATACGGCAGTCACACACCGGTCACACGCTTCTCACTCTCAGCCAAATTTCTAGTAAGCGATTTAAGAGATGTTAACCCATTGACCTACTGTAGGATACGAAATGCCACCTTCACATCGTAAGGCTGGCAGGAGACCCTACGGAGCCTTGGTGTGGTCTAGCTTCGAGTGAGTCGATTTGAAGGTCACGAGATCTTTCAAAATCAGCTACAGTTTAATGCTGTTTATTAGTAGCGCCATTATTCCAGCCGAATCACATCACTCGTGAAAAAGATTGTTACTCTGTATTCCAACGTTCTGGTCTACTCTTGGTGATCACACAGCAGGGGTCCTTGCCTCGAAGCCAAAATTTTGACGTCTTGCAGCTCCGCACGTCTCTCCAAAGCTTATTAGAAAATTCGGTGAATTGAAAACCCCGTCGATCAGTTTAGTTTCGTGAACTTACTCCCTCTAATTTTGTCTCTTCTTCCGTCGAATGCAGGCCTTCACCATCAAAATGCTGCGGCAAAGGGACAGCTTAATAATGTTCTGTAGATAACTTCAATCTCACGTCGACGAAAGGGCCAAACGGTCACGAAAATATTTGTAGGTACACACAATAGGCCGTGTCTTACGCTTGGAATATGGGGGAACTATTATTGACTATTTGATATCCGGACTTCTTGGTAAACTCCTGAGATATATAATGTACAAGCTTGCCGATTTACGTTCTTACTCCTGTCTGCGCGTGTTGCTAGAATACTTCTTCTCATTGAGACGTTCGCTCATATATTTTGTTTCTTTGGCCAACTTCACGGCCACTTCTTCTAATTTGGTGATTTCATAACCCTTTTCAAACACAATGACCTTGGATTCTTCATCCAAAGAGGCACGCATATCATACTCAGTAATGATAGATTGGACAATCTCCACTACGGCCTCTGAGGTCAAGCCAAATAGATCACACAGCTTTTGAACGGACAGCTTGGAGTAAAATCTTTTGTACGTGAAAATGTATGTCCTCAAAGATTCAACCTGGACTCTCTCAGCCAAATTTCTTAGCATTTCTTCGGTATTAGGCAGTAGCGACCAGGTGGGCACCGACTTTAGATAGTCAACAGATTGTTCCCAATCCCCTCTTTGCATAGCCTTGGCAGCGTATAGTATACGATCCCTCAAAGTTTCAGGAGGACCCTGGAAGCTGGACTTCTCATGATGCTCTAACGCACGACGGATAGACTTTTGCGAATATGGGATTCTTTTAACCTTAATGCCCGAGAAGAAGGCGGCCATATGTGGAACTTCGATCAAGAGAGAGCAAGTCATGAACACGACGTCAATCAAGTCTAGATTAATGTGTTGATGGAAAGGTAAACATAGTTGTTCATTTGGAGTTCCGCCGTTGTTTGTAGCATTGTTATTAGCCACCCTTTGCAGGCTCTGCTGGCCCAAAATATCTCTCAGATGGGTACTAGTGGAAACTTCGTTCAAAATTTGATGACAGTCATCAATTAAGCATAGCTTGAAGGCCGCAAGACCTAGTTGGACAACAGCTCTGTTGAATAAAATTTGCAAAGGTGGATCAGCATAGTTAATCGAAGATTGAACATGCGAAGACAGCAGGATGTCTTTGGCCTTTTTGAACTCGTTGTTCAACGCATAGAAATAGATTTGGTACAGAGCCGCTCTTCTACGTTGAGCGCCATCCTTTTGGGTGGACAACATTTGATGCAAGGTGTCAATTAGCTTGAAAACGTAAGCCTCATCCACTTCACCTTCCAAAGGCGTAGCCCTAGACTGGGCGTCCTGACGCACATTCTTCCAGGCCTTACGCTCGGTAATTACCACAAGTTTGCTGGATTTGTAATAGATGTGGTCGAGTCTTCTTGTGAGGACGCGAGCAAGTCTCTTCTCAAGGTTATACTCGACTGGGGTTACAGCTTCCAGGTACAACTGCGATCTCAAAATCAGATTGTAAACGCTCTGTTCGTCCTTCAAACGGTCTAAGAAGTCGCTTGAATGTGGATCGGTATTTAGTAGAGATTTGTTGAACTCTTCATCCAACCTTTCAACAAATGAATAGACAGACCCGAGTATCTCTTTGATGCCACTTTCGTTAACCTGGGGTTCCTCTTCTATAAAGTCGTTGCGGGGAGCATATTCAGAGACGTGGTACTGATCAAGGTGAGCCTCCAAAGTATCAAACAAGTTGGCGATGTCGCGATGAGAGGCTTTCCATTGTTCCAGAGGTTGGTATGAGAGCGTAGCGGAGGAGTCAAACCGGATGGGGATCAAATTCAAATATGCGAGAATAGTTTCATAAGGACTCTTGGCAATCTCTAACAGCTCCTCCAGAGTCTTGATCTGTGCTTGAATATCGGTACCCTTCTTACCTCTGGAGTCGATGACAATGCGCAAAGCTGTGAAAAAATCAGATTCAGAGGTAGTTGTGGCTACAGAGGACAGGTCAACGGCCTTCTTGCCCGCTAGAGCAAACGAAGACACCGCGAAGTTGTCCTGACCGGATTCGCCGTCAGCTGTGGCGTCCGTACTGAATGCGTCAGGATTTTCGCGGTACTGAGCTAGAATTTCCTCGTAATCACGGGCAAGTTTACGCACACGCTGCTTGGTGGTATTGAAAGCTCTGCCAACAGCTTTGTTGGAGATTTCTTGTTGAGATGTTGCTGCCACAGCATCCTCGACCTGAACCAACACCTTGATGTAGATATTGGGGATACCGTAGTTTTGTTGCTGAGCCCTAGTGACTAATCTGGTCATTGTATCAAGTTCACTCAATATAGTAACGAAGTCCTGCGTCATTTCCGCCACGTCGATCTTGTCGTGAACGCTACGCATCTCATCCAACAGCTTGTCCTTGGCTGACTTGACCACTTTTTTGCCCTCGTCGTCGGATTCTGAGTCGGAGTAGTCTGCATTCTTCAAGAACCTCGAAGCACCCTTGGCACCGGCTTTTCTGAAAGCTGGCTTTTTGAACCAGTCGGGTCCATATGGTCTGCCATCTGAATCATCGGAATCCACATCAGACTCGGATTCCGATTCGTCGAAGAAAGAGTCGTCCGACCCCTCATCCTCGGATCCCTGAAGCGCCTCGTCTTCAGAGGAAGAACTCAACAGCTCTTCTTCGGAAGCAGAAAGTAAGTCTTCTTCAGAAGACGAGCTCCCGCTCTCGTAATCGTACGAGTTAGCAAAGAATCTGGACATGATTGATGCGAGTAATTTGGTCTAGCTATAAAGAGGTCGAACCAAATGTCTTTCTCGTTCTCACTGGTGAGTGTCCTTTTCAATTGGAGAAGTCTGTATTCAAGACAGTCTGAGAGCTCAGATCCAAGTATGTTTGACGATGGGGTTCCGAGGATTTTTTCAACTACCATTAGAAAAATTTTTCACTATGGAGGATTGAAACAATTTCGTCCATGATTATCAGCATCGTTAGAGTACTCATGAGTACCTGGCCAGGCTGAAGTATCCGGTAAACCAACATGAGACTCCAAGGCCTGGGATCCAGAGGACCTTGGTTGTGGATCTGTGACAATTGGGTGCAGCATTTGAGTACGACGAGGTTGGACGAGCTGGCCCCTCTTTTTCGCGCCGAATCAAAGAGATTTTAAAATGTATTTTGGATGGTTACAGTAGTTTCGATGAGAACGTCTCCCTGACAAAGATGTGGCGTACTCCTTATGATTCAGCTGTTTGGGAGTGCTTCTTAGCAATCCGAGCACTTGGAGTGCGACTTATATGCTGAAACCCACAAATAGGCTTTATAATCGTGCGCTCAGGAAGTCTGGCACCGGTCGGGCGCCGGTGATTGGAGCATTCTGCATCAGCGAATGGCGGTGGATGGTCCACGAATTAACACAGACCAAGGTGGAGGTCGCCAGCCACATATTGTATCAGCGGCTAACTGAGTAGGCCCAGACTGCCACGTCTGATGCACGCACCGTGAGCATGCAAACGGACTTGTGAATGGTTGTTCACACCACTATCGTCAAGGAATGTGTAAGGGTCCTTTGTATGTTATTGTTGTTTGTTCTTGTTACCACTCGCCATTTATTAGCTCTTGGATGGACCTAAAGGAGTAGACTATACTCAAAAAGCGCGGTACTCATGTCTTTTGGCTTTCAGTATAGGTGGTGGCTATTTGGACCTCATTCCCGCGGCTCCTTATCGTTCTCGCTGCCTACACTGTATAGAATAGTGGGTTGTGAAGATACACGACCATTGATTCGCTTTTCGAAATAAGACGGATAGGCCATGCTGCCCCTACTTAAAAAAAAAAAAGGCCCTCACCTCCAGCGTAAACACGTTCCCACTGTGACCATTTTCTTTCATTCCGTTTCAGCTACGGCTCTTCTTTTCACTCCCTCATAATCGCCACAATCTTCTCCTGGCCCTACGATTCGGGAGTGAGGGCTAGATGAAGCTTCTTGGTGTCGTTCGTTCGACTTTTGTATTTCGTCTTCGATCTAAATAAGATATGTAACGGGAATTATTTTTGCGTCGCACGTATCCATGGCCTGTTGGCCATCTTAGACCATCGTTTCATCATAAGGGGTATCAAAATTGTCGGCCTTTGTCCAGATGCGCAAAGCATGCGAGTTTATTTAACTGAAGTTGCAGTCCAAAGAGTACTTCAAGTCACCACTCGAGGTCCACACACCCCAGTGCTTCTCAACATCCGAAGTACCACTGGTGTTTGGCTTCCAGTCCTCGTCGAAGGCTTCAAAGACTAGAACGTTAACACCCCAGCCTCTGATGGCGCAGATACCCTCTTGCCAGAATTGCTTGGCGTTGTCAACACCTGGGTACGAGTCCTCGAAGTTGGTACCATCGGTTGGCCACCCGGTCTCACCGACCCAGAATGGAATGTCGGTGCCCTTGGTGGTTTGGATCGTTTGCATGGCTTGCATGATGTCGTCGAAGAACGAGTAAGATGCATTCTGCATCGTTTGGCCTTGCCAGTACGAAAAGGCATTGGCCATGACCATGTCGGCAGATTTAATCACTTCGGCATTACCCCCGTCAACTAGAACGTTCCAAGAGTCGACGGTTCCCACCGATTTGCCAGAGTAGGAGTTACCTTCAGAATCTTTGACGTCGGCAATCAAGTCACGCACACTGTTGATCTTGTCCGAAAGCTCGGAGGCCGTTAGGTCCCCACGGTATAGAGCCTCTGACCCAACCAAGATAGCGCGGATAGTAGAGGACTTGATCCAAGGCAGGTAAGTTTGCAAGGCCTGCTTCTCGGCCTCAAAGTGGGCGTCGTCGTTTGGCCATACACCCAAAAAGATGCCGAATCCTGCTTTTTCAGCGGCAGGGCCCAAGTTCTGCAAAGTGTTACAGTCGGAAGCAGCGTAAACCTTCACTGTTGAGGTGTAATCTTTCAAGATGTCGAAGTCATTTTCATAGTCCTGGGTTGACTTACAGGTGCCATCGTTGTTTTTCACACCAATATTGAAGCCCAGGTCACCCACAGCAGCCGCACAGGAGGCCACAGTGGCAATAGAAGCGATGGTAGAAAATTTCATCGTGAGCGAAAGTGTGTTTTGTGTCTGAATGTGTAACCGGAGAAGCTAGCGCTGTTCTTCTGAGCTTGACGTTGGATAGATTAACTTCGAGCTTTTTCTGAAATTCAACCTTTCGATCACAGATGTGGCTACTCTTCTGACGATTTCTCAAGCACAGTTGTGGTTAACAGCAGATGAAGTTCTTTGTCTCAGAGATCTAAATATATTTAGAAGTCAGAAAATTTTTGAAAACAAAACAATACTCGAGAAAGATATTTCGTATAGCATTATTTAGGTACTCATCCGGAGAGCACTGGCGAGGTCCGGAAACTTCGAGCGCTCTTGTAGAGTAGGAAGCAAGGGCTCGTTGGTGGTCTTCAGGACGGCGCTCTTAAGATGCTCCCCTTATGCCGCTGCTGTCAAAATGACCGCCCTTTTGTTCTTATTTTTCGAGCCAGTTTGGCGCAGTAATTACTGAAAGGTATATTGATGCGTGCTCACAGGCTGGAGAGCATGGCTAGTGCTATCATGCAGCTGTCTTGAATCCCTATATTTGCTTCGGGAACCGAGCCCGGTAGTTGCAACTGGCCGTCGAAGAATTGGTGTGCACCATCACAGTCCTCAAACATGTCGCTGCACTGTTGGAAGCTCTGAGACAGATGGTCCCATTTGCCGAAAACGATCATCAAATTGGCGGGTTTATCGGCTTCTCCACTCTCTATTTCCTCTGGAGTGGGCTTGAGAATCTTCTGGATCGGCGGTATCTTCGTTGAGAGTTTGACATTTTTTCTCAGCTCAGCGTTGAAGTAGTAGTCACCGCTGTTTACCCATACACACTGCGAATAGCCGTCTGGAAAGGCACTTTGTGTGAAGATATCGCCGAAGTTTTGGGCCACGCGAACCTGGTACCCGAACGAAGCCTGGGCACCCACATAGTCCCCGTACGCCTCAGTTGGTGAAACCACTTTGCATTCTACAATGTCAACTGTCACGCGCACGTTTGCGGGTACAAGTTGGCCTCGCAGCTCTATTAGTTCGCTTTGGCCCACGTTGACATATTTAGTTTGGTCGTATGCCTTTTTCTTCGTGCCAGCTTTTGTTCCGGGTTGTCCGGGCTTGTTCATCGTAACAGCCAAGCCTTCGCGGTAGCGTCCCTTGTCATCATTGGTGTATCGCATGAACGGAAGGGCGGAGATCCGCGGCAGTTTCGAGGCGACTTGCAAACATTGGCTGTATTGTTTCTTGAAGACAGACTTCGCCAAGTACGGAGGTGTGACGAAAAATTGCAACAGAGACGCGATCAGTAAAGAGGGGGACAGATTAAAGCTAGCACGTTTCGTAGCGTTCTTTTCGTCATTGCCGGGTGTTCCGGCTTTATCCTGACTGCGTTTCAGATCTAAGATGACTATTTCACCAGCATTGAAAAAGATAGCCGCCTTTGCCACTTGGTACACAACGTTCGTCACTTGTTCTAGGTTTTTGCAGTTATCTAGGATGCTGACTGGAACACATAGGGAGTAGTTGATATTCTTGGACAGTATTTTGATGGTTTTCTTGGGTCTTTTGACTTGTTTAGGCCCAGGTTTCTGCTGCTTCTCTAATTTGGGTTTCTTTACGTTCTTGTTCTTGGAATTCGTAGCACCAACTCTATCACGTTTGGGAGCCATGGTCACTCCGGTGTTGAACTGATGTATTCGATATGATCAGCACTGCTTGGAAGCTCATCGCTCCATCTAACTTTTCAGAAAATTCTTTCCGAACACTAAACACGATATGAATACACCTACAATCCAGTTTCCGGAGCTCAGGACATTGACTAAGTTACATAGATTGTATGGAATGGAGCAACCTTGTGCAGACCCTCAAACACTTCTCTCATGAGCGTCAGACGAGCGGCGTAAAGCGTTAATGTTGGTCTTTAAACGGCCAAAGTAGGTATAAATTGCGGAACGGTAAATTTCTTAATTATCTTCGTCTTCTTCGTCATGTAAAGAAGCATCTTTTTGAGCATCAAGCGCTTGTTTAACGTTGTAATGCTGCTTCCGGAGTGCTTCAAATCTCTTGTGGCGATCCTCCTGGGATTCAGGTTCTGTGTCTAGCTCCTCGTCGGGTGAGTCCGAGTGCCACTGCTGCTCTTGCTGTTCACCTTGACTCTGGCCTTGCTCCAGCCCAGCCTGATTCTGATCCTTGTTCAGTTTGACGACGGGGTCTCCAAGAGATAAGCTTCCCAGCTCTTCATCGTCGTCCTCTCGGTAGTACTCGCCCGTGGGGTCAACGGCCCCTTGGTACGGCGTCTTTGGCTCGTCGATGCTAATGTCCTGATATTGCAGCTTTGCCAAGTCATTGTCATCAAGGTTTTGCTGGTTCCACTTCAATCTTTCCTGTTCCTCGGCCTTGGAAAGCGTGTCCTGCTCATGCTTCAAACTCAACGTATCCTTCGGAATCGAATGTTTTCTCGGCGAAAGCACCGGATGGCCATCTTCGCTATGGCTATTGGAACTGAGTTGTGCGTTGAGTTGAGTGTTTTTGAAAACTTGCTTTCTAAATTCCGAAATAGACTCGGACTCTTCTGAGCGACCATTATGGTCCGGTAGTGGATTCTTCAAAATTCCTCCCATGGTATAATATCTATCTTGAGAATCTCAGGTCTTGGCTTTGAAATGGTTCCCAAATGAAGACTTTTGTTGCAAAAGTAAGTCGCCTTTGGAAACTTACCAAGATTCCCTTTATTTCAACCGGCAGAATTGTAAAAGGGAAAGGTCGTTACCTACGTCACCGTCGTCGCTATCGAAAAAGTGTCATGGTGAGGACCTTGCGATGTCCTGAAGCAGGATATATATCCGTTTTGTTGTGTTAATGTAGCTTAGAGGCATATTTGCACCGATAATTCGAACTCATTTGAGATTTCCGGGCTGGTATTGTGGAAATTTTAACATTTTAACGAGTTCGTTAACTTTCGGAAGCCTGACATTCTCGAGAAAAGCCAAAACGGTCGACAAAATTATGCGATTTTAAGTACATTGTTCTTCAGTAGTGAATACTTAGAGGATCTATAGATACGTGCGTTTGGGGACTTCTCATTTGAGAAAAATACCATTGTCTCTAAAAATCTTTTTCCGCACCATTTAACGCGTGTGCTTCAATAGATCTTCTTCTTTTCATCAATGGACAATTCGCCAGCGCCAGTAGCAACAACCAACAAAAGTCCTCCGATGATGCTTAAATTTTGGAAGTACTCGTATTTCAACAAATCCCTCTTGCTACTATTGTAAAACCAGTAGTTGTTGACTGTGATGTTGTAGAAAGAGAGAATCAAGCCCAGCAAGATGGAGGCAAGCTTAGTCTTGAACCCCACGGAAATGCAAATGGTGCCTAAAATAGTGAGAACGACGGTTAGCCAATTTTTGCTGATCGTGAAAGTCATAAATAAGACAACCAAAAGGAGTCTTCCTGCCAGCAACACAAACCCTTTCGTCTTACCGTCTTTGTTATGCAGTTCTGGGAGCATGCCGAACGTGGTTTTACTTTGCACAATGGAGTCGCTTAGGGCGATCAACAGACCGCCGATAACACTGATGTTTCTCAAGACAAAAGAAGCCCCGTAGAGTCCATACACAAATCCCTGAAGAACAATGCAAGCACATAGAGTACCGGTGGCAATTACAAGTCTTTTCCGCAAAACCAGCATTGTGGCGCCCACAAACATGGCAATCACCACGGAAACCAAGAACAGCACGACAAAGAAATATGGCAGGCGCCTGTAATTCCACAAGTAGAAAACTTGATCACTCCATTGTGAAAGAATCCGACATGAATCTTCATAGAAAGTCGCCACGATGAAGAAGCGAGAAATTGCCGGAACGTAAGGTTTCAACTTTTGTACAAATGGGTGATCGGTCAAATCATCCACCTTGCTAGATAATTTATCCAGTTCCTCCAGTACAAACGTTTTCAAGGACACACCGCTTGCTCCATTCGATCTGGAGCCTTGGTGCTTATATCCTTGGTGAGAGGTGGGTATACCACTAAAATTAGAGTTTCCTCTGAAAGACATTGATTGTTAGATCTAATATACGGCTTCCCGAGCTATATGAAAGCGTCAACTGGGCCTGATATCTGTATCAATGAAACAGGATCACTGGGCTTTTTTTAGGATTGAATGTGACCGAAATACGATGATGGTGATGGGTGGTCGATATTTCAGCAAATATAAAAGTGATCTAAAATAGGCTAACCTACACGAGTACGAGTACATCATCGGTTAGAGTACCTGGGCATAACCACGATCGGTAGAAATGTAGAGATTGACTGGCCTTTCAACTTCTTTATACCAGTAGCACTTGCCAGTGCTCACTTCTAAGATATCTATAAACTTGCTAAATCAGCCAAGCTACTTAGGCGAAGTAAGACAACAAAGAAGCTGGCAACTTCTTGGACTCGACCAACTTTTGGGCGATCTCTTGAAGAGCAGCCTTGGCATCAGCCTTGATGCTTTCGGCTAGAGCAACTAACTGCTCGTCGTCGACAGTATCGACGATCAACCCGACCTGTTCGTCGATGGTGGCGGATTTGTCGGCGTCACCAAAGTAGCCAGCAGCTTCAGGTGCACTACGAACCGCTCTCTTGTTCTTCTTCTTGGCAGCTTTAGCAGCTTCCTTAGCCTTCTTCTTGTCCACCTTGGCATTGGCAGCAGCGGCAGCGTCAGTTTCAGCCTTAGCCTTGGCTTCCGCGTCAGCCTTGGCCTTAGCCTCAGCTTCAGCACGGGCACCCGCTTCTCTTTCCCACTTCTTTCTCTCCTTTTCCTTCTTTTCGTTGTCCTTGAAAGACTTGATACGAGGATCTTCACTGCTGGCTCTTTCAATCAACTTCGCGAGACGGGAGTTGTCTGCAGTCTTCTTCTTGTCTCTGGCCGCTTTGTTCTTTCTTTCGATGTAACGCTTGTGATCTCTGTTGGAAGAGTCATCTGGAACTTCTTCGTCAGCAAATTCAAAAGTTCTCCAGGAGTCGAATCTGTGCCAAAAGTTGTAGAACTTCTCAACGTCCTCCTTAGAGGCGTCTGGGCCGCCTAGACCTGGCACTGGTTTCTTCTTGGAAAAGCGAGCTTCAGAGTCGAAAACTGGGCCCCAGGCTTCGAAAAAATCATACGCGGAGCCCTTCTTTGGAGGAGGAACTTCAGCGTTGTAATCGCACGAGTCATATTGGGCCCTTTTGGTCGAATCAGTAAGGACTTCGTACGCCTTTTGGATGATTTTGAAAAAGCCGTCTTGTTCCAAACCACCGGAAGCCGATTTCTTATCAGGGTGATGCTTCAACACTTGCTTTCTGTGTGCCTTTACGATTTGAGTATCAGTAGCTCTGTAACGAAGCTTAGAAAGGCCCATAGCAGCATACAAGTCTGCTGTTTTCCAGTCTCTTGGGTCGTGTTCCAACAAGGACTCATCAGCCAACTCGTCATCTAGGAGGGCCTCATCGGGGTCCACGGATTCATCAACACGCTTGACGTTTTGGCTGGCTTGGATCTTCTCGAATTCGGACCAGGTGTGGTTTCTCAAGGTTCTTTGGGCATGGTGCATGAAGTAGCGGCCAACAGCTTCCACAGGACGGCGCACAGGCGCGGTCTTTTGAGCACTTTTGTTGACAGAAACACTGATATCGCCAGTAAGAGGGGGCAAGCTGATCATTGTGATGCGTCTGGTGTTAATTTGTTTACACTTAGCTAGTGAAGTTGAAGTAGCGATGACTTGAACCTTTCAAAATTTTTCACTAGATTGCCCAATAAATCTGTTTATAGTGTTCCAACGAGGAATCGAAGAGAGAGAGAGAGAGAGAGAGAGAGAGAGAGAGAAGAGAGAGAGAGAGAGAGAGAGA